GTGCAGGGGACTCGGGGAATGGCTGCAGCGTGACTCAGCTGTGGAGAGGCTGCGTTGGCTTGTCTCGCCGCGAAGGAGAGGCTGCAGATCAGGCAGCAGCCTCGCTGCCGGGCCTCGCTGTGAGTTTCGCTCTCATTGCACAAGCCGCTGATGCCAGTATCCTCCTTGGGCTTCCTCCAGCTGAGGCCCTGGCCCTCCAGCGGGCCTTTGGGAGCCCATCCTGCCGCCCAGGGATCTCCCAGCCGCTGCCGGCTAATCCTGGCCCTGTCTCGTGGTTCAATACCGTCTCCCCACTCTCTAGCTCACGGCGCTCGGCTTCCCCCACCCCTGAGTGGCTGGTCTCTTGGCGGGAAGCCGATAAGAGTGTTTCCGACATGTTTCAACTCCTGCTTTCGCTTACTGGTTTCAAAGCCAGCCCCAGCCTGTGAGCTGTGTTGGGACTGCTCCGACTGCCCAGACGGGAACGGCTCTGTGGCTAGACTCCAGCCAGGTCCTGTGGCGACCTGAGAGGCCGAGCTTCCTCTAGCCCAAAGGATCTCCTGAAAATCCCAGTGCCAGCTGGCCATGCCGCCCCGCCCTCTCTGCTAAAGCGTGATCCTTCCGGAGAGTGCTTTGGCCAGCATCACCATAAAATGCCTCAGATCAAGGGACTTCCCCTCTGCTCCTTAGGAGGCTCCTCCCCAAACTAGCTTTTCCCCGCTGGGCTGGCCATGCTCCTAACTCTCACTCCAGTCTCAGGGCCCAACTCTCCTCTCCCTTGCTCTGCTGCAGATTGGCAGCACCTCCATGGAAGACCAGGGCAGTTTTGGCCGAGTACCTGATTTCGTTAGTGGAATTGTTCCCCGTTGCATATGAATCTCCTCTTGTGCAGGCACAGTTTTGTTCAATATCTTCATAAATGATCTGGAGGATGGTGTGGATTGCACTCTCAGCAAATTTGCGGATGATACTAAACTGGGAGGAGTGGTAGATACGCTGGAGGGCAGGGATAGGATACAGAGGGACCTAGACAAATTGGAGGATTGGGCCAAAAGAAATCTGATGAGGTTCAATAAGGATAAGTGCAAGGTCCTGCACTTAGGTCGGAAGAACCCAATGCACAGCTACAGACTAGGGACCGAATGGCTCGACAGCAGTTCTGCGGAAAAGGACCTAGGGGTGACAGTGGACGAGAAGCTGGATATGAGTCAACAGTGTGCCCTTGTGGCCAAGAAGGCCAATGGCATTTTGGGATGTATAAGTAGGGGCATTGCCAGCAGATCGAGGGACGTGATCGTCCCCCTCTATTCGACATTGGTGAGGCCTCATCTGGAGTACTGTGTCCAGTTTTGGGCCCCACACTACAAGAAGGATGTGGATAAATTGGAGAGAGTCCAGCGAAGGGCAACAAAAATGATTAGGGGTCTGGAACACATGAGTTATGAGGAGAGGCTGAGGGAACTGGGATTGTTTAGTCTGCAGAAGAGAAGAATGAGGGCGGATTTGATAGCTGCTTTCAACTACCTGAGAGGTGGTTCCAGAGAGGATGGTTCTAGACTATTCTTAGTGGTAGATGAGGACAGGACAAGGAGTAATGGTCTCAAGTTGCAGTGGGGGAGGTTTAGGTTGGATATTAGGAAAAACTTTTTCACTAGGAGGGTGGTGAAACACTAGAATGCGTTACCTAGGGAGGTGGTAGAATCTCCTTCCTTAGAAGTTTTTAAGGTCAGGCTTGACAAAGCCCTGGCTGGGATGATTTAATTGGGGATTGGTCCTGCTTTGAGCAGGGGGTTGGACTAGATGACCTCCTGAGGTCCCTTCCAACCCTGATATTCTATGATTCTATGATTCTATGAAATCCGTTACCTTCACCTGACTCGCTCCCTAAACGAGCTCCCCTGTGATTTAAAGACCAGGTGACGCATCCAGGATCTATTGCATTCTGGGACCAACGGGAACTCACCATCATGTTGGAGGCAGTGATGGGAAAGCAAGACTCAGTCGTGCCCTTTAAGGTTTATTGAAGGAAACAAGGAGGCGGTGGGCGGGAATGAACCAGTCCCACTTGAACCCTCCACCCTCCTGCCAGGGAGCAGAAAGTTCGGCTTGTTACAGCTGGACTCAGCCTCGACTGCTGAGATGCGCCGCTGGGTTATCCCAAATTCTGGGGAATATTTGCGGCCTCCTTTCTTACAACACAAACAGCATTTTCAGCAGGCCTAACCTAGGGCAGCTATCTAATGGGTCCTCAGGAGCGATTGTGGGGAAATGCTGGCACAAGGAAGGACTCGGTGAGAGAGAGCACAGTGGGTGTGTCTCGCCTGGTACAATCTGCACTGAGCTGAATGCACAAAGACAGCTGACTCCAGCAGACTCCTAGAAGTGTAAAAGTGGGTGGGGGACAGGAAGTGGTTTGTCCCATCCCATGTGGGGATGAAGCCAAGAGCGTTCAACGTTTTTCATCTAAAAACAGGGGGGAGGAGAGGAGAGGAGAAAGTGCCCTAGCTCAGCAGTCAAGGGCTCATCTGGAAGTGGACTTTTACCTTGGCCATCTAGGCTATTCTGTGGCGGGGTTCTCCCCCGTGGAGTGAGTCTACTGTGATGAAGTGAGCTGTAGCTCACGAAAGCTTATGCTCAAATAAATCTGTTATTCTCTAAGGTGCCACAAGTCCTCCTTTTCTTACTGTGTATAAGTACTTAGCTATGCATTATGGCAGAGTATGAGAGAGATACTGACTCTGTAGCCCAGTGCTTGGGGCCCTGACCTCAGATGTGAGAGGTCCATGTTCCAATCCCTGTTTCTTCAACCTGGGTCCCTGCCCCCTCCAGGGAGTGCCCTTGCTACCAGGTTATTCTGGGGTCTCTCTTCGCTTCGGTACGGGACCTGCACAGAGCCTCATCAAACCCAGCCCTTTCCCAGGACAAGCTTTGTCCATTTCATCAAGACACTCCCGACCGGCGCCGCAGCAGGGCACGTGAAAGGAACTCACTAGCTAACCAGTGACATGCCACATTAGCATCCAGCGAGACACTGGCATTTCCTTTAGCAGCAGAGTGACGAAGTGGGACTGTTCTTAATGTTTTCTCTGAATAGTGTGGGGGTGCCTCAGTTTCCCCTCTGCAGTTCTTAAGTATCTAGGTGGTGGCGATAAGGGTGTATGATCACTGCAGAGCCCTAGAGGGCAGGTGTGTGCAGGGGTCTGGACACAGAGAATGGCCGACACCCTCTTTCCTGGCAACTGATGGCCTGGCCCTTCCCCCCTGCAAGGTGAGAGCTAAAGGGTTGGAGAACAAAGGAATCAGGTGACCTCCTGGCCGGGGAAAGGGACAAAGCCCAGGGGAGGAGGGGCTGGAGGGAGTTTCAGTTTGGGGCTGGCTGGGACATGGAGTGAAGGGCAGACGTGGTTGTCTGGCTCACTGCCCCCCAAAATGGACCCAGCTGAGGGGTTCGGTTCTGTGCACCAACAAGCTCTGTTTTAGACCATGTTCCTGTCGTCTAATGAACCTCTGTTTTACTGGCTGGCTGAGAGTCCTGTCTGACTGCGGAGTTGGGGGGCAGGACCCTCTGGCTTCCCCAGGACCCCGCCTGAGCGGACTCGCTGTGGGAAGCGCAAGGAGGGGCAGAGGAGGCTGAATGCTCCGAGGTCAGACCCAGGAAGGTGGAAGTTGTGTGAGCTTTGTGTCCTGAAGACAGTCTGCTCACAGAAAGGAGACTTCCCCAGAGTCCTGACTGGCTTCGTAGGGAGCAGTTCCAGAGCATCGCCCGGGGACTCTGTGACAAGCAGCGTGCAGGAGAATCTGGTTCCTTTGATCTCGAGAGCAATGCCACATTAAAAGAGAAAAAGACTCCTTGTGCAGCACCAATTCTGCCAGTTTAGGATCTGGAGTTGTCTGGCCAGTATTGGGGCGGGGGATTTGGGGCAGGGACTGACTCTTAGTCGACCTGTGCACAGTGCCTAGAATGGTGGCGCCTCTAGGCTCTGCCCCCCTCCCCCATAACAATACCTTCGCTAAGCGACTCATCTATCTCACAGAGCTTCTGCAAAGTTTAATTAGCATCTCTTTGACGCTTTGCTATCTGTGGCTGATGGGCGTTATTCCAGAGAGAGGTGGAGGAATTCCTGGCCCTGTCTATCCAGGAGAGAGCAGGGGTCCTCAAGTATCCTAGCCAGCCAGATGCGAGAATAGGTCTCTTGACAAGATCGCAGCATCCACTCAACGCAGGCCTGGTGAGAAAGGTCCTTCTGAGCTCCTGCCATCAGCTCCCCCGTGCTCACTAGCACCAGACGACGCACCTCCCAGGACTTGGCTGCTGTTCTCATGCAATGAGAACCACCCGAAGCACGGCTGAGAGCCCCCCAGCCCAGCCCCACCCTGTGTCCAGAGCGCAGCATGAGGGGCAGGGTTTTACACCGCGCTGTTTCTCTGGGGCTGGCAGACAGCGCTCTTAAGGTCGAGTCGCTCGTGTCAAGAATTCATAACTGCATGGCTGGACACGAAGGCAGTGGGGATTGGGGGGCACCTGTGAGTGGCTCGAGGCTGAGAGGGGGCCAAGACACACAGGGGCCAGCATCTTTCCCAGAGACATTTGCTAGTGGGAGGGGGTTACTTGTCTCCATGGCATTTTGAGATGGGGATGGGGCTCAAGTCTGGATCCAGGCCCAAGTTCCAAGGGGCTCGGATCTGGGGGGTGGTTACGCCCGGGACACTGGGATGCAGACCCAGCCATTCCCACCTTTCAGGGTTGGAGGACAAGGGGTGACTGACTGCACCCCAAAAGTCTCAAAGACACAGGAGGGTCCTGACCTGGGCCCGAGCTGCCAGCCCCCATTGCAGTGAGCAGTAGTACATCCGGAGTGGAGGGGAGGGTGGGGCCCCTGGTTTCCTGCAGAGAGGGGATCTCCAGCGGGTCTCGGCCTGGCTCACTAGGAGTGGGGACAAGATGGGGCCATTAGCACTTCTCAGGCAGCTCTCTGGGCATGGAGGCTAAAACATTTTATTCTCTCTCTCTCTCTTTGCAGTTAAAAAAGCCAAGTTTGACGGGGCGCAAGGTAAGTCACTCCCACCACCCCTGGTCACATGGGCTACACGAATGCTTGGGCAGGAGCCTCTCCCCAGGTCCCCATCCGCACTGCAGGAGGGGGCCAGGTTTCCTGCAGGGGGCAGCCAGGCTTCCAGTGTGGGTCTGACTTTAAAAAGTAGGGTGGGATAATGAGACGAAGGGTCATTTAGGGCCCCTGGGTGAGCAGCTTGAGTTTGCTGGGGAGAAAGGTACCGAGGGACTAGGCAAGAGGAGCCTCCAGGCCTGAGGGAGGGGACCCTGTAGCCACAAGCCAGGCCTTGCTCTAAGGACTCATGGTGCAGCCCGTCCCAGCTTCCCCAGAGTTTACCGAAAAGGATCAGCAGATACAAGGGACCAAATAGAGAGGAGGTGGGGTCCAGTGGTTAGAGCAGGGGAGTTGGTGCCAGGACTCCTGGGTTCTGTCCCTGGCTCTGGGAGGGAAGTGGGGTCTAGACACACATGGGTCACACACACACAGCACCCACATCTACAGGCACACAAGCATACTATGCACACAGGTGTGTCGCACACACAGATCTCACTGGCTTCCTTTCTGTGACGCCTGGGCAGGTTCACCCCATCTGTGCAGAGCTGGGGGGCACCCTGCTCCCCTACCTGGGATGGGAAGGCCCGGCAGCGCCCCCTCCCCGTCAGCCAGTGTAGAGCAGGCGTGCAGAGGGGCTTTGCTGGGGGCAGGGGCCATCCAAACCCATCCAGAGCTGAGGGAGTTTGGCCCCTTTGTCCCCGTTTGCACAGAGCGCCAAGCATCACGGGAGCTGAGCCGGCACCAGGAGCGCCCCCTGCTGGACAGCAGAGCTGCTGTCAGTCCCCTTCTGCCCCTGCCTCTACCAGCGCTGGCCCGGGAGGGCGGGAGGTGTCCCACGCACACAGCAGTCGGGTCGAGGGGGGGCTGCCCCAGAGGAGCGCCAAGCAATGCGCTGGGGGCTGTGGGAGAGGGGAGCCAGCCACGCGGCCAGAGGCAGCTTTGCTGAAACACCCAGCGGGGTGAGCGACGCCCCAGGTCCGGGGTGGGGGAGGGCGCTGAGCTGGAGGAGAGAAGTCAAGCCTCCCTCAGTCTCGTCACTCCTGGACATTTGGCACCTCTGGAATCCCCCCCGCTTCCACCCCTGCCCACCAGCTGGTGCTGCCATCTCTGCCCAGGGCGAGTGAAACGCAGGCCAGGCCAGAGTGGGCTGGGGGGTGGACTGAGGGGCATGAGCAGAGCTGTGGGGGGGCAGATCCCAGGACTGGGCTAGCAGGGGGCTGCGGGTTGGGACTGAGGGGCCCTGGCAGAGTATGTAGGGCAGTCGGGTCAGGATAGCCTGCATTAACCATGCTCCATGTGAGCTGAAGCAGCGTCGGGAGCTGACCATGCCCCTAGCTGGCGACAAACTGCTGAAAGTTCTCGCGTGGGCCGGTCCCGGTGCTGAGACGGTCGGGAAGGATGGGGGGGGTGGAGTTGGTGCTGGAGGAGTGGGGGCTGGGCCGGTCCCGGTGCTGAGACGGTCGGGAAGGATGGGGGGGGTGGAGTTGGTGCTGGAGGAGTGGGGGCTGGGCCGGTCCCGGTGCTGAGACGGTCGGGAAGGATGGGGGGGGTGGAGTTGGTGCTGGAGGAGTGGGGGCTGGGCCGGTCCCGGTGCTGAGACGGTCGGGAAGGATGGGGGGGTGGAGCTGGTGCTGGAGGAGTGGGGGCTGGGCCGGTCCCGGTGCTGAGATGGTCGGGAAGGATGGGGGGGGTGGAGCTGGTGCTGGAGGAGTGGGGGCTGGGCCGGTCCCGGTGCTGAGACGGTCGGGAAGGATGGGGGGTGGAGTTGGTGCTGGAGGAGTGGGGGCTGGGCCGGTCCCAGGGCTGAGACGGTCGGGAAGGATGGGGGGGTGGAGTTGGTGCTGGAGGAGTGGGGGCTGGGCCGGTCCCGGTGCTGAGATGGTCGGGAAGGATGGGGGGGGGTGGAGCTGGTGCTGGAGGAGTGGGGGCTGGGCCGGTCCCAGGGCTGAGATGGTCGGGAAGGATGGGGGGGGGGTGGAGTTGGTGCTGGAGGAGTGGGGGCTGGGCCGGTCCCGGTGCTGAGACGGTCGGGAAGGATGGGGGGGTGGAGTTGGTGCTGGAGGAGTGGGGGCTGGGCCGGTCCCGGTGCTGAGACGGTCGGGAAGGATGGGGGGTGGAGTTGGTGCTGGAGGAGTGGGGGCTGGGCCGGTCCCAGGGCTGAGATGGTCGGGAAGGATGGGGGGTGGAGTTGGTGCTGGAGGAGTGGGGGCTGGGCCGGTCCCGGTGCTGAGACGGTCGGGAAGGATGGGGAGGTGGAGCTGGTGCTGGAGGAGTGGGGGCTGGGCCGGTCCCGGTGCTGAGATGGTCGGGAAGGATGGGGAGGGGTGGAGCTGGTGCTGGAGGAGTGGGGGCTGGGCCGGTCCCGGTGCTGAGACGGTCGGGAAGGATGGGGGGGGTGGAGTTGGTGCTGGAGGAGTGGGGGCTGGGCCGGTCCCGGTGCTGAGACGGTCGGGAAGGATGGGGGGGTGGAGTTGGTGCTGGAGGAGTGGGGGCTGGGCCGGTCCCAGGGCTGAGATGGTCGGGAAGGATGGGGGGTGGAGCTGGTGCTGGAGGAGTGGGGGCTGGGCCGGTCCCAGGGCTGAGACGGTCGGGAAGGATGGGGGGGTGGAGTTGGTGCTGGAGGAGTGGGGGCTGGGCCGGTCCCAGGGCTGAGATGGTCGGGAAGGATGGGGGGTGGAGTTGGTGCTGGAGGAGTGGGGGCTGGGCCGGTCCCAGGGCTGAGATGGTCGGGAAGGATGGGGGGGGTGGAGTTGGTGCTGGAGGAGTGGGGGCTGGGCCGGTCCCAGGGCTGAGACGGTCGGGAAGGATGGGGGGGTGGAGCTGGTGCTGGAGGAGTGGGGGCTGGGCCGGTCCCAGGGCTGAGACGGTCGGGAAGGATGGGGGGGTGGAGCTGGTGCTGGAGGAGTGGGGGCTGGGCCGGTCCCAGGGCTGAGACGGTCGGGAAGGATGGGGGGGTGGAGTTGGTGCTGGAGGAGTGGGGGCTGGGCCGGTCCCAGGGCTGAGATGGTCGGGAAGGATGGGGGGGTGGAGCTGGTGCTGGAGGAGTGGGGGCTGGGCCGGTCCCAGGGCTGAGACGGTCGGGAAGGATGGGGGGTGGAGTTGGTGCTGGAGGAGTGGGGGCTGGGCCGGTCCCAGGGCTGAGATGGTCGGGAAGGATGGGGGGTGGAGTTGGTGCTGGAGGAGTGGGGGCTGGGCCGGTCCCAGGGCTGAGACGGTCGGGAAGGATGGGGGGTGGAGTTGGTGCTGGAGGAGTGGGGGCTGGGCCGGTCCCAGGGCTGAGATGGTCGGGAAGGATGGGGGGTGGAGTTGGTGCTGGAGGAGTGGGGGCTGGGCCGGTCCCAGGGCTGAGATGGTCGGGAAGGATGGGGGGGGTGGAGTTGGTGCTGGAGGAGTGGGGGCTGGGCCGGTCCCAGGGCTGAGATGGTCGGGAAGGATGGGGGGGTGGAGTTGGTGCTGGAGGAGTGGGGGCTGGGCCGGTCCCAGGGCTGAGACGGTCAGGAAGGATGGGGGGGGGTGGAGTTGGTGCTGGAGGAGTGGGGGCTGGGCCGGTCCCAGGGCTCAGATGGTCGGGGAGTCATGGGCAGGGTCGGTGCTGGAGCTGGGCTCAAGGAGGGCAATGCTGGGAGAACCTCCCTTGTGTTAGTTGGAGACTCCGCATGGGGACGGGGAGGCCCCTGGGCTGATGGGAAGAGCCAGCGGGTGGCCTTTGAGGCTAGGGGTGGGGAGCATTTCCAGCCCCAGGAGGCTGTCCGACCCGCCCAGGGGACTCGCGGTGCCTCCCCGCCCGGGACAGGGCTGATCCGGGCCCAAGGCTCCACCCTCTGCTCCCTTCCCTGCAGAGAAGTTCAACACCTACGTGACCCTGAAGGTGCAGAATGTCAAGAGCACGACAATCGCAGTGCGGGGGAACCTGCCCTGCTGGGAGCAGGACTTCATGTTGTGAGTACAACCCTTGGGTGGGGCGGGGGACGCCAGGAGTCTGGGGGCTCCCGGGGCCTTGTGCTCTTGGGAAGCTGGTGTCAGATAAACCCCGTGTGCCGCAGGAGTTCCACAAATCCTCAAAATCAGGTATGTGCCGGATAAACTGGGAAGTCGGGAGCTCGGATGCAGGATCCTTGGAGAGTCTCAGGTCACCCCACCTTCGATGGGTGGCCCGGAGAAACTCCCGGCCCCTCGGCAGCCTCCAGGCCATGGAGCCTGCAATCGCATGGAGGGGAAGGGGAGGCGTCTCTTGGCGCACCCATGGCCGTTGGCCCTGCCAGACCCCCAGGTGGGTGCCGGATCCCTGCTCTCTGCCTGGGCACGATGCCCGAGGCACTCGACACACTGGTTGAGAGCCAGAGAAAGCCACTGCAGTCTGCAGAGGGGGCCTGGGGAACCAGAGCAGGGTGAGACCAGGAATTCCCGACCTGTCAGTAGTGTAAACACCTGCCGTGTCACAGAGAGAGGGGCATGGGGCATGCCTGGAGGCCACAGCTAGGCACAGAGCCTGGGGCTGCTAGGAACATGGCAGCTGTTAACCCCAAGACGAGGCAGCCCCTGGGGGAATCCCAGCAGCAAGGGAGAGACTGGCGCTGAGGACCGGGCTGCTCCACATGGCAGGAAACCGCCTGTCCCCTTTGCTCCCTCATTCTGCATCCATCTGCTTAAAGCGTCAAACACCAGCGCGTCCCAGACCTGTGGTCAGGGGGCTGCAGGAGGGGCCGCTGCAGACACAGCCATGACTCACCAAAGGGCCCTAATTACCATCACTCGAATGATGCTCCCATCTCAGGCTACACACTCCGGTGGGAGATTAAAGTGATGTCACAGAGTGTGGGGGAGTCCGGGGCCTGCACCCCTCTTCCTGGGATTCACCGTGACTCTCAGCCAGCCAGTAAAACGGAAGGTTTATTGGACAATAGGAACACAGTCTAAAACAGAGCTTGTGGGTACAACCAGGACCCCTCTGTCAAGTCCTTCTGGGGGGCAGGGAGCTTAGACCCCAGCCCTGGGGTTCCCTGGTTCCACCACCCAGCACCAAACTGAAACCAAAACCCCCCCAGCAGGCTCCCTCCTGCAGCCTTTGTCCAGTTTCCCCGGCAGAGGTGTTACCTCCCTGTCCCCCTCCTGGCTCAGGTGACAGGCTCTCAGGTCTCCCATCCCCAGTGAAACTCCCCTGCCACATTCCCAGGTCAACACTCCCCCCTCCCTGCTGCGTCACAAGTGCCAAGGGTCAAACCGTTGGCAGCTCCAGATTTGTCCTTGCTCAGAAGCCGGCTCCTCCGACGGTCGAAGACTCTGACGTCTACGCAGCAAAGCAGGAGGAGATTCGGAAGCATGTTGGTGTGTGTTAAACTCACACCTCGGATGCTGGGAAATTCAAACTCCCCCTCCACACACACATTTCTGTAGGACCTACCAAAGAAAAAAGTGCCCCCCTCCACAATTAACTCCGACACAATTTCCAGAGCTGAGCTGTGTCCAGATGACAAGTCACAGCTAGTGCAATCTTGGGAGCTGGCGCTGTCTATCTAACCTCCCTATGCCGTGTTCCAGCGCTGGGGGGGGGCTCCCAGTTCCCCCGGTCCCAGCCTCTCCCAGCAGGGGGCGCTGTGGGGAATGGGGCAGCAGCACTGACTCCCAGCTGCAGTGAGTGGCCCTGTGGCATGAGCTCATTCATATATGGGGCCGGGAGCCAAGGCCACCCAGGGCTTCGGGAGAGGCAGTGAGCCAGATGGGGCCAGCGCCGATGGGCACGTGGTCACTTTGCTTCCCTTGCAGTGAGATTAACCGGTTGGACCTGGGGCTGACGGTGGAGGTGTGGAACAAGGGGCTGATCTGGGACACCATGGTGGGGACGGTGTGGATCCCCCTGCAGACCATCCGGCAGTCCAACGAGGTAGGCACAGGGCGCTCTCCCCAGCAGGGCCCAGACAGCAGCCACTCCCGGACCTTCCTGGCTCCTTGTCCTGGTCTCTGCCCTTCGGAGCCCGGCCAGGACTGGGCATCGCTCGCCACCTGCCGGCCTTCTGGGGGGCGGGGAGAGGGGAGGGTCTGTGTCTGGGGGGAGCCACCCGTCCCCTGGACCCCGAAGTCCCCTTCCTGTGCCGAGGCTCAGCCTCCTCCTAACCCACAGGGCACTTCCCGGCAGAGCCAGGCTGGTGGTGCCAGGAGACAGGTGGGGAAGGGCAGGTGTCCACCTGCTTGGGGGTGGGGAGAGTCAGCCAGGGGGATTTGAGGTTCTCTTCCAGCAGCTGGGAGGAAAGCAAGGTGGGGGGGCAGGGAGGAGGAGTCTCCAGGGTGCAAAGGGTTAATGATGAGCCTGTGGACCAAGCCCTTGTCCCCCCTGAAGCGGTCGATGCTCTAAGGCGCCATGGGGCAGGCCAGGGATTTAGCCTCCCTGCCCTGGTACTGCTCCTGCATGCTCCATGACCTGGCACTGCTTCAAATCATCTTCTCCTGAAGGGGGGCTCGAGGCAGGGGGCAGGTGGATGGGACATGGCTGTCCAGACAGCACAGCTCTTCGCTATTGCTGCTAGCAGGAGGGAGAGCAGGGGTCTGGGACTCCCGACTCCTGGGTTCCATTCCTGGCTCAGGAAATCGCTCCCCCCCTTGTGCCTCAGTTTCCCCCCCCCCAGTAACAGACCCTCCCCCAGCACACAGAGCTGTGAGGCTTAGCCCCATGAAAGGGCCAGAGCAGGGGAGCATGACTGGGTTATTTGCCAGGCTGGGAGAGTCTAAACTGAGCTTCATTCCCCTGGCATCTGTCCTGACCCCCCAGTTCTCTCCCCTAGGAGGGCCCCGGGGAATGGCTCACCCTCGACTCCCAGGTCATCATGACTGACAACGAGATCTCTGGCACCAAGGACCCCACCTTCCACCGCATCCTGCTGGACACCCGCTTTGAGTTACCGCTCGGTACGGTGCCCTCCTCAGGGCCAGGGGGCAAGAGGGGCTCCTGGCCTGTGCCCCCATCCCTATCCGTGTGCCCGGGGTTCTCCCTCCTTGGGGATATTTCCCGCCTCACACCCCAGATGTGTAGATGAGGGGGGATTGAAAGAGATGGGGGGGCCCAAAACTGGAAACACAATGGGGGCTGTGGTTCAGGATTGAGGGGCACCAGCAGAGCTGTGGGGCGAGCCCAGGGCTGGGATAGCTGGGGCTGTGGTTCAGGATTGAGGGGCACTGGCAGAACTGTGGGGTGAGCCCAGGGGTCAGGACTGAGGGGCAGCATCACAGTGCTTTCCTGGATCCCCTCCCTCACGCCGTGTGCCCAGCTTACAGCTCCTCCTCTCCACCCTCCTTTCCCTTCCGGTGACGAGCTGATCGGAGTGTGGGGCTCCCCAACTCCACTCCCACTCCCCAGGCTGGAGCTGGGAGCCCTGGCTCCTGCCCGTCTCGGTCCCAGCCTCTGGTCCTTTCCCCTGGTGAATTGATGCCAACAATCAATGCAGTGACATCGCTGGCTCCCTGTAAGGGCAGATTTCGCCGTCGCCCGCCACAAGCCAGCATCGGGGGTAAGGCTGGGACGACAATTTCTCTCCCATCTCCTCTGGCCCAGCCTTGCCACACCCCTTCCCTCCATGCCCCACAGATCCACCCCCCCACACATCCCCAGCATAGGGCTGCCTCTCCCTGCCATCCTCTGCTCAGCTGCAGGCCCAGCCAGAGGCCGGTCCCATGCTCCAGACGTGGGCCCCCATATGCAGGGCCCCAGGGGCTGCGTTGGGAGGGAGGGGCCGGGCTGCAGAGACCCCACGGGCTGCTGGCAAGGGGGCCTCTCTGCTTTCAGACATCCCCGAGGAGGAGGCCAGGTACTGGGCGAAGAAGCTGGAGCAGCTGAATGCTATGAAGGATCAGGACGATGTAAGTCAGCTCTGGGGCCTGGCACCCCCTGCCGGCCCTGATCCCCTGTGTGTGTCCTCAGCTCCCCCCGCCCCCCAGCACTGCTGGGTTGTGTGCATGCGGGTGGCGCCTGGCTGGGCGAGCGTGCCAGGGCCTCACTGGCAGAGACAGGACCAGGGGGACGGGGCAGGAAATCAGAGCGTCCCGCAGGGATTTGCACTGAGTGCCCTGGGGGTCACCCCCTGAAGGGCTGCGGGACCTGGGGGAGGGGGCCGGGCCGGAGACTGCCTGGCTGGGGGGCCCGTGACCATCCCTCTGTTCTCTCCCCAGTACGAGTTCCAGGAGGAGCAGGACAAGCCGCTCCCCGTGCCCGGCTCCCCGTGCTGTAAGTACCGATCACCTCCAGCATCCAGCCCCCAACTCCTCTGGGTCTGTGACCCGCCCGCTCCCGCAGAGCTGGGTCACAGGCGCCTCTCGGGCCAGACCCCAGGGGGGCTGGATGGTGCCTGGACGGAGCTGGGGGGTGGGAGGAGCTTGTGGCATTTCCTGACTCTGTGCAACACCCCGGAATTTGTTTGACCCCCACCAGGTGAGGTGGGATGAGGATGATCATAGGGCCTGTCTCCCTTGCCCCCCAACTCATGGTCCCCACCCAGTTCCCGTGCATGGCCCCCCCCAACCTGATTAGCATGGGGCCGACGCCTCTCACCCGCACCCTGCGCGTCGCCCCCTCTGGGTCAGCAGCTGCAGCTTGGCAGCGTTCCTGCAAGGGGGCGACAGCTGGGGAGGGGTCTGGGCTGACGACACGCCCCAGCCAGGGAAGCAGGGACTCGGCCTCGGTCGCTGGAGACATGATCCCCCTCCTCCGAAGTCCTTGGCCCCCTTCCCTCTCTCCTTCCTCCTGCTTTGTCTCCCTCCCCTCCTCTGCCGTGTGTTCGCTCTCCTCCGCTCCCATCCTCTGCCTTGGTCTGGGAAGCTTTGGAGCAGGGTCCATTCGGCTCAGCCCGCGTCGGGGAGGCAGGTTGCCTGAACAGAGGGGGGAGCAGGAAGGGCAGGGAGCAGTTGGGACGGGGCTGAGGAAGAGCTGACAGGGATGGGGACTCAGCAGTGGCTTAGGGAGAAGGGCCCAACTCACCGAGGGGAGATAAAGCCACGGCATGGAGGGTCGGATCTGGCCGAGTAGCACCGAGCCTGGAGGAAGCTGGGTCTGGGTGGCCCTGCTCACGTGGGGAAGGAACTAAGGCATCAGGGCCGGAGCATCTGAGGTAGGGAGGTGCCCACATGAAGGCAGAGTTGAGGACTCGATCCTCCCCAAATCTCTTGGCCTTGCAGTGAGATGTGGCCCCACCCAGCCCAGCTGGCAGGAGAGTCGCTGGGTGACCTTGAACCAGTCACTTCCCCCAGCCTGCTGACATTCCATGCCTCGGTTTCCCCCTCTGTGCCATGGGGGTCATCACACCCACCTCAAAGGGCTGGGCGTTGAGGCAAATTGGTCATTGGGCCTAATTCTCTCCTGCCCTAAGGCCGGTGAGGTCAGTGGGGTTACCCCAAGGATGACTCTGCCCCATTAGATCTGAGCCAGGCGTGAGGGGTTCTCACCCCTGCTTCTGCTGATGTCCTTCAGCGTGGCGTCCGGCCTCCTGCATTTGCTCCTTCCTGCTGCCCCAGGCTTTCTTCCCCTGGTTCACTGTGGCACGAAGGCTGGGGAGCTGCGTATGCAGCTGTGGGCTCTGGCTGAACGGCTTGTGGGTCTTTTTGGCACGCTCGTGTTGACGAATTCGGAGAACAACGACCAGCCGAGATCTGGCCAGGGAGCGGGGCCCCCCAGGCCCTGAATGTGGAGATGGCGGCTTCAGGGACCAGTGCCAGGCTCTCTCCTCCCGGGGAGGGTGGGAGGGGCAGAAAGAGGGGCTCGGGATGCCCGGAGCAGCCCCACAGCGGAACACCCCAGCCCCTCCCACTCCCCATCCGGGGCGAGAAGGAGGCGACCCAGATCCACCAGGATTTAAGAGCCACTCCCCCGCCCTATGCTCTTTCTCCCAGCCTGCCCCGAACATCTGGATCTGTCTCTCACAAACCCCCGCTCTTCCCCCAGTCCTCTCCTGCCACGAATCCTTGCTCTCCCCATGTCCTTGCAGCGTGCCTGATCCACCCTCTCCGAGCCTACGGCAGAGAGGGGCCCAGGACGCGGCGCTCAGCTCAGGGTCTGAATTTCCCCAGCGCTTGGTGGGGGCCGGGGCTGGAGCCAGAACCCCGACTCAGCCCGGCGTTGCGCCGGAGTCTGAGCGTCGGGGCTGCGGGGGGAAACTGGGGGTTTGCTTTGGGCCTGGCTCTAAATGGGGCTTGGTTGTCCCACCCGGGCTCTAACACCTCCTCCCACAGCCGTGTCCATCTTATTGTCTCTGCCCCTTTTCTTTATAGGCAACTGGAATTATTTTGGCTGGGGAGAGCAGCAGAGTAAGTATCTGATCGCCTTCTCGCCCCGAATGCAGGTGGCACCCCCCTTTCCTACCCACTGGCCTCCCAAAGGGCTGCCCATGCACCCACCCCCAACCAGGGGGAGGAGCATTCTGCCTCTGGCCCCCTAAGGCCCGGCGGCTAAAACAGAAGAGCCATGCAGGGGAGCAGAGGGGTCCAGGTGGCTCAGGGAGTGGCATGACTAGCGGGCAATGCAGGGGGGCCTGGGACTAGCCTCACCTCTGCCTTGGCCTTGCCTGGCTTTCATCTTTTCATGTAGCTGGGACGTCTCCCCAGTGCTCCTGGATAGAGGGGCACAGGACTGTCTACAAATACTTTTTTAAATGGGGTGGGTGGATGGACCGTCCCCGGGGCAGGGAGGCTGGGCTCAGGGGGATGGGGCAGCATGCAGATGGCATTGCAATCTTTGGTCAATCCCAGCCCGGACACAGGGCACTGGGCTTTTCTTGGTCCATGGGCACCAGCCAGAGGGGATTGCCCAGGGACCCCCTGCCTCTCCAAGGCAGGAGAGCAGTAGGGGTAAGTCGGCATCCTGTAGACCCCTCCTCCATCTCTTCCTCCCCCTCTCCCCTCCCACCTTATGTATACTCCCATTCCCTCCCCTCCCTCCCAGGCTGGGGTAGCGGCTCTGGCTGATTCACCAGGATAAGGAATCCCATTGCACTCCACCCCCTGGAAGGTGGAAGGTCCTTGCGGGCTGGGGGAAGGCAGCTTGGTGGGTTGATGCCCTGAAGGCCCTGGGCGCTCCCAGGCTGGAGGATGTGGTAGGCCTTGACCTCCCGCTCACGGCACCATGGCCACGCTGCTGACATCTGCCCAAGCTGGGAACGACGCTCCAGTGTAAGATGCACAGAGCTCGACCGTCTAAATCCCCCTTCTCGACTCCGCCCCACCCGCTCCAATGCACCAGCCGAGCACACAGCTCAGTCATGCCCACCAGTGCTCAGGCACCAGGCGGAACCGTATGGCCTCGAACTCCAGTGTCAGGCCCACTCCCTCCAAACGGAAAGGAGCCCTAAGAGGTGACGGAGGGCAGCCTTGAGTGGGACAGAGTTCTGCAGGATTGGGGAGCTGGCATGGTGCCCAGCCACCAGGGTCTAGCCTCTGCCAGCGGTCTGTGCACAGGGGGTGGGTTGTGGAGCAGGGTGAACGGGCACACGGAGGCAGACTGCTGCTGGGGCGCACCGGGGCAGCTTGGCTTTGGTCAGAGCCATCGGCTACCAGAGCATGAAACTTCCCTGTGTACCCAGCAGGTGCCAGTGCCCCTCTTCCCACACACACAGCCGGGGCCGGATACCCAGAGCTTCTGGGCATTGGCAGTGCCCTGGACATCAGCGCCCACCAAGCGTAGGCCCCTCTCTAGGCCTCGGTCGGTGTCTTCCAGCTGAGTCTCCTAGGAGAAAGTCCCACAGAGGCGGGGGCCTTTGAAGCAGTGGCCCGGTTCTCACTGATGCCAGCCGGGCAGTAGAGGTTGGCATTGTCCTTGCTGCTGAGACAGTGGCTATCTCAGGCCTCTCTGTCATGCTCTGGCCTCTGGCCCCTTCCCATGCAAAACACTCACCGGTGGCAGCCGGCCCTTTGCAGATGACGACCCCGACAGCACCATGGATGACCGGGACAGCGATTACCGAAGCGAGACCAGTAATAGCATCCCGCCTCCGTACTACACCACTTCCCAGCCCAATGCCTCGGTCCACCAGTATCCCATGAGGCACCAGCAGCAGAGCTCCCGCGACTCGTACACGGACTCCGTGCAGAGCTACGAGGTGGACTACTCGGAGCAGCGGCCCATCAGGTAGAGTTGGGGAAGGCCGGCGCCGGCCCTCGGAAGGCAAGTGCTGCAGATACGTGGTGGCTGGCAGCCCCAGCCATCAGGTGGGAGAGGTTAGGCCAGCCTATGCTGCAACAATGACGGGGAGAGAGATGGATGGGAAGGGAGCTGTCTCGGAGGAGGAGAAAAGCCTTGCCCTTGGGCAGATTAGCTAGAGCTCTTGGCACAGGTTGGACAGAGCTGGTATGCAGTGGTGCCCACCCTAGCATTTCTGTGCCGACGCCAGCCGCTTCCTCCAGAATCTTAGCTTTCATTCAAAATTAAAATCCAGGCTCTGTGGGGAAAGCCCCGGAGGCTGCGCGGATGCGGGCAGTTAGAACCTGCTGCCCGAGGAGAGGGGCCAGCGGCTGCCTGCATTCCTCTCGCTGGATGTTTAACTCTGAAACCTAATGATGGGCTCCAGTGGTGCCCTTGTTCACTGTTCTGTGGCAGTAGAAACAGCAATTCTGGGATTGTGGGCGGAGTTTGGGATTGTGGGCGGAGTTTGGGATTGTGGGCGGAGTTTGACTAACCAGTGCTTCCTCCCCATCTAATCCCTGGCTAGCGTTAGAACGCTGAAGGGTAAAGCAAAACCCTAAGAAACATCGGGGAGAAGAAGGTTTGGGGGATCCATCCAAGTCCCAGGGACAGTCCTCTCCACTCTGGAGACACCGAGGGCAGGGCTATCGCTGATCAGGATTTAGGTGCTCGGGCAGGGCTGTGCAGGACGGACCAGGAGTGGAGTAGCTGAAGATGCTACAGAGACGTTGTGGAGCTGTCTGGGCCCAGCCTGGAAGTGTAGCCGGGCTGTCCACATTGGCAGAGCTGTCGGGGGAAGTTTCCATGCCGTCTGCCTTCCCTGCACCGATCTATCTGTTGGCCGCACAGCCTCCCTGCTCTTCAGCGTTCAGCCTCAGGACCCCTCACTCCCACCCTCAGGGAGATCCCAGATTGGGGAATACCCTCCTAGCCCTCCCCCAAAGTCCTACACTCCCTCGGGCATGGGGGGAATGGCCGCAGGACCCCCAGTGCCATGGCTCCGTCGGTGTGTGGGCGGATGCCAGGGGCGCGGCCCCGAGGAGAGGCGGTTTCATGCGGCGCGGCCCTACTGGGAGCTCATTGTCTGCTGTGGGGTCGTTGGTTCCCGGGTGACCGTTGCTGACCATGTTCCTCTCCTCCCCGGCAGACGCTACGATAGCGTCGATTCTGCCACAAACGGGCCCAGCGACGCTGAGTCCGCCTCCGAGTCGAGCAGGCGGGCCAGCCGCCAGTTCTCCCTTGAGAGCAGGCGGTCCCTAGACCTATCGGAGAGGTGGGTCTCTACCTTGTCTCTAGCCTTGTGCCTGATGCAGCGTGCTGTGGTGGGTCCTTGCCGCCCGGGTTAGGCCGATACCAGTCCCGGCAATGGCAGCCCCAGGTGGCTGCTGGAATTACCCGCTGCCTTCCCCCTCCCCGGCCACTCCTGCGTATCAGATTCATCGGCCCCGGAGGGAAATGACAAGGCTCCTTTGCGTGGGTCCCTCGCGGTGTCCAGTGTAAAGTGCATTGCACATGCATCCCAGCTGCAGAGAGAGATGCCCGAGCCAAGGGACCGGACCGGTTCTCTGAAGGGTTCTCCCTGAGGCAGGGTTCCCTGGCCATCGGGCAGTTGATGCCAGTTGGGCAGGTTGGCATTGTCCTTGCTGCTTTGACAGAACCAGAACCAGTGTGGGGGGGGAGAAATACCTAAAGGGGGCAGGATGGAGCCTGGCAGCTTCCTTCACCTGGCTGGGATTGAAGGCATTCTGTTCACGCCCTGTGACCTGGGCGTGCGGCTGGCTCGGTCGGCCCACGCCGCCTTGGTCCTTTGACCAGTCCCATTCTCACCACCCCAAAGGTGGGGTCGGCCGCCCCTTGCTTGGGGTCCCCATTGCCCCATCTAACTGGCCTCCCCAGTAGGACCAAATCTCCGGGGTGCGGTTTCCCGGAGCACTCAGCAGGGTGGGAAGCCAGGCTCCAGATCTCAGCACACCCTCCACCCATGCACGACCAACGTTCAGAGCCCAGCTTCAGCGCTGCTGCTGGCTCCCTCCCTGGTGGCCCGTGAATGATTTAAACAGCGAGGGGCCAGGGTAGCTGCCTGGCAGGGTAGCTCTAGGCCTCATGGGGAGGAAACACTGACGAGAATGTGCAATGCATTTGAGGACACCTACCCTTGCCTGGGGAAGCCTGATCCTGAGACCTTGATGCGCTCGGGGTTTTACAGGATTGGGGCCTGGAGCCCCACATGGGAGGGGTGACTCCTGTGCTTTTGAGCATTTTCCTGGCTCTTTAAATTCTCTTTTGGGGGGTGGGGTTTGGTGAGGGGGACTCTGGGTGCTGAGGAGCCCGGAGTGGGGAGGTCTTACCTCTCTTCTCTGCCACAACCTGGCCGGGTCCCCTCGGTGATGAGTCCCAGCTCTGTGAGCTTGGATGACCTCCCCCGGTGCGTCCATCCGCAAGCCACCCATACTCTCCCAGGCCTGGCAACCGGCCCCTCCAGCCGGCTTCCTGCCGAACGTGGGGCTTGGCCAGAAGGGTACCCGTGCCGGTGTGTGCGTGCCCTCCCCGCTCCCACCCCCCACTGCCGGTGCCGGAGATGTGGTGTCGGCCTATCCCCAGGCGTGTCCCTGTACTATGTCTGCATGCGCGCTTACTGTGAGCCTCTCCGCTCGGAGGCACCGCGATTGCTGTGGTGCTCGGAGAATCGCCCCTGGTTTTCTCCCTCCTTGTGTCCAGTGGTTTGGTTTGTCAAAGACCCCCTTCTCCCCGAACCCCCTCCCTCTGAGCCCTCCACCTTCCTCCCCCGGAGCCTCCCCCTGACCGGATCCCTGAGCAGTGGGCTCGGCCTGTGGGGAGAGGCCCGAGGAGTGTATCTGGGGTGGGCGGGGGCCAGGCCAGGCTGGCGGAGGAGCTGGGCAGTGGGGCGGTGTGCCGGAGAGGCAGTGGGATGGGGGGGGCGGAAGGGAGGGCAGGAGAGAGGAGCTGTGGGGAGAAGAAAGAGTTGAGGGATTTCTGAGCGCGATGGAGGAGCGAGTGATGGGGAGAAGAGGGAATGGCCGGAAAGGGCACGTGGGGGGGGACCATGGGCGTGGGCTACACCCGGCTGCCCATGCAGCGCCGCTCCCAGGGGGGCACCGCGTGCCTTGGCTGACAGAGGCACGTCTGCTCTGCCTGCCGCCTGGGGGCTGCTGAGAGGATGGGCAAGGGGTCTCTGAGGTACCCCAGCCTAACTGGCCAGCCGCCGATTGCAGGCCCCCCCCACCAATTTCCCATTCTCCGGCCCAGCCGTGAGGCCCAGGATCGGGGCCAGAGCAGCGGCGTGGCACTGGGCCCCTCCGGTGCCGCCTGGGCTGAGGAGCAGGACTGGAAAGCGGCGACATTTCCCTCTCCCTGCCCCCGCTGCCGGCTCACCCGCGGGCCCAAGCCGCGGGCGGGTACCAATGGGCCCATCCTGGCACGCCTCCCCTCAGCGGCGCCGCCTGGTGGCCAGGCTCCGGCAGCCTGGGGAAGGATACAGCCAGCTGGACGGGGCAGGGGGAACCGGCTGGGACCCACAGGCTCATTTTAAGCCTTTTCTGTCCTCTCCCCTCCATCCCACCCCCACACAGCCCCACCGGGAGCAGCCATTATGCCTCGTCCGGGGAGCTGAGCCAAGGCAGCTCCCAGCTGAGCGATGACTTCGACCCCGACAACGAGAGCCTGCGGGGCTCGGAGCTGGACGAGCGGGACGGGGACTCCTACCACTCCTGCCACAGCTCCGTCAGCTACCACGATGACTCGCCCCACTGGGAGGAGGACTTCTACCCTGAGGAGGAGGACGAGGACTACAGCGAGAACGAGCGGGACTACCCCCAGGCCCGGGCCGCCCCGCTGCGGGACCAGGAGGCGGACGAGGCCAAGCCCCTGGAGCGCGAGCCCTACCCACAGCCGCCGGTCAAGCAGCAGGTGCCAGCACAGAAGCAGCAGCAGGAGAGGAAGGAGGAGAAGGCAGCTTATGTCCTGGAGGAAACTCCGGAGATCCCCCAGGGAAAGCCAGCAGCGGAGGAACCCCCGGTCCCAGAGAGAGCGCCGGAGCCCCCAAAGCCAGCCGAGAGGTGAGGAGGAAGGGGGGGCGCTGGCAGAGGGAGGAAGGGCTCCCAGGTGGGTGGCGTTTTCTCCTGTAGGTCTCCAGGCTGCCTACGGTGCTCACCCACCCTGGGGCCAGGCAGCTGGGCCTGGCTGGGGTGAGCCGTGCAGTGACCTGTGCTGGCCCAGGGAACTGGAACGTAAAGCCCGGGGCTCGGACTGGCAGCGTGCTGTGTCCGCAGGGCCAGCTCTCTGGCGTGCCCCGTCCCTGCGCTGGTCCTGGGCGGCCACGATGGGCGTGAGCCATAGCTGGCGGTAACAACTCATGGTGTGTATGTCACGCTAGCGACCCGTGGAGCCGGCACGCTAGCAACCTGTGGGGGGCTCACACTAGCGACCCACGGGCCCAGCACACTAGCGACAAGTGGGGAACTCATGCTAGCGACCAATGGGAAGGTCACACTAGTGACCCGTGGGGCCGGCACGCTAGTGACCCATGGGGAGGTCACACTAGTGACCCGTGGGGCCGGCACGCTAGTGACCCATGGGGAGGTCACACTAGTGACCCTTGGTGCTGGCATACTAGTGGGGACATGAGCTCCTTGCACACTGTGGCCCACTGCTACATGACCCAGGGGGGAGCATGTGGCTGCCATGAGTGTGCCCTGTGCCAGGCTGGCTGGTTGCTGGGCACCCCACTGCTGCACGGCGACCGGGCCATAGGCATGGAGGAGGGGCCCGGGCTGACGTTCTGAACCAGGCTTAGGGCCCCGTCCTGTTCTCCTTGGTGCCCACGGAGCCTTTCCCTTTATGCCAGCAGCAGCTGGAGCAAGCCCCAGGACCTGGGCCCCAGCAGCCTGAAGCAGCTGTGGTGCCTCGATCCCAAGCTGGCGATGGCTTTACCACTGTGGCACCCAGACCTGCTCTGAGCAGGGGCAGACAACACAGGACCAGACATGCTGCCTGCCCCGGGAGCGCTGCCCCACCCCCTCCGGCCGGCAGAGCTGACCTGGGGCCAGCGCCCAGGGGAAAGGCTTGGGAGGAAAAGCCTGGTACAGAGGGAAGCCCCCGGAGCTGGGTGCTGAGCTTGGGTCTGCTCTGTCACAGCTCTGGGCACCTTTGGCACAGCGAGCTGCAAGCAGTGAAGGGCCTGCCAAGCTGTCCACAGGTCTGGTGCTCTCAGACAGCTCTGCAAAAGTCCCTGGGAGGACCTCTTCAGGGGATCAGCCCCCGCAGGGTCACACAGCCGCTGGGGTCAGCCCCTCGGCTTCACTGCTCCTGGGACCGAACCTCAGAGCCTTCAGCCCCCCTGGGTCATGCCGTGAGCTCCCCTCAGCGAGTCCACCTGGCTTGGACACCTGGGGAAGACTTGCACCCCCAAAGGGAGCAGTGCACCCCAACTTCCTGCCCCTGTAACAGCTGTCTGGAACACAGCGTAGAAAGTCCTTAGTTACCATAGAGAACAGAAAGTTACAGCAAAGTTCATCAGGGTCAATCCAGACCCTCTAAACCTTTCTCCCTGCCTCCAGCAGCCCACACTTACCTACCCCACCTGGTCCCTCCTCAGTCCTTTGTCCTCCAGCTGCTCACACTCGGCTGGCTTCTTAAGGAGGGTGGGCCGTTCAGGGTTGTTTGTTGCTAGGTGCCAAGAGTCCGGGCAATTGGAGTGACCATTGTCTTCTGGGACTGTCCATGGGCGTTGTCACGGAGTCCCTGAGCGATGCTCTGGAACTGCTCCCCATGAAGCCAGTCAGGACTCTGGGGCAGTCGCCTTTCTGTGAGCAGCCTGTCTTCAGGACACGCAGCTCACACAGCTTCCACCTTCCTGGGTCTGACCTCGGAGCATTCAGCATCCTCTGCCCCTCCGTGCGCTTCCCCCAGCGAGTCCGCCCAGGCGGGCTCCTGGGGAAGCCAGAGGGTCCTGCACCACAACTTCGCAGTCAGACGTGACTCTCAGCCAGCCAGTAACACAGAAGGTTTATTAGATGACAGGAACATGGTCTAAAACAGAGCTTGCAGGTGCAGAGAACGGGACCCCTCAGCTGGGTCCATTTTGGGGGGCAGTGAGCCAGACAACCACGTCTGCACTTCACTCCATGTCCCAGCCAGCCCCAAACTGAAACTCCCCTCCAGCCCCTCCTCCTCTGGGCTTTGTTCCTTTCCCGGGCCAGGTGGTCACCTGATTCCTTTGTTCTCCAACCCTTTAGCTCTCACCTTGCAGGGGGGAAGGGCCCAGGCCATCAGTTGCCAGGAAACAGGGTGTCGGCCATTCTCTGTGTCCAGACTCCTGCACACACATGCCCTCTAGGGCTCTGCAATGATCATACACCCTTACCCCACCCCCTAGATACTTAAGAACTGCCTAGGGGAAACTGAGGCACCCCCACACTATTCAGAGGAAACATTAAGAATAGTCCCACTTCGTCACATCTCTCCCCCCTTCGAGATCGAACTGAGCGGGGTCACTTTAGCCGGTGACCTGGGGAAGTTCGAAGCCACCAACGTTCCCATGGATGCCCCAGCATCTCTCCCATTCCTTGGTAGGAGTTACACCAGGCCCTTCCATTTTCACACCCTCCCTTAGGTCAGGGGTGGTCGATAGCACTCGCAGGCCGCATGTGGGAAGGTTTATGCAGCCCATGCCCTTTGGCCACCCCAAGAATGTCTCCCCATTGACCATCACCTTCTGCTCCCACTGGAGGTCCGAGGGGCCTGGCCCCAGGAAACTCCACACAGACATATAGGTTGGGGTCAGGAGTGGGAGCCTGTCCACATCCCCAACCATCTGGCTGACGGAGTCTATGGCCTTGGGACCCAGCAAGGGAGCTAGACACCGGGGCTTTTCCGCAGGGTCCCCTTGGTTCAAATCGCCAGCCTGCTCAAAGGCAGTGAGGTGGGCATCCACACCCCCCCCTCCTTAACCAGGGGCAGCAATTTAGTCTCGAGGTTCCCTGCGGAACTGGCCCCCCGGGATCTATCCCCACTCACCCCGGGGAGGTCCCCTAGGCCTCTCCGCTCCCCCACCGCCAGTTCATGCTGCTGCTGCTTCTGCAGCTCTTTCTCGGGCTCTCGCTGTCCCCCACAGTCCTCTTGCTCTCTCAGACTCAGCTCCAATCCCGTCCGTCTCGATCCCCCGATGGGGAACCTGATCGTGAAGACCCTCGTCTGGTCGGGGACAGGAGTCTTGGCGATGCCTGGCTCCCGCTTCAGCTGCTCCCAGATCCTGCTATAGCCCCAGTTGGGGTCAGGAATCTGTTCCTTAGAGCGGTCATCCTCCTCCAGCTGCACGATTAACTCTGCTTTGGTGAACTTTCCAACGCTCAGCCCTCTCTTTCTGCACAGGGTTACAATGTCCTTCTTAAGGAGACAGTGACAGGCCATCACTCCGCTCCTCCCAAGTTGTTGTGGACTCACAGGCCCGTGTGTTCTCAGCTCCCCACGGTTTCCAGGGAGAACCCCTAGTGTGCCAGCCCTTCTCGAGGTCACCACCTCTTTGCCAGGGTTGAGCTGCAGACTCTTCCGTCCGCCCCTTGGACTGCTCGCTGCAATCCCCAGGGGAACCCTGTTACTGCAAAAGTCCTTCTCTCTCCCCGGGCCAAGCTGCAGGCTCCTCCGCCCCTGAGACTGCTCACTGCAGTCCCCAGGGGGACCCCATTACTGCACAGTACTTCTCGCTGGTCACACACTCCCAGGGGTTAACCGCCCCCGAAACCGCTCCTCTCTGAGCCTTCAGCAGGCCTGGTCCTCGGCAATCCCCCTTCGTGTTACTGCTCCCCAGTCACTTACTGCAGGAAGCGCCATCCACGGGGTGCAGTACATCCCACCGCTGCCACCAGTTGTCACGGAGTCCCTGAGCGATGCTCTGGAACTGCTCCCCATGAAGCCAGTCAGGACTCTGGGGCAGTCGCCTTTCTGTGAGCAGCCTGTCTTCAGGACACGCAGCTCACACAGCTTCCACCTTCCTGGGTCTGACCTCGGAGCATTCAGCATCCTCTGCCCCTCCGTGCGCTTCCCCCAGCGAGTCCGCCCAGGCGGGCTCCTGGGGAAGCCAGAGGGTCCTGCACCACAACTTCGCAGTCAGACGTGACTCTCAGCCAGCCAGTAACACAGAAGGTTTATTAGATGACAGGAACATGGTCTAAAACAGAGCTTGCAGGTGCAGAGAACGGGACCCCTCAGCTGGGTCCATTTTGGGGGGCAGTGAGCCAGACAACCACGTCTGCACTTCACTCCATGTCCCAGCCAGCCCCAAACTGAAACTCCCCTCCAGCCCCTCCTCCTCTGGGCTTTGTTCCTTTCCCGGGCCAGGTGGTCACCTGATTCCTTTGTTCTCCAACCCTTTAGCTCTCACCTTGCAGGGGGGAAGGGCCCAGGCCATCAGTTGCCAGGAAACAGGGTGTCGGCCATTCTCTGTGTCCAGACTCCTGCACACACATGCCCTCTAGGGCTCTGCAATGATCATACACCCTTACCCCACCCCCTAGATACTTAAGAACTGCCTAGGGGAAACTGAGGCACCCCCACACTATTCAGAGGAAACATTAAGAATAGTCCCACTTCGTCACACCATTGTCTTCTGGGACTGTCCATGGCCCCCAGGCAGCTAGGCATCCATCACGCCTGTATCTCTGGGTCTCTGCAAAGAGTAAACAACCCATCCCTCTCCCCCCAGTCAACATGCACCACCTAGGGGAAACTGAGGCACACACAATATTCATACAAAACAATATGAAAAACTCACACAAGCAGAAGAGGCAGCCTGCGCTCAGAGGTAGCGCCTACATGTGCACTTGCAGCCAGCCATGCTGGGAGGCGAGCGCTGACCGTATTCTCTTTAACCCCCATCAGAGTCAGGTGGAAAGAAGCTCGGTGTCTCATTTCACCTAAGGCACAAGTGTTCCGCACATCACCCCTGGTCTGGCCGTTCCTGAGCCAGCAGGAACGGCACTGATGGGCCGGCCGGCATTTCCACAAGGTGGGGTAAAGCTCCCCTTTTGGATGGAATGGAAAGGGTCCAATTTGCCCCCCATATGAAGGTCCCTCCCGTGGGAGGGGGAAGGTCCAATGTTGTGGGCTCGGCCCCTCTGGAAAACCAGGCCCCTTTTGTTCAGGTTCCCAACTCTGGATGGAGGAACTAACTTTCAGCCAATTTTTGGCCTCTTTTAATTCTTTTTAAACCTTTAAAAGTTTTCACTTGACCGTGTCCCTTTAAACCACTCACCCTTTCCAAGGAGCCCACAGCAGTTGCTTTGCTGGTTGCATGAGTGCAGCCTTCCTGCCGCACTGGCGTTTACCGGGTTTCCAACCAGTGTAGGATTTAGTTCACTGCACTGGAGTCACGTAGACCCTGGGGTGGCTCTGGTGTTCACTGGACCAGAGCCATGGGGGCTCTGGAGGGGCATCAGTCTGATACCTGGGTGTTGTCACATGTATTAAAGCAGGAAGAAAACTTCCTGGATGGTGTTTGTCTTTCCAGGCTGCAGATAAAAGCCCGTCCATACCCTCCTGAGTTGCAGAGATGAAGAAATTTGATGGTTGCATCCCTGGAATGATGTGAATAATTCACGGATGTTATTCTCTGCTTTTAATATTAAACAGGTCTATTTTTCTATGGTTGGGTGAGCAGAATTGTTCCAAAATGGAGGGGATGCAGCCACAGACTTCTTTCTTGGGTTTTTTACTTTGTTTAAATTATAGACCGAAGCTCTGATTTAAAAGAGCACATAGTGAGCTTTAGAATTATATATATTTATAAAATTAAGAAGGGATGGGGAATCTCAGATGATTCTCATAAAGTTGGCCTCATCTTGCATGCTGAATGCAACATGCTTGTAAAGTGTGTGTTCTGCACTCAATGTCTCCCGCCAGTGCGGGGGGGTCAACATAGAAGATAACAGCCTACTACTGCTACTTATCCCTAACGGTTACCCCTCCAGCTCAAGTGATAGCAGTCTGTGTGTCTGTAGTAATGGTTGCAGACTCCAATCCTCCTGAGACATTGTTCACTTACTTGACTGGATTAAATGACTCGAGATATGGGATGGCGTTTGGGCAGAAATCTTTGACAGCCCTTTCCTGGAGGGATTGGTGTTTAATTTTCAGTGCAGTTCTGCACATCCTGGGTCTCCTGGGACCAGAAGCAGAAGTCCTGCAGTACGGTGCCTCCAGCTCTTTCCTGTCTGAGTCCCAGCCCATGCAGGAGCTGTAAGACCCTGTGATACTGGGAGGGAGATTTCCAGCCTGGCTTGGCAGCTCCAAGGGGCTAGGATAGCGCAGAAGCCAAGTGACCTTTCAGAGGAGCAGTCGTGGTTGTTGGGTGCTTACCTGAACTTGAACCGCCAAACTTTCGGAGCTTTCCTATCACTGCTTTCGTGTCGATGCCCCAGGGCAGGGCCCACAAAGGAAGTATGAGGCTGGGAGGTCAGGACTCCTGGGTTCTGTTCCCAGCTTTGCAGCAGGACTGCAGCCAAATCACTTCCCTTCCCTTTGCATCTCACTTGTTTGTGTTAATGGCTTAATTTTTGATCACGTCTGATTCTGGATAACACAACCTGTTAAATGCCACTCCTTTCTCCCTTACCAGCCCAGAGGGAGGTGAGCAACCTCTACCTCGCAGCCTTCCCATAGACTGTGTGTCAGCAGTGCCATGCCCTGGAGGGCAAAGCAAAAAATGGGTAGACAAGAGCATTTTGCCTTTGCAGAGATGTTAAGCTAATTCCAGTTGAATTCCAGGCATGCTGAAGATCCCATCGCTGGTGAACTGGAAATAAATAGTTTGTGCAACATTGGCTAAACAGCTAAAACAAAAAGCAAGACGGACACACACACACACACACACACACACCCATCTGTAGCCAGATGCCTTCATCAAACACTCTGGCTCTGTAGGAAAGTTGCAGACATGGGTGTCCGTGTAAGTTGGCGGGTGCCACCCCCCAGGCTGGGTCTGAGCCCCCCCTTCCCCCCACCCCGAGTGAGGCCCCACTAAATGCTTGATCTGTCTGTCCAGTTTCAGAGAGCGGGAGGATGTGGAAGTCCAGGACGCCAAGTCCCAGGCCAAGGCCAAGTGGTTAAGAGCATTCAACAAGGTTTGCATGCAGCTGCAAGAGGTGAGTGCACCCCTCCTGCCTCCACCAGCTGACAGGGGGCTGGCAGGGACCTGTTCAAAGAGGACTTAGACAAGACAGGTTGATGACTTTCCCTAGCCAGAGCAGCCCTGGGTTGGAATCGGACGGTAGATGACTCCTGGGGCTGTGGGGAGGGGGTTAGCAAGGGGTGGGGGTTAGCAAAGGCATGGCCTTGTGCAGCCCTGGCTCACTGGGCCTGGTGGGTCCCAACCGAGGGTGAAAGCCCCCCTAGCTTCTCCCATTTGCCCTTGCCGGAGATCATGGGCTCAGGGCCTCCTTGCCATCAGCTGGGCAGCACTGACCAAGCCACCCTCTATGGAAAGGAACAGGAGGTTTCTTCATCTAACTAGAACCTGCCTTTGACCCCAGTCCCATCCGCAGAGCAAGTACCGGGGCGGCTAGTGCACAGCCCTGGAGTGCTGGAGACTTGGCCAAGATGGCGGGTAGGGTGGCTGGGGGAACAGGAGAAGGAGCTTTGGGCAGAGCCGAGCGAGCCTTCCTGTATCACCGCATGCACCTGCCCAGCCCTGTGGCCCCTGCCCAGCAAAGCACTGAAGAGCTGCATGTTCCCAGTGAAGTCAGTGGCCCGTTTGCTGAACTGGGACTTCAGGATACGTCTACACAGCACAAGGTGGGCATGGGCCAGCCTCCCTGACCTGGCCTGAATCCAGCGGGCGTGGCTAAGCGACGACAGGCTTCGGAGTGGGCTAGCGGGCCCAGTGTGGACCCTGAGTCCGCACTGGGCTTGGGTTACCCAAGCTGAAGCCCCTGCTGTGCTGTCTTCCAGCTGTCAGCTGCACTCACTGGCTTCAGGCTAGCTCGGGTGCTGTGTAGATAGGCCCCTAGCCCCCAAGCAGGACTTCTTCCCCAGGAGAAGGGTAGAGTGCAGAGCACTGAAGCAGGGCTCACTTCTGGATGTGTCTGGTTCGTGCAGACGTTAATCTGTCCACGTGGCTCCCTCCCCCACCTCCACCCTCTGTCGCTTTTATTGAGTTGACCATTTTTTGTTCTGTTTTTAGACTCCATCCTCCATCTTTTCTTTTTCTTTTGGTTCCGGATTCGCCCCCCTGGGGCGTCGATTCCCCCCCCGCTGCTTCTCTTTTCAGTTGTTCACCACCCTGGCCCTTGTGGCCGCCTCTCCCCTCCCCGCGGGGCAGGGCGGTGGCCCGCATGCAGGTAAGCATGTTTGATTGAACCTGGACCCATGCTGCGTGTGCCCATCCTGCTGTGTGTGTGAGCGTGTGCGTCGGTGTGTGTGGGTGTGTGTGCACACGCAGGGAGGATGGGGTGCCACACTGAGGTGCCTTCCCTGGTGTTTGCTCCCGTTCTCCCCCAGGCTCTGCTGCTCCCCCATCTTTTTTCCCCAGTCCTGGCAAGTGAAAAATCAATTGGGAAAGCAAAGTCCTCCATGGATATCTGGTCTCTACCCACATCCCTCTGCAACAGCCCATCCCAGATATACTCAGCATCCCATAGGTGCTCTGCCAGTCCAGTGTCTTCCAAAAGAAAGACTGGACGGAACAGACCAGTCAAACCTTCAATTCATTTGCTTCCAGATTACCCCAGCACATGGTCCCTGTAGTTTGTGTGCTACCAGCAAAGGGTTAATCAGCTTTGTCAAACTGCTAGGCAACAGAGCTCCTTGCTAGAATCTGCATGGCCAGAGTGCTGGGCGTTTGGTTTCTCCTGCTCGTCTAGTTGAATTTAGCTTTTGGTTAAATGCGGCTGTTATTTTGCTCATTCATCTCAGGACTCTCTAATATATTTTATTACCAATTCAAACCCCTGTCCCCCAATCCACCTTACCCCCCCCCCCACCATTTCTGCTGCACTGTGTATTGTTGTCCAACGCTCCCCATGTGTCTCCAAGCACTTGTTCGTCAACACAGGGAAGCCCCAGTAAATCTGCTGCTTGAGCCTCGCCCCAGCTAGCTGCCCGCCCTGGTTTACCTGCACGTCTGGGAGGCAGCGCTGACTCTGTCTGTCTGTCCTACAGGCCCGGGGAGAAGGATCTGGCGAGGCAAAGTCGCTGTGGTTTAAAGGCGGGTGAGTAACTGGGCAAACCTGAAACCTCTCTGTCTTCCAGCCCCATGGCATCTGCGAAAACCTGAGCCTGTTGTTGGGAGGAATGCTGATGTTCCCTAGCGTTGGCGGCTTGGGTGGGGGGCACCTTGGATACATGAGCCTTATGGAGTGGCCCTGTGGGGCGGGGAGCATTTTGGAACGAGATACATCTCCCTAGCCCACGACAGCCACAGCAGTGCCGTTTTTCAGAGATGGGCCTTTTCCGTAGGCCGTTCCACTGGGCACAGGTCAGTTACTGCAAAGGGAGCGTGGTGCAGATCTGCGAGCCCCCAGCAGCACCCATCCGGGATGCAAGCCAGCAAACGGCTCCACTTCTCCAGGGGAATGAATCGGGCAGAAAAAGCTGGGGAAGAAGAGGAAAGAGCAAGTGGATCCGGCTGTCACCGACCCCTCTGCTGCACCTTGCAGCAGGTTCCCACCCTCTTTCTGTGTTCTAAGTGCCCAGGATGTGCCAAGCCGCGACGCGTGTGATGCCCTTTGCTCTCTGGACATGCCACATTCGGTCCCCTTCCCGGGCGGCATGCCACAGTCCCATCTTCCAAACTGCTCGGGAAGGGCACTGCTTGTCAGACTTCCCCGGGGAAGAGGAGGCTTAGTTCCCCTAGGGTAGGGGTTCTCCGACTTTTCGACTGGTGACCCCTTTCACATACCAAGCCTCTGAGTGCGACCCCCCTTATACATTAAAAACACGTTTTTATATACGTAACACCATTATAAATGCTGGAGGCAAAGCGGGGCTTGGGGTGGAGGCTGACAACTCACAACCTCCCATGTAATAACTTCACGACCTCCCGAGGGGTCCCGACCCCCAGTTTGAGAGCCCCTGCCCTAGGGGCTGGCTGGCTGAGGTGAAGCAGCAGTGACATCTCTGGCTGAGGGCATGAGGCCAAGCTGCCAGCCATCCCTTGAGAGGCAGGGAGCTGTATCAGCCACACTTCCCCCATGACGGATACAGTGGGACCCTGCTTCCAGGGAGCTCTGGTCTCCTGGATCTGTGTGGAGAGACCCAGAATTAAAGAGTCAGAGAAGCCCCCACCTGCCAAGTCCCTCAGAAGACATATGGCTCAGCTGTGATGAATGGCAAGAGCATTCTGTACTGAGGCTGCTGAACATGGGCAGACCTGGTTCTCACTGGCTCCCATCCCAAGGCGGTGGCACTGGGTCTCCAGAACTCCTGGCCTGGCCTAAGTAGCTATTGGAGTGGGTCAGAAAACCAACAGGTTTTTCCCTGAGAGATTTCAAGTTTCTAACTGACATTTCAAAACAAAACAAGCCTTTTCATTTCCCCTTCCAGCCATTCCCTTGCTACAGCAAACCGTTCAACGACCCAGAACAAAATGCCAGTGTGAGGCAAAATGCACATTTGCGTTTTGAATTGACATTGCAACGTGAAATGCTTTATCTGGCTTTAAATTCAAAAGCCCAAAACAAAGCAGCCTTTTCAGTCAAAAGAACCACTTTGTTTAGTTTTGGAGTGTCACTTGGGGACAAAAATGCCCACTCTGACGTTTAGGGCAGGAAAGATCCAAAGATTTTGTCTGAATTGACACTTAAACTGTTAGAGAGCTTATTCCTTCACCCTCCCACTTCCCTGGTCCTTCTCGCATGAACAGAGAGCAACAATACCTGAAGTCCGAAGGTGCAAATAATTCAGTGTTTATTGGGGTGAACTTCCAGCAAGCTTAAATCCAAGTTCCTTTTTCTTTATTTTCTAATCCCAATTTACTTCCTGTTTGCCCCTAATTTATATAGTAATATTCTCAGCTATACCTTAACCAATCATTTTACTGAAATCTATCTAACCAATCCTAACATATTGTAACATAATTATCGAGCCAATTACATCCCACCACCTTAATTAGTTTACATGCAGCAAAATTAATCATACAGCAGACAGAAACAATTAGAGAGCCAGACAAATTAACAATAGAAAAGATAAAACATAGAGAAATGAGGGCTTCACAACCACAACTATTGAGAAGACAGGATGCTATCAAACTAAAAGTTTTCTTTAACCATCTTTCTCTGGAGGAAGGCGATAGGCATTATCAGGACAGGATTGTATTCCTAACAGCCCAATAGCACTTTATTTCAATGTGACGAGTTTGGAATGTGAGGACGTGACCCGTTCGCTTCCCAGCTTGTGGCTGCCTCTTCTGCCCTGCCAAAGGCAAAGGCCTTCGCCTACGAACAGGGCCTCAGACTAGCCTAGTGAGAGAAGGCCAATACACAGGCGGACTGTGATTTTGATTCTTTGTTTTATACCTCTATAACTAGCTAAGTGATAAAAACACACCTACATTCTTAGCGTAAATGGCCTTTACAGACATCTCTGAATATCTCTATCCTAACATAAACATTTCTCTTTCAACAAACCTGGGAGGTTTTAGTGGGAAAACGTTCTGCACAAACTAGTTACAGCAGCTGTAGTAGTAACAGAGATTGCACCCTACAGAGCCTTCTAGAGCGAGGGGGCTGGATCATCCGCTCCTGGGCACCTCGCGTCATTGTTCACTTCTGTGCAAAGTAGGGGCAAAATGCTGCCCCTGACTCAGAAACCCCAAAGCCAGCCCTGGTGTGCAGCATTTTCCATTGAAACCAGCATAGGAGCAAAGTTCCAAGAACCACCATTGACAAAAGACCGAAACTTACTGAAATTCACATTTGTGTTCTTCAGAATAAACCCCCTTTCTCAGTGGAAGGCTGAACACTGGCTGAGTCCCTCCCCGTTCACACTGGTGTGAGCGAACCCCGAGCAAGGCCCTTGGAGTGATCGTCCCTGCCCCGAGCCAGTGTTTGTGGTCTCCCTGCACGGCCCCACTTCCCACCCCCCGCCCTTTCACTGCTGCATAGCTGCTTCTGTGGTCCTGGTGGTCTCTCCCTGGCCGTGCGACTGCAGGGTCTCTTTGACGGGGAGGGGGACATGCGCAGGAGCGGCTGGTGACTCTTGTGCACGGTGTCAGACCGTGCTCTGTTCCCCTCTGTCTGTCTCTCAGGGACAAACCCACCTGCCATGCAGGATGGATCTGGAGAGCCTGGGCAGGAATGGGCACAACAGATGGGCTCAATGCTGGGGCAGCTGGGTGGGATCTGGTGCTTTGATCTACAGGAAATCCGTCTGTCTGATCGGGCAGTTCCTTCTGGCCTTCCACTCTGTGGCTTGAAGGGGGCTTGGGGCAGGGTGTGGGCCAGCCGGGGCCAATGGACCCAGCACTACATTGACCCATCTGCTGTCCCCCCTGCGGGGCAGGGACACAGGTAGGGCAGGGGCTGCTTCACACAGTAGTGCGGCGCATCTCCGCTGCCCACTGGGGAGACGCCGCCTCACCCTGGCATGCAGCCCGGGAACACCTGCCAGGTGCTGGGCAGGGCACAGGCCCCTCTGTGTGTGTGCGTGGGTGTCTCGATTGGTCTCCCCTTCCTGTCCCGCCCGCTCTGACTCTTGTCTCTCTTCCAGGCCTGGCGGCGGTCTGATCATTATTGACAGCATGCCCGACATACGAAAGAGAAAGCCAATCCCCCTAGTTAGCGATTTGGTGAGGCTCCTCCTAACGCCGCTGGCTTCCCCGGCTTGTCTGCTCTGTCCTGCTGGAGTGCGCCGCGGATCTGGCCCGAGCCGGGTTAACCAAAGGGATGGTGCGGCTGCCGCTCTGAGGAGGGGGCCTCTCTTAGCATCAGTAGCGGCCTCCCCGCTCGCCCGTCAGTGGCTCCCTCCTCCCTTAATCCGGCTCAGGCGCTCTTCGCCCCGTTTGCCTCGCTTGCTCTGTTTAACACGGCTGTGTTTCTGTTCTCTTTCCTGTGGTGCTGGCTGGCTGGGTTGTACCGCAGGGGAGCGGCGGTAAAGTTTCTGCGTTGCATTGACAGCATGCCTGATATTAAGCCTGGACGCAAATCCCTCCCACTAGTCAGCGATCTGGTGAGCTCGTGGTCTTCCTGGTTAAAGAGAGAGCACCCTTTGCATCACCTGCCCAGTCCTTCCCTCCCGCACCCAGCCCAAAACCTCCACCGAGCCCCAGCAGGCTGCCTCCAGCGAGGCATCTGGATCACAGGGCAGGGAGGGGCACAGGACTGGGGTGTGGCGGGCATGCCTGGTAGTTGGAGCAGGAGTCAGGGCCAGTGGTTAGAGCGGGAGTTGGCAGCCAGGAATCAGAGCCCAGCATCAGAGCCAGGGTCAGAGGCTGGAGCCGAGGGTCAGGACTGGGTTATCTCAGGGGAGGCAAGGCCGGGGTAAGGCTGAGGTCAAGGCATGAGCAGGGCTGGGTTCCAGACAGGTACGGGAGCTGTTGCAGCCGTGTGTGAATGCGCTGAGCAGCTGCTGAACTGCTGCTGGGCTTAAGAGCCGGTCTGCGGCCTCTTTCCCCCGTCAGGCAGCCGATACAGAGAACCGCGTGGGTGAGGCCCTGATTCCTGGCAGCCTGGGTGTGCCGGTGCCGGAACCATGTCTCCGAGCGGGCGTCACTCCCTGGCTGCATGGATGGCACAGGCTCCTCCAAGCACAGAACGAGCATGCGAAAACCTAGCAGTCAGCTGCCCCCCGACAGCGGCCCCACCTGCCACAATGCTGACCCACTGGAGCCCTTCTTAGGCGTGCTAAGAGGAGAGAAACCCAGGCCCCGGCGAAGCCCAGGGGAGCTTGGTCACTGACTTCTGTGGGGCCAGATTTCACCCCAAGTCCATTCAGATATTAGCCTCTCCGCAGCAGCTGGGCCTGCAGCTGGGGACATCCAGCAGTGTGAAGGCCTCTTCTTGGACACGCCTGGGAGACTTTGCCCTCCAGACGCTGTCTGAGTGAGTGTGTATGAATTGCAGGGGGGCTGGGGGAGAACCAAGACATGGAGAAGGCAGGGGAAATCCTGACCGTCTCAACCATCAGCTGAGAGAAAGCCAGGAAGCAAAGTGACTTGGCTCGGAGAGAAGGAGCAGGGTTGGGTCAGGTGTCCCGGCTTGGGGCCTACCTCTGTTCCCTGTTCACCCTGCGTTGTGGCTCACTGAGGTTTTCACAGCCAGGCTGGACAAACCCCTGTCAGGGCCAGTCTAGGTTCACAGGGTCCTGCCTCAGTGCAGGGGGCTGGACTAGGGAACCTCTCCAGGCCCCTTCCAGCCCGACATTTCTGGGATTCCCAGGGACTCCCCTGTTGGGAGTGAAAAGAAAAGGAGTACTTGTGGCACCTTAGAGACTAACCACTAACCAATGTAGCTCACGAAAGCTTATGCTCAAATAAATTGGTTAGTCTCTAAGGTGCCACAAGTACTCCTTTTCTTTTTGCGAATACAGACTAACACGGCTGTTACTCTGAAACCTGTTGGGAGTGTCACTTTCTGCCCTTGAAGAAAGTGGGCCATTAGCTCCGCAGAGCTGGCCCATGGGGGTCTGCCCCCCAGCCCCTCGGGTTCCTAGGCAATGAGTCAGCCTGCTCAGAGAGCGCGGAGGAGGTCACTGTTCCAAAGGGTGCTGTCTCTTTAACAGAGGTTCTAGGGGCCTTGTCCAATACGGGGCATCAGTCCGAGTCCTTCTGTGGTAACATTTGGTTTCTAGTTTTGTTCCCAGATCCCTTCACAAGGGCAGTGGAAATCTTCCCAGCACATAGACGGCACCACCCAGCGCATTCCCGTAGTTCCCCGCACAGAGACCGCACCACCCAGCACGTTCCCGTAATTCCCAGCGCATAGACGGCACCACCCAGCGCATTCCCGTAGTTCCCCGCACAGAGACCGCACCACCCAGCACGTTCCCGTAATTCCCAGCGCATAGACGGCACCACCCAGCGCATTCCCGTAGTTCCCCGCACAGAGACCGCACCACCCAGCACATTCCCGTAATTCCCAGCGCATAGACGGCACCACCCAGCACGTTCCCCTAATTCCCAGCACATAGACGGCACCACCCAGCGTGTTCCCCTAATTCCCAGCACATAGACGGCACCACCCAGCACATTCCCGTAATTCCCAGCACATAGACGGCACCACCCAGCACGTTCCTGTAATTCCCAGCACATAGATGGCACCACCCAGCGTGTTCCCCTAATTCCCAGCACATAGACGGCACCACCCAGCACATTCCCGTAATTCCCAGCGCATAGATGGCACCATTCAGGACACTCTCGTAATTCACAGTGTATATTCCACTTTATGGAGCACAGCCCCATAATTCAGAATCTCCATACCATTAGAGTGAGCGTGCTTTTCTAATTTAAGCTGTGTACACCACAATATACAACACACACGCACCCATAAGTAGCAGTACATACCCTTACAACCGGTGCCTTCCTGTAATTAACTTCTCTAACCAACACGCTCCCGTAATTCACAGACTATATACCATTACGTGCTCTGCTGTAATTCACAGTATATTGCAGTGCCAAGGCCCAGTCAAGCTCCCCTCAGTGCAGACCCCACACGTTACACACAGCCTGCTTGGTGCTATTTTCACTGGTGACAAGTACAAAATTTGAAACCGGACCCCTTGTTGCCTTCTCACCTAGGCTCCCCCTTTGCCTTCCCCTTCCTCTCTTTAATCCATTGGTTGGGGTTGTGCTTTGCGCCCCGCCCCAGGGATTCTGTTCTCCTTGTGTTTCTCTCCACGCAAGCTGCCTCGCCTCGCCTTGTTCCTTTGCTGCCTTGTCCACGTGGTGCCTGCGTGCTGCTCTCCCCTGGCCCTGGGGTGGGGGGGGGCAGCTGCTGCTGATGCCCCTGTGCTGAGTGGTGTTTGTCTCTTTGTGTTGGTGATGGAGCGATCCTGGGCTGGGTGGCGAAGGGAAGGTGTGTGCCCTGGGCTGTAGTATGTATAGGGGGATACGGACAGCGGGAAAGATGCCCTGTGCTTGTGATGGGGGCTGGGGGTGGCCTCCTGGTGACTCGCTGCACTGGGATGCATTTTATCCCCATCCACCATGGATAGCTTTATCTCTGTAGCAGCCGGGCTCCCTTCCTTGGGTGATCCCTTAAACCCCAACCGCGTAGAAAGATTCCCATAGACTCCACTGAGCTACAAATCGGGCGCTAGACGCCCAGGAAGCAAGCTGGCCCTGCCCGGCGGCTGTGCCCAGGCGAATAAAGATGGGAGTATGCACCCTCTCTTCTCAGAGTGAAGAATGTGCTGTTGCCCTAAAGGAGTGGCAGAAAGCCCCCCGGCCCCCCACCAAACCCTATCGCTGGCTCAGAGCCATACCTGAATCTTAAACCTGCTTCCTCTGGTGTATGCCTAAGTTTTGTTACACCCATGCTCAGCCACCATGAAACACCTGAGGGGTGGGGGGTCCATGCAATAGCTGAGGTACAGAATGCAGCTAGTTCCAACTCCTGGCTGAGAGTGGGGAAAAGCAACAGAGAAATGTCCAGAAGTGGGTTAGCGTTTGGTGCCGTCTATTTACCCATTGACTCCCTGTGACAGAGAGGAAAGAAGTAGGACTTGACTTCCCTGTGTGAAAGGGCTGATATAACTGTCTTTTGCTTTCCATCCCTCTGGCTCTGGGCTCCCTCGCAGGCTATGGTAAGTCCTGCATTGTTTCTCGCACTTGAGTTTCCTTCCTTGTCCTGTTTCTTGCAGAAAATATTCGGGGCTTTAATATAAACTGCCAGGCTCCTGCGCAGCTCCCACGTGGCATGGCCGGGGACGACAGAGAGTTGTAGATTCTGGCCAGGAGGGGGTCGGGGGGAGGAGCTGGAGGTCAATTCAAGACCACCCCAAACTGTTTGAATGGGGATGAAAATTGAGGCCAGTGTGGGCTGGTGAACTGGGTCCTGTCTGGCGACATGCTGCAAAGGCCACCTGAGTTGAGGGCCAGGCAGGTGTCTTACACCTGGCTTTGAGGAGCTTGCCTGTTGTCAGAGATGAGGTCTCTGGGCTTGAACGGTTGTCCTGCTTTGGTAGCTACCATGTGACAAATCCTGAACCCGCCCTTTCCCCGCCCAAGCTTTGGCCCATACGCCTATAGGGCTCGTGGCCTTGGCGTGCTAGTCATTTCATCCACCCCCTGCTGCAGCAGCAGCTCCCAGGACCAGTCTGAATGCGTCCCACTGGCCTGCTGAGTACTTTGGCCATCGGGCCTGGGAGGGGCCCGGCACTGCTGGGGAATGTCCCTAGAGATGCTCTGGAGATGCTGCTGTTTCCACCACACTGAGGAGCTGGGCATCTTGACTTGGGACCTTTGCTTTTAAAAGCCCACCCGCTGGGGGGCGGGGCTGGCTGTGACTCCTCCCTGCTGATACAGCGGTTTGGTTGTGTTTCACTCCAACAGTCGCTGGTCCAGTCCAGGAAAGCCGGAATCACGTCAGCACTAGCATCAAGCACCTTAAACAATGAAGAGCTAGTAAGTGCCACCCCTCGGCATGTCTCACTCTGCTGCCGCAGGCTCCAGACACGAGCCTGTCAGACTGCACGAGCAAAGCAGGGTCAGGCGGGGTCGTCTGTGGGACGGGACCCTGCCACGGGTCTGCAGGGAAGCGATGCAGATGAGTCAGCGCTGAACCAGGGTGGTTAGCAGGGGCTCTGTGCAGTGAGAGGTGTCATCTCTCAGAGGGGCAAAACTAACCAGCCTGCTTGTGGCTGTTAAAGCTCTCCCAGCTGGGGTATGAAGTGGGCTAATCCCAAGGAAGGTCGTTGCATTCTGACCACTTGTTCTGGTGTCCTTCATTGCCCATCCCATTGCTGCACGCTGTTAAGCAGCAGCTGCGTCTCACCCCAAAGCTGGCTGCACATCAGTGGCAGGGGAAGGTCTGCATGCCCAGTACTGGAGGGATGGAGACCACTGTCTATAAGCCCCATCTCTGGGGTCTCTCGCTGGCTGGGAGCAGCCCTGCCCCTCTCAGACAAGAGCCTGCCTGGTGTGAGCGTTTTCTCCTTTCCCCCGCCCCACTTCTTTGCTTAGAAAAACCATGTTTACAAGAAGACCCTTCAAGCCTTAATCTACCCCATCTCCTCCACAACACCCCACAACTTCGAGGTCTGGACCGCCACCACCCCCACGTACTGCTACGAGTGCGAGGGGCTGCTGTGGGGCATCGCCCGGCAGGGCATGCGCTGTACGGAGTGCGGGGTGAAGTGCCATGAGAAGTGCCAAGACCTGCTCAATGCAGACTGCCTACAGAGTAAGGGGGTGCAGCCTCTCTCTTCCTTTGGCTTCTGTGCCTTTGATGTCTTACAGACCCCCATGCAGGGGGCCCGAGGGTGGTGGGGGAGGGTCTTACGTATCCCCATTAACTCTTTAATGCCAGCACGGAATGACTTCTTGGGTGGGGGCCACCCCTGTGCGAGTGCTCCCCAAAGGCAGCCTGTCCCAGAATCTCCCCTCTTCATTGTTCCCCTCCCAATCACCTCCAGGAGCGGCTGAGAAGAGCTCCAAGCATGGGGCAGAGGACCGGACCCAGAACATCATCATGGTGCTGAAGGACCGCATGAAGATCCGGGAGCGGAACAAGCCCGAGATCTTCGAGCTGATCCAAGAGATCTTCGCCGTCTCGAAAGCCACCCACACCCAGCAGATGAAGGCCGTGAAGCAGAGCGTGCTGGACGGCACCTCCAAATGGTCGGCCAAGATCAGCATCACAGGTAGGTGCAGGGCCAGGCTGACGTGCCCTGCCAGCTCTGGACATGCACCTCTGAGCGAACACTGATAGAGGGGGATGGGAGTCGAACCTGCAGCCCCCTGGAGAGCCCTGGAGGTCCCCATCACACCGAGATATGCTGGAGCTGAGACCGTTCAGCACCACGGCACAGGGACACCCTGCCAGCTTCCTAACTCCAGGCCAGGCGCCCAGCATGCTGTGTGTTGCCTTGATCCACTGGAAATTGGCTAAGGACAGAGCATTGCATGCTGGGACCTGAAGTCTGCATGGGCTGCATCTCCCTGTTAATGAGGCTCTCGATTCCCAGGGCTATGTGTGCAGGTCTCTGGAGCCCAGCTTTGTTCCCTGCTGTGGATCTCGCAGCAGGATAGATCAGGTCCCTCGTGCATCAAGGGGTAGATATTCTTCCGCTGTCATTAGCCCATTGCAGAGACTGTGCCAGGTGCATGCAGCTGAGAGGAAATTAACCCCGCGCTTTCCTCCCTTTGGGAGCCCAGGAAGCACGTGTCTCCAGTGCGGCTTTTGGTGAAAGGAAATGAATTCCCATTAGAACCTGCACCAATCCAGCTGGATGCCTGGATCCAGCCCTTGCAATGGATCCCAAGCAAGCCAAGTCAGTCTCCTCTTTCGAGCGCTGGCTGATTTGAAAATCGCATGTTGCCCGGTTGTTCTGTATTTGCCATTGATTCCTGTTTTTATTTGTTCTCTCTGTTGTGTGTGTATTGTGTCTCTGTGGGGCTGGCTGGTGCGTGGTGCCGTGTGTGTGCATATAAACATTTGTGCCTCTGTGCGCATGGGGTGTGTGTTGTGTTATAGTTGTCTGTGCCCAGGGCCTGCAGGCAAAGGATAAGACAGGCTCCAGTGACCCGTATGTTACTGTCCAGGTTGGAAAGACGAAAAAAAGGACTAAAACGATCTATGGAAATCTAAATCCGGTCTGGGAGGAGAATTTCCATTTGTAAGTTACATCCTACTCCCAGTCCTACCTCTCTAGTCCGCAGGCCTGCCCTACAGCGTGGGGAGCCGTGTGTCACGGAGTCCCTGGGCGATGCTCTGGAACTGCTCCCCATGAAGCCAGTCAGGACTCTGGGGCAGTCGCCTTTCTGTGAGCAGCCTGTCTTCAGGACACGCAGCTCACTCAGCTTCCACCTTCCTGGGTCTGACCTCGGAGCATTCAGCATCCTCTGCCCCTCCGTGCGCTTCCCACAGCGAGTCCGCTCAGGCGGGGCTCCTGGGGAAGCCAGAGGGTCCTGCACCCCAACTTCGCAGTCAGACGTGACTCTCAGCCAGCCAGTAAAACAGAAGGTTTATTAGATGACAGGAACATGGTCTAACACAGAGCTTGCAGGTGCAGAGAACGGGACCCCTCAGCTGGGTCCATTTTGGGGGGCAGTGAGCCAGACAACCACGTCTGCACTTCACTCCATGTCCCAGCCAGCCCCAAACTGAAACCCCCTCCAGCCCCTCCTCCTCTGGGCTTTGTTCCTTTCCCGGGCCAGGAGGTCACCTGATTCCTTTGTTCTCCAACCCTTCAGCTCTCACCTTGCAGGGGGGGAAGGGCCCAGGCCATCAGTTGCCAGGAAACAGGGTGTTGGCCATTCTCTGTGTCCAGACTCCTGCACACACCTGCCCTCTAGGGCTCTGCAATGATCATACACCCTTACTCCACCCCCTAGATACTTAAGAACTGCATAGGGGAAACTGAGGCACCCCCACACTATTCAGAGGAAACATTAAGAACAGTCCCACTTCGTCACATCTCTCCCCCCTTCGAGATCGAACTGAGCGGGGTCACTTTAGCCGGTGACCTGGGGAAGTTCGAAGCCACCAACGTTCCCATGGATGCCCCAGCATCTCTCCCATTCCTTGGTAGGAGTTACACCAGGCCCTTCCAGTTTCACGCCCTCCCTTAGGTCAGGGGTGGTCGATAGCACTCGCAGGCCGCATGTGGGAAGGTTTATGCAGCCCATGCCCTTTGGCCACCCCAAGAATGTCTCCCCATTGACCATCACCTTCTGCTCCCACTGGAGGTCCGGGGGGCCTGGCCCCAGGAAACTCCACACAGACATATAGGTTGGGGTCAGGAGTGGGAGCCTGTCCACATCCCCAACTATCTGGCCGACGGAGTCTATGGCGTTGGGACCCAGCAAGGGAGGTAGACACCGGGGCTTTTCCGCAGGGTCCCCTTGGTTCAAATCGCCAGCCTGCTCAAAGGCAGTGAGGTGGGCATCCACACACCCCCCCCTTAACCAGGGGCAGCAATTTAGTCTCGAGGTTCCCTGCGGAACTGGCCCCCCGGGATCTATCCCCACTCACCCCGGGGAGGTCCCCTAGGCCTCTCCGCTCCCCCACCGCCAGTTCATCCTGCTGCTGCTTCTGCAGCTCTTTCTCGGGCTCTCGCTGTCTCCCACGGTCCTCTTGCTCTCTCAGACTCAGCTCCAGTCCCGTCCGTCTCGATCCCCCGATGGGGAACCCGATCGTGAAGACCCTCATCTGGTCGGGGTCAGGAACCTTGGGAATGCCTGGCTCCCACTCCAGCTGCTCCCAGATCCTGCTATAGCCCCAGTTGGGGTCAGGAATCTGTTCCTTAGAGCGGTCATCCTCCTCCAGCTGCATGATTAACTGTGCTTTGGTGAACTTTCCAACGCTCAACCCTCTCTTTTTGCACAGGGTTACAATGTCCTTCTTAAGGAGACGGTGACAGGCCATCACGCCGCTCCTCCCAAGTTGTTGTGGACTCACAGGCCCGTGTGTTCTCAGCTCCCCATGGTTTCCAGGGAGAACCCCTAGTGTGCCAGCCCTTCTCGAGGTCACCACCTCTTTGCCAGGGTCGAGCTGCAGACTCCTCCGCCCCTGAGACTGCTCACTGCAATCCCCAGGGGAACCCTGTTACTGCACAGTCCTTCTCGCTGGTCACACACTCCCAGGGGTTAACCGCCCCCCGAAACCGCTCCTCTCTGAGCCTTCAGCAGGCCTGGTCCTCAGCAATCCCCCTTCGTGTTACTGCTCCCCAGTCACTTACTGCAGGAAGCGCCATCCACGGGGTGCAGTACATCCCACCGCTGCCACCAGTTGTCACGGAGTCCCTGGGCGATGCTCTGGAACTGCTCCCCATGAAGCCAGTCAGGACTCTGGGGCAGTCGCCTTTCTGTGAGCAGCCTGTCTTCAGGACACGCAGCTCACTCAGCTTCCACCTTCCTGGGTCTGACCTCGGAGCATTCAGCATCCTCTGCCCCTCCGTGCGCTTCCCACAGCGAGTCCGCTCAGGCGGGGCTCCTGGGGAAGCCAGAGGGTCCTGCACCCCAACTTCGCAGTCAGACGTGACTCTCAGCCAGCCAGTAAAACAGAAGGTTTATTAGATGACAGGAACATGGTCTAACACAGAGCTTGCAGGTGCAGAGAACGGGACCCCTCAGCTGGGTCCATTTTGGGGGGCAGTGAGCCAGACAACCACGTCTGCACTTCACTCCATGTCCCAGCCAGCCCCAAACTGAAACCCCCTCCAGCCCCTCCTCCTCTGGGCTTTGTCCCTTTCCCGGGCCAGGAGGTCACCTGATTCCTTTGTTCTCCAACCCTTCAGCTCTCACCTTGCAGGGGGGGAAGGGCCCAGGCCATCAGTTGCCAGGAAACAGGGTGTTGGCCATTCTCTGTGTCCAGACTCCTGCACACACCTGCCCTCTAGGGCTCTGCAATGATCATACACCCTTACTCCACCCCCTAGATACTTAAGAACTGCATAGGGGAAACTGAGGCACCCCCACACTATTCAGAGGAAACATTAAGAACAGTCCCACTTCGTCACACCGTGTGTTCCTTCTTCTCAGTCACCCAGGTCTGCAGCTTGATTTGCATCCGCACTGCACAATGACAGGACTTGGACCAAGTCACAATGGGTTTTGAGCTCTGTCCGATACCCCGTCCTCAGACCTGGGACCAGCACGCTTGCTGACCTGAGTCAAACTGATTTGTGTGCAGCCCGAAGGGGGGTGTGGGCTGAAATTGGAGTCAGAAAAGCGGGCTTAGCGTACTGTGTAGACATTCCCCTGCCATACCGACCCCTGGTGTGCACTGGGCTCACTATATCTGGGATGGATTTTCTCCGGGGGTCAGTTTCTTCTGGTTGTTTCCAAACCCTGGTCAGGAATTTGGAGGGGACAGCCTCTCCCCCATGACGTTACTGCACTTAATAACCAGCACTGGAGGGATTGGCTGGCCTGGGGCTTTGGGTCCTGTGGCTTCATGCCGCCTGAATGCTTGATCTTCCCACCCTTCCTGCAGGAGACCCTTGTATGACCTGAGCTTTGTGCTAGCTCTCTCTGCCGGATGCCCCAGGAGGCGGAATTCCAGCTCTCCTGGGCCAGGATTGACACTGGACGGTTCACCCCTATTTAGAAAGCCTGCACAAGGTCCATGCATGCACTTAAGCCCAGTGCATGGGCCTTGTGGGAATTAAAAAGTGCATCCGCACGCCAGCACTGTTTCTCGACGGTGGGGAATTGCAGGCTCAGAGGATGCTGGGCCAGGGGCAGTTACCCACCCCCAGCACTCCCAGGAGCCTTTTGCAATAGGTCTGAGGGAGCTCCCAGTTGAAAGGCTGGGTTTTGCTGGGGGATAGGGGAGGGGGTTTTTTGCTAGGAATGCCCCATTCCTGGAGGCTACCCTGGTTCACGTCATTGCTCTGGGAATTTCTCTGTCCTCTCCCGAACCCCAGCGAATGCCATAACTCCTCCGATCGGATCAAGGTGCGGGTCTGGGACGAGGACGACGATATCAAGTCCCGCGTCAAGCAGCGCTTTAAGAGAGAATCCGATGACTTTCTGGGCCAGACGATCATAGAGGTCCGGACACTGAGCGGGGAGATGGATGTCTGGTACAACTTAGGTAATTCACTAATTACCTATACAACCCTAGGGCCCGCTCCGGCCCCCGCGCCAGTCAGTGACCCGCTCCCATTGATTCCACTGGCTGCGACTCTGTGGTATGTAGCGATTTCAGTGCAAACAAGGTTGAAAAGCTTTTCAGAGTTAGCAAGTCAGAGTGTAGTCGCTATTTATCATTTCCATGGCAGGTGCAATTCATTGTATTGTATTTATTTGTTACTGCATCATTGGACAGAGGCCCCAGGGCTGGCAGGGACCTCCCAGGCCCCCGAGTCCAGTCCCTGCTAGCGCAGGCAGCGCCGGCTGATAATCCTGCTCTGACACACGTCACACTCCATCCTCAACCCAGCTGGGTCCTGTGTCCCCAAAGCTCCTCTGGGGAGGCTGCTCCAGAGCCTCTCTCCTCTGACGGTTAGAAACCTGCATCTGTCCCTGGCCGGTTTATCCCCGTTCGTTCTTGTGTCCCCCTCCGTGGCGTCCCCATGTATGTATCGAAAGCAATCAGATCCCCGCCCAGCCTTTATTCTGCCGGGCTGTACAAGGCAGGTTCTTGTCTCCTCTCGTGAGGTAGGCCCCACATTCCCCTGATCACCCTAGGAGCCCTTCTCAGCACCTGCTCCATCCTTCACCGGGGGTGACCGGAACTGGAGGCAGGAGTCCAGACAAGACTAAAGCTCCAAAATTCATTGTTGTTTGTGTTATAATACCACCTACAGGCCCCATTGTGCAGGGTGCTGTACATACACGTAGCAGGAGACAGTCCTCACCCCGGAGAGCTACAGCTGAATAGACCAAGGGAACAGCATTATCCCCTTTTACAAACAGTAGCTGAACCCAGCAATTTGCCCAAAGCCCCCAGGGCATAGCCAGGCATTGAACCAAGCCTGCCTACATGCCAGGCCCGGGCTGCACCCCCCAGGCCAGCTTTTTCTGCTGCCGTTTGCTATTGTAAAGGGCCACCAGTGAGCTAATGCTTCCTCTGCTTCCTGCTCTCTGGTCCTCAGACAAGCGGACGGACAAGTCAGCCGTGTCCGGAGCCATCCGGCTGCACATCAGCGTGGAGATAAAGGGAGAGGAGAAGGTGGCACCGTACCATGTGCAATACACCTGCCTGCACGAGGTGAGCCGTGCCCCAGGGGCCCCCACCCCACCCTGCCCTGCTGCCTTTTATCGTCAGAACGTTGGTTTTAAAATGTCTTAACGTTTCAAGTGAATTTGAACAGCCTGGTCTGGGAGCCCCAGAGAGCGAAGGGCTCCCGTCCTCTCCAGAGTGGGTGCAGCATGGGCACAGATTCTGTCACACACTGCCCCATGCCAGCGTACCTCACCTGGGACTCGAAGGGACCGTGTAGGGAGCTTGGTCTCCAGGGCTAGTGGACCTGTCTTCCTAGGGCATCTGTTTATATCGCCCCCGGCCCCCCCAGGATCTGAGTATCCCTGCCCACTACCAGCTACAGCCCGAGTCTCCACCACGGCACCAGGTGCACCCGTGCCAATCAGAAAGGCAGTGTTCTTGCAGCCACTTTCCCTGGTGCAGATGCTTACCAGGGCGCCAGAGAACTGAGCTCTCCGTTCACAGTGTCCGCTCAGCAGGGCCCGGCCTCTGATACACACAGCAGCGAGATAATCCCTCCCCAGACCCACTCGTACTGATTCTCCAGTTTAAGCCTTTCCTAGCAGTGATCCTGAGGGCTCTCTTCTGTCCCGTGCGTTAGAACCTCTTCCACTTCGTGACGGACATACAGAACAACGGGGTGGTGAAGATCCCCGAGGCCAAGGGGGATGACGCCTGGAAGGTGTATTTCGACGAGACGGCCCAGGAGATAGTGGACGAGTTCGCCATGAGATACGGGGTGGAGTCCATCTACCAGGCCATGACGTGCGTCTCTCCCATTTTCTCCCTGTTTGTTTGAAGGGGTTAAATTAACACTGGGCAAGGGGTAAAGATACAGGGTCAGATCCTTGGCTGGTGTCACCAGGGGCAGCTCCCTTGAAGTCAATGAGTGGAGTTGATTGACACCAGCTGAGTCCTGCCCTGTGCCATGGGAGGGGAGAAAGGCGTGGAACGTCCCTCTCTGCGCAGGGCCTGGGATCCCTCATCCCCAAGAGCCCCTGGCACTGGTGTCCACTTGCTTTCCCCGCATGGGGTGGGTGCAGAGCGTTTGGTTAGTCCAAGCCCAGGGGGCGGGTGCCCCTGCACTCCCCGGTGTTAGCAGGGAGCGAGTTCAGCCGTTCAGACAGACACATGGAGCCTGCAGCGTCCCTCCTCCAGCTGGCTGCTACGGAGTCGCCCCCGACGGGCGGGGGGAGAGGCGCATGCCACCGCGGAGCGTCAGATTGGTTCTGGTTTTAAGAGAAAGGTGCAGGGCACAGTCTGCTCCCAAACATACACACTGCACACAGCCTACGCACACTGCACACACCCTACACACACTGCACACAGCCTACACACACTGCACACAGCCTACGCACACTGCACACACCCTACACACACTGCACACAGCCTACGCACACTGCACACACACACCCTACACACACTGCACACACACAGCCTACGCACACTGCACACACCCTACACACACTGCACACAGCCTACGCACACTGCACACACCCTACGCACACTGCACACACACACCCTACGCACACTGCACACACCCTACACACACTGCACACACACACCCTACACACACTGCACACAGCCTACGCACACTGCACACACACACCCTACACACACTGCACACACACACCCTACACACACTGCACACACCCTACACACACTGCACACACACACACCCTACGCACACTGCACACAGCCTACGCACACTGCACACACACACCCTACACACACTGCACACAGCCTACGCACACTGCACACACGCACCCTACACACACTGCACACACACCCTACGCACACTGCACACACACACCCTACGCACACTGCACACACCCTACACACACACTGCACACACACACACCCTACACACACTGCACACACAGCGCCTACGCACACTGCACACACACACCCTATGCACACTGCACACACACACCCTACGCACACTGCACACAGCCTACGCACACTGCACACACGCACCCTACACACACTGCACACACACACCCTGCGCACACTGCACACAGCCTACGCACACTGCACACACACACCCTACACACACTGCACACAGCCTACGCACACTGCACACACGCACCCTACACACACTGCACACACACCCTACGCACACTGCACACACACCCTACGCACACTGCACACACGCACCCTACACACACTGCACACACACACCCTACGCACACTGCACACACCCTATGCACACTGCACACACACACCCTACGTACACTGCACACACACAGCCTACGCACACTGCACACAGCCTATGCACACTGCACACACACACCCTACGCACACTGCACACACCCTACACACACTGCACACACCCTACGCACACTGCACACACACACCCTATACACACTGCACACACACACCCTACGCACACTGCATACACACACCCTACGCACACTGCACACAGCCTACACACACTGCACACACACACCCTACACACACTGCACACACACACCCTACACACACTGCACACAGCCTACACACACTGCACACACACACCCTATGCACACTGCACACAGCCTACGCACACTGCACACACACACCCTACACACACTGCACACAGCCTATGCACACTGCACACACACACCCTACGCACACTGCACACAGCCTACGCACACTGCACACACACACCCTACACACACTGCACACAGCCTACGCACACTGCACATGCACACACACACACGTGCATTCTTCACACCCTGCACACACACACCCTGCACACTGCACACACACTATGCGCCTTGCACGCACACTGTACGCACACACTCTACACTTCCGCACACACACTGAACACACGCACACCCTACACACCCTGCACACAGGCACACTCTTCATGCAGGGCACACTCACACACTGCGCACACACATGCACCCTACATGCATTGCACATACACACACACACTGCACACGCACACCCTATGCACACTGCACACACACTGCATGTGCACACACACTGCCCACACTGCAAACACCCTACACACACTGCACACACACACTGCACCCATTGCACACGCACACTGCACATGCACATACGCTGCACACACACTGCATATGCACTACATGCAGAGCACACTATTCACACATGCACACACCTTGCACACACTACACATACAGCACACACACACATTGCACACACACTCCCTGCACACCCTTCACATACACACATGCATGCACACACACAAACACACACCTTGCACACTCTGCACACATGCGCACACCCTTCCACACCCACACTCACACACCTTGCACACCCTTCACACACCACCACACAATCTCCAAACCACCCCCTACACACACACGGTCTACAAGCCACACACCATGCATACATAAACAGATGAACACCCTCTATGCACTGTCCCCTTCTGACACACTTGCTTCACAACCCACACTGTGCACAGGAGCACCCACAGCAGCCCCTTCTGACACACAAGGCCCATGCTCTACAAAGCACACCCGCCACACGGCACATACACATCCTACATCCCACGGCCTTCCCCCACCACGCTGAACCCTGCATACCCTGCTCTCACACCCAGACCACACCAGACCCGTCGTGCAGCATACCCCATAACTGCAGCATCCCAGCCCTCACCCGTGGCCCCGGACTCTGCGGGCCTTGCAGCCTGTCATCTCTTCTCTTTCAGTCACTTTGCCTGCCTGTCCTCCAAATACATGTGTCCCGGAGTGCCAGCCGTGATGAGCACCCTTCTAGCCAACATCAATGCATACTATGCCCACACCACCGCCTCCACCAACGTGTCTGCCTCAGACCGCTTTGCTGCTTCCAATTTCGGGGTAAGTCCGATGGTGCGTAGAACTCTCCTTCCTATTTCTCTCTTCTCGGCGCTCGTTGGGAGGGGAGCGGAGTAGAAGGAGCCGTGCAAAACCATCACCTCCAAAGGGCAAGTGCTCCTGGCTTGATCGCCACTTTGAAAACCCTCCCATTTTTCTTGCCAAATTTGCAACTATTTCACCTAAAAGGGGAAAACTTTGCTTTAAAAAAAGCACTGGAAGTTTTGAGTGAAATCTGGCCCATTTTTTACCACTGGTGGAAATCGCAATGAAATTATATATAAAAACTCACCCTTTTGATGCCGAAAAATCTCCCCACCCACCAGCAGAAAGCAAATCTTTGCAGGCGGGCAGTTGCCCAAAGAGAAATCCCGAACGCTTTCGCCAGCACCCGTTGTGAGTTTTGCACGGCCCTGGTAGTTCTCGGTGAAACCTGAATTCAGAGCAAACTCACCTGGTTTTATGGGTATCTATAGAACCACAGACTGCCCGTCTGGTTTGGACAAACCTCAGAGAGATTTGCATTTTGGCCCTGATCCTGCGAAGACTGGAATGTGTTTGACTGCACTCATGTTGACCAACCCAGGGGAGTTCAGGGGAATACTCGCATGTGTAAAGGGAAGTAGGTCCATAAGTGTTAGCAGGATTGGGACATGGGGCTGGAAGCTAAAACCAGGAAAGTTTCTAAAGGTGACAGATTAACACGTTAGTTAGTTGAGTTCAAAATGATGGTTCAATTCTTGATCTCTGTTCACCCCGTGCAATTCTGGAATAACCCCATAAAAGTCCCTAGCAAATCCCTTCCCCCACAGAGAGACCTTGCAACCAGCACTGTGGAGGGATATAATAGCATGCGCCAGCGTCCCAGCAGGAAACCAGCCTGGCAGACCATTTCCGTACTGAGCATTCTGGCTGTGGAAGCAGGCTCAGTCCCTTTCCCATCCTGGCCGCCGACCAGTGGAAAGTTTACTTACTTACGATTATTAGTTAGTAGTATTACTATTTAATGAGTGCTGATGGGGCACAAGCCCAAGGCCTCAGCCTGAACGCTCTGCCTTAGGGCTCTCCCTTCCTGTGCTGTAAACCCAGAGTGACTCTAGGGAACTCAGTGGAGTTACTCCAGATTTACAGCAGTGTAAATGAGACCAGATTCCAGCCATTAGGGTTTATTCCAGCAAACTTCCCATTATCCTCACTGAGTAAAGACTTCAGGCCCTTTTAAGGCGGCATCATAGATATCGTACGACTGGAAGGGGTCTCGAGAGATTGTCCAGTCCAGTCCCCTGCACTCATGGCAGAACTCAGTATTATCTAGACCATTCCTGACAGGTGTTTGTCCAGCATGCTCTTAAAAATCCCCAATTGCGAGATTCCACAACCTCCCTGGGCAATTTATTCCAGTGCTTCACCACCCTGACAGTTAGGAAGCTTTTCCTAATGTCCAACCTAAACCACCCTTGCTGCAGTTTAAGCCCATTGCTTCTTGTCCTATCTCAGAGGTTAAGAACAACAATTTTTCTTCCTCCTCCTTGTAACTTGTATGTACTTGACAACTGTTATCATGTCCCCTCTCAGTCTTCTCTTCTCCACACTAAACAAAGCCAGTTTTTTCAATCTTCCCTCACGGGTCATGTTTTCTAGACCTTTCATCATTTTTGTTGCTCTTCTCTGGACTTTCTCCTGTTTGTCCACATCCTTCCTGAAATGTTGCACCCATTTTGTAGTCCAGTTTACAGTTGTGTACCAGCTAATACAGCTCATAGTAGAGGAGAGCTCGGGCTCCCCTGCAACGGATCTAAAGGGGATTCTCTACTGAAGCTGCTGGACTCAGACAGACCCTGTGGTTCTCTCTGGCTGTCCAGCTCCCATCCCAGTCTCACCAGACAGGGGCTGCTGACAACCCGGCTAGGATTAAGCTGCTCCTGAGTTTATGTTTGTTCTGAACCTTCCTGATAAGTGTAACAGAGAGATCGTAGCTGGCATCAGTAAACACGCTCCCCTCATCCAGCACGGCTCTGCTGAACCCCCCCGCCTCCGTGCATGGGTGTCCCTCTTGCAGGGGGTGGTGGCAAAGGGACAGAGGGGTGCGATCTGTCAACCTTGCGCTGGAAACAGCTGAGCTGGGGAGGTGGGGAAATGGGCTTTGGTCGCCCTTCTCCTGTTTACCTGGCGCCGGGGTGTGTCTTTGCAGAAAGAACGTTTTGTCAAGCTGCTGGACCAGCTGCACAATTCGCTCCGGATTGACCTGTCCATGTACCGGGTAAGGGGAACCAGCCCCACAAGGGGTGAGGGATGGGGACGAACGCCGGCAGACTTTTAAACGGGCTTCAGGGCTGCTCCCTGATCACCTGCAGCTTAGTCCCTTGTGCGAGGAGTCTCCTGCCACCAGGCTAGAGCCTGTCAAGGGCTCAGGCTGGTCCAGTGGATGAGGTGCTGGAGGGGGATTCAGGAAACTGGATTCTAGGCCCAGCGTCTGCTACTGGCCTTGGTGAGTCATTCTGTGCCTCAGTTTCCCCAGCTATGGAAACAGCGCTGCTCAGCTTGGAGAGCTGTGGATGTAAATGGGAGGTTTTCCACAGGTTTCAGTGGGAGCAGGTTTGGTGTTAAACACCAGGTGGCTGTGATCAGATCACCTACTAGCTCTGAAACTCCAGCCGGGGTACTGCTTGCTCTCCTAGCCATCATGTAGCCCTCTAATCTTCTCTCTTTCCTGACAGAACAACTTCCCTGCCAGCAGCCCGGAGAGGCTGCAGGATCTCAAGTCGACGGTGGATCTGTTAACCAGCATCACCTTCTTTCGAATGAAGGTAATGCCCGGTGCCTGCTGGCTGGTCCCTCCCAGAGGGAGAGATTCCCCCAGCTCCCAAAGGAGCAGCCACTTGGCCTGGGATCCCTCTGCTTCCAGAATGCAGCTGAGGAGCTGTGCCGCATATTAATTAGCTTAATTAATTGCCCATCCTGTGTACTGAAATCCAACACAAACCACCATGGAGTTCAGTGGTAATAACAGTGCTTCTGTCGAATGGCGTCTAGAGATCCTGAAGTGACAGCAGTCCCATGCCAGGGGTCTGCCTTGCGGGCTCAGAAGGGGTGGGATTTCTCACCACGGGAGGCATCCTGCTCCAGGCAAGCAGCCCTGGGCTGGCACTGGGCACATGGGCACTGAGCAAGGCTCCTTGTGTAACTCAGGGGGCCTGTGATGCATCCCATGGCAGCTTCCTGAGTGACACCTGCTGTCTGGGGTCCCTCCCCTGAGCTCCCGGCAACATGGGTTTTCTCTTCTAGGCAGCGAGTCCGTCTCGGGAGGCATCCGTTGCAAAGCGTGACCATGTCTCCCTTCCCCATCCCACAGGTGCAGGAGCTCCAGAGCCCACCTCGGGCCAGCCAGGTGGTGAAGGACTGCGTGAAAGCCTGTCTCAACTCCACCTACGAGTACATCTTCAACAACTGCCACGAGCTGTATAGCCGCGAGTACCAGACCGACCCGGTACGTGGGGCGGGGCGGGGGGGAGCGCCCCACCTGGCCGCCCTCCCCGCCGTGTGATAGGCAGGGCCTTTAGGCGCGGCAGGTGTTGCACTTTCAGCACTTCCGGACCAGAGGTTTTGGTGAGCCGTTGCCCGGAGCAGAGCTTGTCAGCTGCTGGGTAGCAAGAATCTCCTCAGCTCCTAGTTCCCAGTTGTGGGAGCTTTCCTCGTAGCTGTCCGCACTTCCCGTAACCAGCTCCCCTTCCCAGCCGGCTGCCTCCTGCTGGACCAGGCTCCGCCGGCTGGCTGTTGGGTGGGGATTGGGCCCAGAGGAGCTGCAGCGTTCCTTTACTCGGTGGAGCATCACGCCGTTTAAGGATAAGGCGAGGCACGGGACAGGAGGCAGGAGTCTCCGGGAGTGCCTGTTGGCCGGCTGGGATCTCCTCTCCCAGAAAAGCCGCGCATTGTAGAACGGGGCCCGAGTCTCCAGGTTTCCCATGTGGGGCTGGAGGGAGGACTCTGAAACGTGTGCAGAGATGCTCCCTATCGGGAGCCTGGCCCTAGAGTGGACCCCAGCCGGGTTCTGTGCCTGTGTCAGAGCAGCCCTCTCCTGGTCCCCAGAGGATGGGCTGGAAAGGAGCTAGCAGGTCACAGCCATCCCTGATTTCCAAGCGAAAGGAAAATCTCAGCATCTGGAAGCCAAACTGAGGTTGTGCCCCATGGGACAGCAATCCCTGCATTCCCACACGCGATTAACCAGAGACTTTCCTTCCCTTGTCTTTGGGCTTTTCCCAGACAAAGAAAGGCGAGGTCCCCCCCGAGGAGCAGGGGCCCAGCATCAAGAACCTGGATTTCTGGTCCAAACTTATCACGTTGATTGTCTCGATTATTGAAGAGGATAAGAACTCCTATACGCCCTGCCTGAACCAGTGAGTACCGGCCTGGGAACGGTCACACCAGCCCTGCCTCCACCAGGGAGTGTCAGTAAAACTGAGATCTGAGCTGGTTCACAGACACTGTGCTGGGAGCATCAACGTATGAGCCATCGGGATTCTGCCCTAGCCTGGGGAGAGACCTCCGTAGGAGACTTCCCTCCTTGCACCTCCATGGGCAGCTCTGGCCTTGTCCCTTGCTTGGGATTCCTGTCACCTGCCTCTCTCCTGCCTGTTCGGAGCTGAATGGAGAAGCATGGAGCCTCCTGGGAAAAGCCCTGGGTGGCCCACGTGTGTGCCACCGTTCCTGGGTCCGCACTGTGCCTTGGGGGCACCAGGAAGACCGTCCCTCTCTGTCAGAAGCAGTTGGTTTGGGGATTTATTCTGTAACTGTGGGATTCATCCATTTTTCCTCCCTTCCTGCCAGGTTCCCCCAGGAGCTGAACGTGGGTAAGATCAGCGCCGAGGTGATGTGGAACCTCTTTGCTCAGGACATGAAATATGCAATGGAAGGTGAGTCTCTCCTGGGCTGAATTTTGTCACTCCTCTGCCTCCTGCTGGGAGGTGACGGGGGATCAACCTCCGTTTCACTGAACCAAAGCCATGGCGACCCCCAACTCCACCACGGTCCCTGTGCTGCAGGTCCGTGCAGCCGCACGGATGGGATGGGACGCAGTGCGTTCCCCTGCTCTCTGAGCTAACCGAGAGTCTCTGCTAACAGCACAGTCCCATGATGCCACTCCGGACACACCCAGCAAAGGGCAGCACTGCACGTACCCACTCAGCTAACGCATGACAAGACCCACCAGGGAAAGGGGCATTGGGAAGAAGCAGCATCCACCATGAGGCTGGCTGCGGGGCGGGGGTGGAGAATAGTCCCGTCCTCTTCCCGGGGGAGATGCAGCCGTATTTCCCTCTCTGCTCTGGTTGCAACAATTTCAGTTTGGAAAATAGTAACATTAACCCACTGCTCAGGGTGGGCCAAGCCCCCGTCCCCGCTCCTCTCCTGCGTGGAGACCTGTGCATCAGGAAAGCTCCAGGGCAGACAGTCACCAGCTAGCTAAGGTGCCTTCGCCTTCAGGGATTCCAAGTCATCGGGTCCAACCTCCTGCACAGCCTTCCCCAGGGATTCCTGCAGTGGAGCGGGCTGTTCTGCCCTCTTCCATCCTGTGATCCTACCAAACCTACGGCTGAACGTTCAGCTTTCAGAAAGACACCCAGGCTCGATTTAAAGACCCTGAGAACTGCTGATGGTAGCTAGGGAAGCTGCTCCTTCCTGTTAAGGATTTGCCCCTTGTTTCCAGTCAGTGTTTTCCTAGCCTCATCCTCCAGCCATCGGGCTTTGTTAGGCTCAGGCCTTTATCCACTAGCTGAAAGGGCCCCAGTGGTCAGATCTCTTTCCCCAGTTAGGTGCTTAGCCCACCTCCTCGCTCCTACCGTCCATTGACTTCAGTGGAAATACTTTGGCAGATCTCGGCCTTATAGACCATGATCATAAGAACAGCAAAGCTGCCAGACTGGGGCAGACCATGGCCATCTTGTCCAGTATCCTGTCTCTGACAGTGGCCTGTACCAGAGCTTTGTGGGGAGTGTACAGAGCAGGGCAGTTGGAATGATCCACCCCTGTCTTGCCCTCTCTGCTTCTGGCAGTCAGAGGTTTGGGGTCACCCCGAGCATGGGGTTGCGTCCCTGACCGTCTTGGCTGGTGGCCATTGATGAGCTATCCTCCAGAAACTTACCCAGTTCTGTTTTGAGCCCAGTCATACTTTTGGCCTTCACAACATCCCCTGGCAATGAGTTCCACAGATTAATCATGCACTGTGTGAAAAGGTACCTCCTCCTGCTTGTCTGAAACCCGCTGCCTACTAATGTCCTCAGGTGACCCCTGGTTTTTGTATTGTGGGAAAGGTAAACAACACTTCCCTACTCACTTTCTCTGTACCATTCATGATTTCGTAGCCCTCTGTCATATCCCCCCCCCACCCCCGCCAAGCCTCTCTTCTCTAAACTGCACAGTTCTCACCCTTTTAGTGGCCTCTTCCCCTTCCCCCGATGCGCCAAGCAGGTGGTGAGCCCCTCCCATCTCTCTCTGGGCCCTGACGCCCCAGCCCCGCTTACAGGCTGTCGGCAGCTGTTCTATCCCCTCCAGGAGCACAGCACTAGGTCGAACTCCATCCTGGAAAGGAACCGTGGTGGCCGGAGTGAGTCTGTGGCTCCCTGCCAGCCTGCTGGCCAATGGCCGCTCTCCGCTGTGCCCAGGCTAGAAGCCTATGGGGCGGGGGTCCTCCAGCCTGGGAGTGCCCCCCCCCGGGTCCCTAGCTTGGCCCCCGCTGCACTAAGCCACCTGACCTCCCGCCCTGCGGGCACCTAGCCTGGCTTGCACCTCTCGGGATGGGTCCCGGGGAGCTTAGCCTGAGCCAGGGCTTTGGGATTCAGCCCGAGTGGGGTGAGCAAGGGAGAGATCCCCCCACCCATGGCCTCCCTCTCTCCTCGCCCGCAGAGCACGACAAGCATCGCCTGTGTAAAAGTGCTGACTACATGAACCTGCACTTCAAAGTGAAATGGCTTTATAACGAGTATGTGACTGAGCTCCCTGCCTTCAAGAGCCGCGTCCCCGAATACCCCGCGTAAGTCCTGGTGCTGTGGCCGGCCGGCCGGCTAGCGGGGGGGGTCTGGGCCTCACAGGGGCAGGTCAGGGGCCGGGGACTCCTGAATGGCCCCTTTTAGTTAAAAGCAGGAGGCAGATTCCAAGGAGCCAGGCACACGCCCCACTCACAGCCGGTGCCCTGCACGCTCGCAGGGGTGTAAGATAGAACATTGGTTGCAACAGTGTCTGCCGTGTGTCCCCAGGCACTGGCAGCGCGGTGCCATCGGAGACTGGTTCTCTGCTGCCCAGCCCCTCCCACGGCCCTTTACACTCGGATCTACTGCATTTCCACACGCACAGGTGTAAACGCCAGCCCAGGGTGCCAGGCAGGGCACCTCAGCACTCCTGGGGGAGAGGCAGGTGCATTTAACCCCTCAGCTGCTGGATTGAAGCATTGGGCAAGGCACACATCTAGGGTGACCATACATCCCATTTTGGCTGGGGCAGTCCCTCTTTTAAGCCCTGTCCTGGCCGTCTTGACTTTTTTGGCAAAAACGGGCATTTGTCCCATTTGTTCTTGCCAACTGCAAACGGGACAAAGGCCCACTTTTGCCAAAAAAGTGGGGCACACACTCCTTTGGGGGGTTACAGCTACACCAGCCCTGCGGGGGGGGGGGCGGGGCAGGGCTCCAGTCAGCAGCAATGCCAGCCGCACAGTGGGGAGGCAGGGTGCGGTGAGCAGAGATGCCAGCCCCATGTGGGAGGGGCAGCAGGGCTCGGGCAAGGAGCGACGCCAGCCCCGTGCGTGGAGCAGTTTGGGCTCGGATGAGAGCCCTGCGTGTGGGGAGGCAGGGCTCAGGCCAGCAACTCATGTGTGGGGGGGGAAGAGAGGGCACAGTCCAGCCCCATGTGCGGAGTGGGGAGGTGGGGCAGGGTTTGGGCAAGTGGCTCGGGCCAGCCCCATGTGGTGTCCTCTTTTCCCTTTGAGGAATATGGTCACCCCACACACTTCTAACACTGGGCGTTCTCTCCCATTGCAGTCAGAGGATGGGGAGAGGAAGGAGGGAGGAGAGGGGAGGAGCAGGATCTTACCACACTTTGCCTCTGTCATACCGACCTCCTCCTCCTCCCTCCTGTTCCTCACCCCTCCATTTGCTCCCTCCCCTTCCCTTCCTCCCCACTAAGGGCCCGGCTGTGCTCGGAGCTGGAGCTGGAGTGTCCCGCTCGAGGCGACATGCCTGCACTCCATGGATCACAGGTGCGGTGGGAAGGGCTGGCCCCCCAGACACTCGTCTGGCATCGCCTTGTGCCTGGCAGGTCCAAAGCAGGCCGGTTTCTGGGCTGCTGCCGCGTGTTCCCGGAGCTCTTTCAGCCTTTCCGACTCTGCTCCGGGTGTTACCCAGCAGGCTGCCTCCCGTCAGCGGGAAATGCAGGGGCCCGAGGGATCGATTGCTCTGGATCAGTAATTAAATCCAGCGGCAGCATCGATTCTCCTGCCTGCTCTGGTGGGTTTCAGATCTACAGCTCAGACGGGAGGGGAGCTGTGAGCCGAGACAGAAAACTAACACCCACCTCCTCTGGGATCTTCCACTTTGGCACCCAGTCTCGGCTGGGCTCTGAACGAGGCTCTCTTAGTTATCCGCTTAATAAGGCTCCGCCGGAGGGTGCTCGGGGGGACAGTCAGGGAACTGTCATGCTTCAGTTGATTTCCCAGTGGGTCAGTGCGAAGCTAGTATTTCACTCCAGCAGCTAAAGGCTTGATGCCCTCAGCACGTAGGTTCGTTAGTGCTCCAGGGGCCTGGGAGACAGACGAAACTCCACACATCCCTGTGGGACAAGGTGCCCGTTCAGTTCACCGGGCCAGGACTTGTCCTTCCCTAGGCAACCATGGCACTGAGTGGCCAGCCCGGCTTCTGTCTGTTTCCCACTGACGGGGCTTGCGGACAGGGGTTAAAAGTGTCTTCCAAGCCCTGGTGCCTGTTCCACTGGGGTAGGGGAGCGCCTGGCCCCAGAAGCTGCCTCTCGGGGGAGCTGGGGCTCCCCCTCCGTAACAGAGCTGAGGTGTGTCTCAGTGCGCCCTGGGAAGGGACCGAGGCCAGGCGCCAAGTGTGCTTCAGGAGATGGATTCTGATTTCTGATTTGGACCCCGTGCAAGGAGTACCAGGCAGCTCCTTCCACCAGCTCAGGCCCAGGCAGGGGTCTGTGGACAGAGCGGGGTGAGCAGGTCCAGGTTCGAATGCGGGAGGCCGGATTGTCAGAGGTGCTGAATCCCTGCAGCTTCTCTTGGGGATGCTGAGCACCCCCGGAGACTGAGAGAATGGTCCCGCCTGCTCTGAGATCAGGGTGACGGGACACGGGTCGGATTCTCCTCTCATTGTCCCCGGTGTAAATCGGGAGCAGCTCCCAGAGACGCCACTGGGCGCAATTGTCCTTCTGCTCTCGTGAGCACAGTCCCACTGGCCTGCAGTGCAGCTGCCCCGCATTATCCCGGGGAGTGCAGACCTGGGCTCAGTGGGATCATGGGTGGAAGAGGAGAAGCCAGCCCGATGGATTGGAAGCCAGTGGAGTAAATGCCAGATCCGCCCCTGAATAACAGAGGGCAGACACTGGCTGGGAATCCCTCTTCTCCCCTCTGCCGTGTGGTCTGTGCGGACCAGATAAGGAGGGCAGCCTGCCCAGGGACTGCATAGCGCATCAAACTGACCTATTTCCCTTCTCTCTTGTGAGCTTGTTGGAGCGTTATTCCAAACAGCGGGGACGTGAGACCCTCTCCCGCTGCCCCATCTCCCCGTCTCTTTCTCTTCCAGCTGGTTTGAGCCTTTCGTTATCCAGTGGCTGGATGAAAATGAGGAGGTGTCCCGGGATTTCCTGCATGGAGCGCTGGAGCGGGACAAGAAGGACGGGGTATGGTATAGAGCCAAAAAGTGACCTGGTAGGAAGTCTGCCACCCGGGGGTGGGCTCGAGTCTAGCCCAGGTGCTGAGTCTTCATTCTAGGAGCCAGTTCTCCCCTCCCGCGGGTGTAGCACACTGGGGTTTCCCTCGGAGTGAGTGAGCAGAGCGTCCAGCCCTCCAATTGTAGCTATCTGTCAGGACAGCCCTGTCAGGGTTTTGCATACAGCCCCGAGATCTGTACCTAGCGCTCCACCTCCCTGTGGGAACGAGATGGGGCACATCTGAGGTGCCTTAGAAACAGCCATATTCACCCACCGGTACCAGAGAACCTCTGCCCCAGGGTGTGGGAAACCAGCCAATCTGTCCAACCTACCCCCTCCAGTGACAGCTGGAGAGGGAAAACTTCAAGAGAGCTGACCCAGGCCATCCCCCAAAACAGGAGTCGGATCCAGGCCATGCGTGGTTAGAGACCAGTTAATCCCCGTCCCCGGTTGTTTTTCATTGTTTGCTGCCAATGCACTTCTGGGTCCCGCCGGCCGGCTGGACATGCTGTAGGAGAGGCTCTCTCTGGGTTATTTCTGATCCTCCATCTTGAATCAGGCAGCAGCAGGCACATGGCCAGCAAGCCTGGTAGCGTGAGCATGCAGGGCCAGGCTGTTCGGAGGAAGCCAAGCTTGGCAGCTGGATTTATGAAGAGAGAAGCCTTGATCTGAACAGGGAACTGGGAATAAGGACCCCTGGGTTCTATTTCCAACTTCACTCCTGACACCTCTGTGATGTTGGGCCAGTCACAGCCCCACTCTCTGCCTCAGTTTCCCCATCTATACAATGGGATACTCACCTGCCTTTGCAAAATGCTTTGAGATGCTCAGAAGAAGGCAGGACATAAAGTCAGTTCAGCAGCTGTCTCTGTGACATATCACCCAGACCCGAGGCTCTAGCTCTGAGCCCAGAAAATAACCCGTTCTTTCCTATGCTCTGCTCCCCCTCTGTCTCCTGCTCCAGTTCCAGCAAACCTCTGAGCACGCTCTCTTCTCCTGCTCCGTGGTGGATGTCTTCTCCCAGCTGAACCAGAGCTTTGAGATCATCAAGAAGCTGGAGTGCCCCGACCCGCAGATCGTCGGGCACTACATGCGGAGGTTTGCCAAGGTAAGGAGCCCAGTGGGGCCAGGCGACGTGCTGGGTCCAACCTTGTGTTTACACTGCTGTGACCCCCACCCCGGAATGGCAATGGTCCCAGATTAAACAGCGCAAGACCTAAGCTGGAGCAGCATCTGCACCCATTAATCGTCCAGGCTGCAACATGCTGCACAGTTAGAGATGGCACTAACCGGGACGTGCACCCGGGACTGCAGTGCCCTGATGGTGGAGAAGGCGTGAGACCGGGCCATATTTTAACTAACGGGGATCCTTTGTTGAGGCTGCTGGACCCAGGCAAACCCTGTGGTTACCCCAGGCTCGCTAGCTCCTGGATTAATTAAACGCTGCAGGCTTGAGTCTCCTGTGACTCACAATGGGTAAGTCAGGGTCACTCCACTGACTTCCACGGGGCGGCACCATGGAAGGGAGCTGAGCCCTGCGCCACCGGCCCCATGTCAGCACATCGCCTCTCCCCGGCAGCAACAAACAGCTGTGGAAGGGGCTCCTGTCCCGGGGCCCTGCCATGTGCCGTGTGCCAGCCATGGAAACCTGAAGCACTAGTGCTGGGGAGGAACGGCAGCGCTGGGAAGTGCCTCCCGCCCACACGTATCTCCAGTGCCTCCTCCTGGGCAGTGTGGGCGCAGGGAACGGGATTTTATAGGGTTAATTCAGGTCTTGTATAACAAAAAGTTGTGGGGGGCTAAAAGTGGGAATGGGGGGTGGCAGCATCCCCATTGAAATGCCCCCCATCCCGACAGTCACACCTGTGCACAGCGCTGACGCACAACGGGGGCCTTTTTGTTTCCTGGAGTTCAATCTGCAGCTTCGTAGGCCCAAAGCAATCCCCGGGCACTTTATTTCAGACCAAACCTGGATTTCACAGTCTCGTTCCTTTCCTTTTCTCTTGCCTTGCCTTCCTTTGCCCCCTCCGGCTCTCCCGGCTCGCTCTGCTCCGCCCCGGCCCGGCCTGGCCATTCCTGCCTGCAGACCATCAGCAACGTGCTGCTGCAATACGCCGAAATCATCTCCAAGGATTTCGCTTTGTACTGCTCCAAGGAGAAGGAGAAAGTGGTGACGTATCCCCTCCTCCTGCCTTGCTCTCTTGCCTTCCGATTGGCGGGGCCACTCTCTGTCGCGGTGTCTCCATGCCACCGATGCCACCAGATCCCCCCTGGAAGCAATTAGCGCCAGTCTCCTCTGCACCCTTCCTCTTCTCCTCTCTGTTCTCTGTTGGTTGCCTTGAAAGGCCCCGTCTCTGCTACTTGCAAGCTGCTCTTGGGTCTTATGTGACTCTGGGGCACCCGTTCCCAGGAGTGATTCTGCCAGGCTGGATCCAAACCCCTGGGACACTTTGGATGCACATGGGGTTCTGAACGTGGCAGCCTGTCTCTACCGTGGGCAGAACCAAAGCCCATCCTATCCAAACCCCGCCAGAGTCTGGGGAGCTCTAGATCCGCACCCAGGTCCCAGCTCCATAGCTCACCCTGCTGTGTGGGTACACAGGACACACTGACGCGTGCTTACACACCCATCCAACCCCCACACAAGCAGGTGTGTCACACCCTCATTCCCATGCACTGGCGTACAAAGACGTCACGAGGCAGCCCTGTTCCTCACTCATGAGACACGCTCCCTTTAATCCCGCAAAGAGGTCTCTAGATATGGGAGGGCCCATTTCTCCTGCTGAAGCTGGTGTAAAGCAGGAGTCCTTGCCCCAGTGTCCATTGAGTTCAGTGATGTAAAGCTAGGGTAAATGAGAGGAGAGTCATACCCGGAGTCACTCCACGGACTCGGATGGAACTGGCAGACCTGCCACCAGCTCAGAGCAGGCTTTGGGGGTTTAAAGGCACCGCTGTCAGGCCAGCTGGGTGGCAGATAGACCCCACCTGCATACTCGGGCCAACAGGCCAAATTCACCCTGTGGCGTAACTCCATTGGCTTCGCTAGAGTTCAGCACGGGGTGGATTTGGCCCAGTGTCTAAAATGCCAGGCTGTCAGCCAGCCGAATGGGTGGAGCAGTGATGCTGACCCACTCCCAGCGACCCTGCCCCCCGGCCAGCAAGCCCCTGGAGTTTCCATGCAGGGCCAGAGAGCTGGTAAATCCAGGCCTGGGTGCCTTGCTATCATGACCGGGGAGCACCGGCCTCTCCTGTGTGTGTCACACCCACGCCACAAGGCGAGCCTGGGCAGCTGGGGATGTGGAGTTTGGGGGCTCCTGTGAATGGAGACGGAGCTGCTGGCTCAGGCCGGAGCCCCTCCCCTCCTCCCTCACATCGAGTCACGTGGCCTGAGAAACCTCTTCTGGAAAACGCTCCCACACTGACCGCTCCATCTCCCCTGCCCTCCCGCCACCCGTGTACTCACACCCCGGGTCAGGATTCCCGAGCCTTCCCCCCCACCAGCTCTGGGAATTGGGAGATCTCCATCTGCCCCCTGCTCTGCGGCTGACTCTCCAGCTCTTGCTCTGAAGTTTGGAGGCCTTCTGCTGGGCCCCTAAATCCTGCAGCAAGGTCTCCAGGTGCTGAGCACCCCAACCCCCAGTGAAATCAATGAGCACTGAGAGGGCTCAGTGTCTCTGGCATATGGCCACTTAGCCAGGTGACTAATGTGGCTATAGATCCCTCAATGGGGGCAGCTGAGCCGTGACCTCTCTGCCCTGCTTCTCTAATGTGAGCTAAGGAGATGGGGGAGGTCCCCACCCACCTGGGCTGCAAAATCCCCCAGGCTCAGGAATGCAGCCACTGGCCCAAGGTTTCATAGTTAACAATAGCCCAAGTGTTGGCTGGCGGGGGGGGGGGGGGTGATGAATGCTCCAGGGCTTCAGCCAGGCTCTAACTACTAGAGACCCAGAGATCAGATGTGGGGCAGCCTACCCCACCAGGCCTGCTGGCCAGGCCAGTGACAGCGACAGGACCCAGCGAGCTGGGCCTTGGGTCTGAGCCGGTCTGGCTGTTGCTGCGTTCCCCACTGCTGCGATCGCAGCCAGTAGGGTGTGAGCGTCCTGCACTAACCGCCTCTCCCTCTGGTCCCCCTCTAGCCCTGCATCCTGATGAACAACATCCAGCAGCTCCGTGTCCAGCTGGAGAAGATGTTTGAAGCCATGGGGGGGAAGGAGGTTTGTACCGGGGTGCCCCGCTCGCTCCTGCAGCTGGACCCCTGTACGGGGTGTGCCCCGACGTTTCCAGACGCTGGCCCCATAGTGAGGCTCTGCAGTGGTACGTCCCAGTCTGGTGGGATCTCCCACCCCCAGCGGGGTGCCGCTGGCCCCCAGGGCACGGCACTGCACTGGCCCCTGTCTCCTGGCCCCTGGGCAGGAGTGCCGTCTTGTGGTGCTGTGAGAGACCCAGCGACCCGTGGCCAGCTTCTGTCCCCGTCCGGCTTTCAGGCCAGCTTCCACCCAAGACAGACTCGGCCCTGGCTTCTCAGGGCATTCTGGGAGTATTCTGGGGACCACGGGCCCCCGAGTGTCCAGCGCTGCCCGCAGAGGGGCAGCGTCTGTTAACCAGGCGCGTCCCCCTGCAGCTGGACGCCGAGGCCAGCGACACCCTGACGGAGCTGCAGGCAAAACTCAACAGCGGCTTGGATGAGCTCAGCGGAGTTTTTGCCACCAGGTGCGCGGGGGAGAGGGCGGGGGGAGGGGTATAAATCGTCGGGTGCAAAGCACGGGGTCAGGCTCTGCTCCTGTTTGGAAGGAGGCTCCTTGTGTGGTGATTCTGGGGATGAGCCCCGAGGGTCACGGTCGGGTTTGGGGCTGCAGGAGTTGGGGGGAGCCTGCAGGGATGGGGGTCCCAGGAACCAGTGTGCTGGGATGGAGGGGCCCCAGGAACCAGTGTGCAGGGATGGAGGGGCCCCAGTAACCAGTGTGTGCTGGGATGGGGGTCCCAGGAACCAGTGTGCTGGGATGGAGGGGCCCCAGGAACCAGTGTGCAGGGATGGAGGGGCCCCAGTAACCAGTGTGTGCTGGGATGGGGGTCCCAGGAACCAGTGTGCAGGGATGGAGGGGCCCCAGTAACCAGTGTGTGCTGGGATGGGGGTCCCAGGAACCAGTGTGCAGGGATGGAGGGGCCCCAGTAACCAGTGTGTGCTGGGATGGGGGTCCCAGGAACCAGTGTGCAGGGATGGAGGGGCCCCAGTAACCAGTGTGTGCTGGGATGGGGTTCCTAGGAACTAGTGTTCCAGGGTGGGGGGTCCCTGGAGCCTGAAGGGCTGGGAGAGTCCTGGGCACCAGAGTGGGCAGGGATGAGGGGGTCCCCAGAGCCTGCAGGGATGGGGGGGCCCAGGAACTAGTGTGTGCTGGGATGGGGGGTCCCAGGAACTAGTGTGCAGGGATGGGGGGCCCCCAGTAACCAGTTTGTGCTGGGATGGGGGGTCCCAGGAACTAGTGTGTGCTGGGATGGGGGGTCCCAAGAACTAGTGTGCTGGGATGGGGGGTCCCAGGAACTAGTGTGTGCTGGGATGGGGGGGTCCCAGGAACTAGTGTGCAGGGCTCGGGGTCCCTGGAGCTGGCAGGGCTGGGGGGTCCCCAGAGCCTGTGGCTGTGGGGAGGGCGGATTCCCCAAAACCAGTGGAGCAGGGTGTTCCTGGGCCATGGGGAGGGGCTCCCCGCCCTGCTCACGGAGCTGCCTGCTCCCTGTGGCACCCAGTTTCCAGCCTCACATTGAGGAGTGCGTGAAGCAGATGGGCGACATCCTGAGCCAGGTGAAGGGCACCGGGAATGTCCCCGCCAGCGCCTGCAGCAGCGTCGCTCAGGACGCCGACAACGTCCTTCAGCCCATCATGGACCTTCTGGACAGCAAGTGAGTGCAGGGGGCTTGGGGGGCACTGCGGGGAGGGGCACTGGGGGCTCCGCAGGGGGGCTGGGGCTGGGAAGGGCATGTGGGGTGGGGGAATGAGGAGGGCACAGTGGGGGAGCGGGGCTGGGGAGGGCACTGAGGGGGGCAGCGCACTGCAGGGGAGGGGGCCCTGCGGGGGAAGGTCCTGTGCCCTGTGATCAGCGGGGTGCCTAGGCCGCTGTGCCCAGAGGCCTGCACAGGGTAAGGCGTGGCGCTCAGTGGGCAGTGTCCAGCGCTCCGTGGCTTCCCCCGGCCCAGGGGTGCTCTGCTGGGCCCAGCGGTGGCTCTCGTGAGCGACAGGATCCCTCCCTGCACCCCGAGCCCTGTGCCCACCCAGTCCCTGCTGTCCCCAGGGCACAGCCTCTCTCTGCCCCGGGCATATCCTCCCTGCTCTGCCCCGGTCGCCTCCCCCCTGTGCCCCGAGGTGAGCCCTCTGCCCCCGTGGGGCGCTCTGCGGCCAGCCGCGGGCCGCGTGTTCCTTTAATCCCCATGACCTCAGCCTGGCAAAAGGCCGAGCCCGTGTCGGGTGCTGCTTTTGCTCCCTGGGTTACACAGAGCCCTGTGACGACTAGCACTGCCCAGAGGATGGGGACACCGGGGTTCGGGTGGCTGGGGTGGGCCCTCGGCCGCCAGGGGAGGGAAGGAGCTGCCAGTGCAGAGCACAGGAGTCAGACATGGCCGGCAGCTGGCAGGGGGGAGCAGGGCCCGGAGCACCAGGACCAGCCCATGCAGGCTGAGGGTGTTGGAGTATGGGGGGGGCTCCTATGGGAGAGTCCTGGAGAGCATGGGGGGGTGCATTTTGTGTGTGTGTTTGTAGGGACATTGTGTGTGTGTGTGTGTGTGTGTGTGTGTGTGTAGTGATGTGTAGGGGCTGTGTGTGTGTGTGTGTAGTGATGTGTAGGGGCTGTGTGTCTGTGTGTGTGAGTGTAGGGACTCTGTGGGGCTCTGTATGGGGGGTGGGTGGCATGCCCAGAACCCAAGTCCATCCTCTCCCTCCCCGCCTCTGTTCCCAGCCTGGCTCTCTTCGCCAAGATCTGCGAGAAGACGGTGCTGAAGCGTGTGTTGAAGGAGCTCTGGAAGCTGGTGATGAACACCATGGAGAAGACCATCGTCCTCCCGCCGCTCACCGACCAGACGGTGAGCCCCCGGGGGCTGGAGTCAGGACATGGTGGGCAGGGAGGGAGGGACACGTGGGGACCCTCCCCTGGGCTCTGGGCTCTCCATGGCGGAAGCTCAGCTGGAAGCGGTCTGCTTTGGAGCCCTGGCACCGCGTGAGCCTGGGCATCGAGCACTTAGCGGGGCGGAGCTTCATCCAGAGCGTGCTTGAGCTCTCTAGCTCCAGAGCTCAATCAGGGAATGAGGGGCTCAGCTCCCCCCTGCCCTGCCCAGGACGTTTCCAGATCACTCTGGTGGGGGGGGGGGGAACTCCCCCAGCGTTTACATTCCCCGAACAACGCCTGGGAATAAGGGTCTGGCTGGAGAAGCGTGTCTCCACCTCACCCCTCTGCCCTGGCCCAGCGGGGGCACGGAGTGCCATGGCACATGGAGTCAGGAAGTCGGGCCTCCCACCTCAGCAGCAGAAGCAGAACCCTGGTGCCCCCCTTCCTCTAAGTGTGGGGTGCCAGGCAGGGGAGCACCCTGATCTGCCTCCTGAGCACAAGCACTGGGCAGGTGTGTCCTGAGCACGGCTCCCTGGCAAGGGAAGGACTTTGTCTCCTCTCCGAGAGCTGCACATGCTGCTTAGGGCAAAGGGGGCTCCTCTTAGCATCTGTTGCCGCTTCTGGGCATCGGCCTCTCTGCGAGGTAGGCAGAGGGCGTGGGGGAGAGAACATCGGGTTGGGTTGTCTCTGGGTGGGAGGGTGAGGGTGGGGAAGGAAAGGGGACGGGGGCATGTAATGAGGCTGGTTCTGGTGGGACCCAACTGAGAGTGCCAATTCAGGACAAATTGCTTCAAGCAGGGCAGTTACAGCCCAAGGCTAGGGTTCCTTTGCACACCAAGGCAAACCAAACCAGCCAGCCAGAGAAGACCTTGGTTTTACCCCACTGGCTAACCACAAGTCACATAAGCAATTCTCTTAGACACTCCAGTTTCCCAGTATCACCACCAACGCCACTCGTTATGGGGACAGATGGTTATGAAAACCAATACCCCAGTAAAAGAAAAATGATTCTCCCAATCCCAAAGAACCAAGCCCCAGACCCAGGTCAATAGACAAATCAGATCTTACCCACAAATCACGCTGTTGCCAGTCCTTTAGAATCTAAAATCTAACGGTTTATTCATAAAAGGAAAAAGATAGAGACGAGAGCTAGAATTGGTTAAATGGAATCAATTACATACAGGAATGGCAAAGTTCTTGGTGCAGGCTTGTAGCAGTGATGGAATAAATGGCAGGTTCAAATCAAGTCTCTGGAGAACGTCCACACCTGGGATGGGTCATTCAGTCCTTTGTGCAGAGCTTCCGTCTGTAGCAAAGCCCCTCCAGAAGTACGAAGTAGGATTGAAGACCAGATGGAGGAGCTGCAGCAGTCTTTTATAGTCTTTTCCAGATGTAAGAACCCCTCTTTGTTCTTACTGTGGAAAATTACAGCAAAATGGAGTTTGGAGTCACATGGGCAAGTCCCGGCATACCTGGCTGAGTCACAAGGCGTATCTGCCTTCTCTCAATGGGTCATTGTATAGCTGATAGTCCTTAATGGGCCATCCAGCAGGCTAGGCAGAGCTGACACCAGCTTGTCTGGGGTGTCACCCAGAAGCACAGCATAAGTTTGAAATACAGACAGTATAGAGCCAATATTCATAACTTCAACTGCAAAATGATACATATATACAGATAGCATAATTATAACCAACCAATCATAACCTTCCCATAGACACCTCACACAACAACCTTTGTACAATATGTGCTGCAAATATATAACAATGGTTGCAACAGTGATCTATACCAGGTTTCAGAGTAGCAGCCGTGTTAGTCTGTATCCGCAAAAAGAAAAGGAGTACTTGTGGCACCTTAGAGACTAACAAATTTATTTGAGCATAAGCTTTCGTGAGCTGCAGCTCACTTCATCGGATCTATACAGTTACAGATTTTGTCAATAATGTCACAGGGGGACATTTGCAGGGGGATTTCTGAGGTTCTCCACGTATTGCATAAAGGGCCCATAAGGTAGGTATAAAGAGCCCCTGGAGATGCCCCTGGAGTAGGCCATGCTCACAGCCCTGGGGCAAGGGATGGATTGGGGGCACAATCGGGGAACGCTTTCCTCCAGCCCGGGCGTTGCTTTCCAGGGCCGTGGGAAGCAGAGTGTCAGGAGACACCGCCGAGCTGCTCTAATGAGCCCCAGGGGCTGGACAAGCCCCTGAACTGCCCCCCGAAGTGCAAAGATGGCTTAAAGTCCCCTTAATTCCTCCTCCCTCCTGATCCCAAGTGCAGTGACTGAGAACTGAGGCCAGAGACTCCAGAGGGACCGGGCCAACTGCCCCATTTGACCGGAGCTTTGCCTTTGAATTTCCAAGCCTTCTACAGGATTTGGGCGGGTTTCCCCTTCCATGGAAACACGCTGCTGAGGTTTCCTGAGAAGGCTGCTGGCCCATCCACTTAACTTTAATGAAGCTTTTTGCATGGGAATTTCCTAGTCTAGCTTTAGTGTCCCAGACAATGGGAGATTTTCACTCCTGGGGAGCCTGTCGCGGGGGCTAACAGCTGCTCCCCAGGAAGATCTGCCCAGGCAAACAGATGCACCAATCCCTCTGGGAGGAGTGTTCTGGCATTCCAGCCGGCTGCTCTCTGCCACTCCTGAGTCACTCCTACAGCCCCGCTGCCACTGGTGCAGTGCAGGGAGCTGTCTCTCCAGCTAGCTGATGGCGGGCAGATTTTGAGGGGCCCTTTAAACTTGATCAGAGACCTGACAGCTCCGTGCCATGAGTCACAGGAACCCAGACAGCAGAATGCCATGGAATCTCCTCCACGCAGCATCAGAGGATACTTTCCGCTGCCACGCGGCGGCCCAGCCGTGAGTCAGCCTCGCCCGCATTTAGCTCAGCCGCCCTGGAACTAAGCAGGCTGTCTGCTCTGGCACTGCAGCCCGTTCTTTTGTCACAGCTAAACAGAGCTCGGCTTGCTCCGTCTGCGTCTGGGGGACCGGAAAGACAGCCCCCGAATTGTGCAGGGAGTGGTGGTGGGTGGAGGTCAGTGTTGATCAGTGGGAGGCCAAGGAGGCCTGTCCTGCTGGAGGTCGCTTCTTAGGGGTCTCAGGGTGCATTTTGGAAGCCCATGGGGATTCACCCCAGGACGCTGCTGCGTTTTGGCGTAGGTGATTCCCCATTGCACTTTCACTTGGATCTGAAATTCTTCACGTCCTGACCACACCTTGCGTAGCATTGCCGTGCGCTGCTAAACAGCTGCCGTGCTGCATTCCAGCACTGAGTGAGCCCTGCATGGCGATGGTCGTTTAAGACAAGTGTTGGGCATTTTTAGAATGAAAGGTGGTGATTCAGCCATTGTTAGTTACAGCTTCTGAGCAGTAGAGAAGGATTTTGCCCATGGCCACAGGCTTATCTCCTTGGGGAGCAGGGGGTTCTGCCTTTGGCACCATTGATTCAAAAGGCCTCACAGGGGGTTAGATTGCTTGGTGTTTTCCTTTGTTCATAGATCTTTATTGTGAGGTTGAGAACATCCCCTTCACCAGGGATCCCCCCTCACCAGAGACCCCGTCACCGGGGATCCCCCCCAGCTCAGCCCCTTGCGCCCTGGAGCTCTGGGTCTGCCGGGGGTTATTCCTGGGGGTGCATGGGGGCAGTGGGCCCGGTGGTGGTGGTGGTGAGGCTGGCCAGGGGGGACAGGGGAGGCAGGAAGGCAGGCGGGCGTGACACTCATGTGACGGTTGTTCTCTCCAATTGTTCCGCTCCCCTCACAATGGCAGATGATTGTAAGTACGGCAGCTCCCTGTCTGTCTGTCTGTCTGTCTGCTGTGTGTCGGTTCCGATCTCAGCCGGTTATTGTCTTGTGTGGCTGCCCACGCCCCCTCCCCGCCCCCGCTCCGCTCCCTCCCCGAGTGACCCCACCTCTGTCCCCCCCGTTGCTCAGCTGCTCCTCATCCACCGCCTGTGCCCCGATCTGTAGGGCGAGCCTGTCTCCCAGGGGCCAGGCAGCGCCGCGGAAACTCACCGTGGCGAAACTCACCGTGGCTGGATTCGGTCGGGGGACAATGTGGGGGGGGAGAAGGGGGTGGAAGGAAGAGATGTGGAGTCCTTTTAGGGACAGCTCCCTCAGACCGGCTGGTGCCCTAGTATTGGAGGCCAAGATGGGACCTGCATTCTCGTGCCCGCACGCCCCTTGGCGGGGGCTTTGGGGGCTTTCTTTCCTGTGTGCTGCATTGGGGCTTAGTGGCTGGTTCCCTCCCTGGCCCAAGCAGCCCAGCAACAGCCCATCTTTATTTAAGGGACTGTCCTGCAACTCCTAACAAAGAGCCCTTTCCTTCCTCTTCTGGGTCTTGGCGTGACGCCCGTTTGGTGACACTCCTGAAGCCCAGCACTCTCAGCTAGCAACCCGTGTCTCTGGTCTCTGTCCTTTAGGAGAAGTGGGTGAATCTGGGAACTGGGGCGATGCAGAGAGGGCTGGGGGGGGGGACCTTGAACCTGGGGGCCCCGGGCACTGCAGGGTTGCAGTCCAGCTGGTGTTTAGAGCAGCACGGAGTGGGATGGGGTGTGGGGAGCGGCTGTGTGAAAGCCCTCTGTGTTTCCTGGCCCAGGGTGTGTGGGGAAGGCAAAAGAGTAGCAGCGTGTTTCAATAGCTAGCAAACCAGGCTCTGCTGCTTAGTTCTGCCAGGCTGGCCCAGGCCTAGGTTGCTGCTCAGAGCATGGGAGTGAGAACCAGGCTTTCCTGGCAGCTCTTCACCGCTCTGCCACTGACTGTCCGTTTGGCCTTGGGCAATACACTGCCCCTCCCCGTGCCTCGGTTTCCCTAGGTGGGTGATGAGACTGAGCTGCGTCTGAATGGAAACGCAAGGCCCCTCCTAGGGGTTATTACTGAACGAAGGATCACGGAGCATGAATCAAGTGCGCTTAAATAGGTGCCCTACATGCATTTGTACTTTGAGCAGCTGTTCACAAGGCCCAGCACCTCGCTTTTCTGTCATCGGAGTCTGTTCAAAGGGCACTGTCAGTTCTTCCATTTCACAGGCAATGGCCTCACGTGTTTAGAACAGGGGATTTGGAGCCGGGACTCCTGGGTTCCATCCTCAGCTCTGCCGCTCGCTCAGTGCACAGCCCCGTCACATGGGGAAGTGGGAGCTGTAATGTAATGGTGGTGAGTGTACGGGGCTTGCTAGCGAGTCAGAAGTGCTACTAGCAAAGGCTGTGTTCAGTGTCAGGCATTTTAATTCCCTTCCTATTGGTTTGTGACTATACAGCTTTTTCGCCCGCCCTGTTGGCCACCTGCCATGCTGCATTCCCCCCTTCCCCCTCTTGTTTCCGCTGGAGTTTGAGACGCTTATTCAGGTTTAGTCCCTGCTGTGTGGGATCCGGCCCAGTTCGGGACACGGAGCCTAGTGCTCCCTGGCGAGGCAGCACCAGCGGGTGGAGACCCCTTGGCGTTTTTAGCGGTTCCTCCCGAATTGTGGCGTTAGCCATTCAGCTGCTGAGGAGACGGTGCCGGTGCGGGGCTGATCCTTCCCCCGACACTCCAGCTCTTTAAAGGGGATGCCCTTGTGTCCAAGCGACTCACCATCGTCCCTCTGGGGCTCGCCTTCGCTAGGGTAGGAAGACGAGCTTTGCATGCGATGGGTAGCATGGGTAGCTGGCTCGCTGAAGACCCCGAGTGGAGGCCCACAGGCGGTACCTGACCTACAGCGTGGCCTGCTTTCCGCTAGGGATCTCCAGAGAGAACGCCTAGTGCAGGCAGCCTTCGGCTTGTGTCCCCTCCTCCCGGGCAGGTCGCTCAGGGCAGAGCGATGTGACCACTGCTGCTTGGCTTCTCCAGCTCCCCCCACCTGTCTGTAGAGCAGTGGATTCCCAGGCCCCCATCCCGCCTGGGGATTTTTGTCCTTTCTGGATGCCCACCCACCCCCCATTCATCCCACTGCTGGCTCTCTGCTCCCCCAGCTCAGCTGTGGTGTCTTGCATAATCCCAGCCATGCTGTGAAACCCCTTTCGAAGGACACTCCTAAAGCTCCCCCCCTTTGCTGGGAACGGGCACGCCCCCCCCCTTTACCAGCTGTGCCCACTGCCTCCTCTCCTTCTTTTTAGCTGGCTGTAAAAGTAGCATCACTCAACACTGTTGCCCTGCTGTCTCCAATGCCACGTTCACCTCCAGGGGTCCACAGTGGGAGAGGCCTAGCGGGCAGGTGGGATGTGCCCCCCGATCCACTCCGCCCGCAGACCCGTCAGCCTCCCGAGCAGCAGGGGGTGGGGCGGAGTCTGGCACCTGGGGCCTGACCTCGTGCCGTGAATCCCTCAGAGTTAGGAGCCTGACCGCCTTATGGCCAAGTGACGTGCAAGGTATTGTCACTGCAGGGAAGGGCCCCTTTGGGCAGACACCAGCTGGGCTCCCAGGGCAGGGGCCTGGCCCATTTCAAGGCCAATCTTTGCCCATCCGGCCAAGGTTTTGGGGGCGAGAATGCGCAGCCGCCCTGCCAAGCTGCCTGGGATTCAACGAGTGCTAGGCTTCCCCTGCGGATTGCCAGTGAGGTGCCTGAGCCCCCCTACACACACACACAGACACACCCCCACCATCACGGTCATAGGTGAGGACTGAGACTAAACCAGGACGGGAAGGTTGCGAGACGCAGCCATACCGCCTCCTATGGCAGTCCCTCCCCTTTTGCATCCCCAGCTGCCAAAGTCCCCCAGTCTGCAAGGGAAGGAGGATGTGGGGAGCGTGGGGGGGGGTCAGTTAGTGCATCCTTCCCCTCCAGCGAATGATCACACACAAACACACACCCCGGCACACTCACACCTCTCTGGACCATTGATCGACTTCTGACGTTGTTTCTGCAGGGGACGCTCTTGAGAAAACACGGCAAGGGGACAGAGAAGGTAACTAGCCCTCTGGCTTCTTTGACTGTCTGTGCTAGCCATGTATTGTCCCCCACCCCCCACTCAAATCAATCTGCTAGCCCTGCTCAGTACAGCGAGCAGAGACAGACCCGGCTGCCTATTGCCTGGGGACCCGGGTGTCGTGCTTCACATGTTGTGTCGTCTGGATGTGCACTGTGTGTGTGTGTTGTCGTACAGAGGTGTAGTTGTGTGTTGTGTTGTCTGGGTCTGTATTGCCCGGGGATGTATGTGTGCATGAGCAGTTACACGTGTAGGTGTTTGGGGGGGGGGGGAGTGGGGGGTTGTGGTGCGTCTGTGTATATTGGGAGTGCTGGGGATACCCATGCATGTGGCGTCCAGGCTGGGGAGGCGGTGTCTTGCCCGTGGCCTGGGGAGACTGGCGGCCGGGAGCTGGAGCAGAGCAGGTGTGTGCCGGGAACCGGGTCTGCTGCAGGTCAGATGAGCTGCAGTGGGGACGGCCCAGCCGCGGCTCTAGCAGGCCCTCGAGGACGGTTTGCCAGGAATGAGCAGCAAGGCGTCTGCATGGCTGTATCACAGCCCAGCCCTACCCTTCCTGTGGAATTAATGGTCTGGCCCCTATGATTAGAGAGGGGACAGAGCCGCCCGCCCATGGCCCCAGGTAGTGGAGAATGAGGAACCCTGGTGCTTTGGGGGAAAGGCAGCAAAGCCCATCCTCTACGGAATGCCAGGGCTGGTGCACCTCCAGAGAGCCCGGCGGCACCCGCCCGGGCAGGGACCGATCTGCCGGCGTGGCAGGCAAGGCAATTGTGTGTGTGTGTGTGGCAGAGGAGCTATTTGGTGCCATATTGAGGTGTGGGGGAGCCTTTCTGCTCCTGACGCCGGCTAGCCAGGGGCTGCTCCTGCAAAGTGGCCTGTACCGTCAAGGTGAGGCAGGCAGGAGTCCTGTGGGACTCCGCCGTGCACGGGAGCAGATGCCAAGAAGTGTCCACTCCAGGTGGGCACAGAAATCCAGGTCCTCCAAACCTGCCCACCTGCAATGCGTTTTGTCTAAAGAGCAGCAACCCTGGCTAGCCAGCACCCTAGAGTGAGTGACAGAACCACTGCCCGTGGGCGCAGCTCTTCGTTGGCTCTGTGGAGTGTCCAGAAACCTTCGACTGTGCTGTGGACAGAAGCAGCAGGAGGCCAGGACTCCTGGGCTCTGCCACTGATTTGCCATGTGATTTTGAGCAAGCCACTGCCTTGCTGTGTGCCTCAGTTTCCCCAGTAGTAAAACAAGGCTACAAGTAGTGAGAGGTTGGTGGATTAGTGCATTGTAAAGGGCTTGGAGACCCTGGAAGGGTATCATCATTCAGGAGCTTCCCCCTACTCATCCCAGGAAGGCAAACGGAGCCCCATAATACCTGTGATGGGGATTAGGGTAGACTTCCTCCTGCAGCCGCCACCTGGGAAGGCAGGGAGAGCTCCCAGCACACTCTTGCAGGTGGAGCTGCATGAGAACTGGTGGACTCATCACAGGTATTTCCTGAAGTCTGCAAGCAGCCAGTGGCGCCATTTGTGGGGGTGGAACAAAGCTCAGCGTGCACAATGGGCCAGATCCTCTGCTGGTGTGCACCGGCGCCAACAAAAACAGCACCAATTTACCCCAGCAAAGAATTGGGCCCAACTCTTTCTGCGCCTAGCTGGCCAGAGGAGCGGACCCAGGGTCCAATCCCGCTCGGGCTAGTGGGCTTGGCCCTGGTGAGGTGCTCCAGGGGGGCGGGTCCATCCTCGGCCGGGTCGGTTTGCTGACGGTGATAACTATATCCAATGCTGTTCTCTCTCCAGAGCAGGGTGAAGCTGCCCAGTCACACAGATGTAAGGAGACTCTTTGATTCTAAGCCTGCTCGGTTTTTGCTCTCTCTCTCCTCTGTGCCTCTTGCTGTTGTTTTCTCACCCCCTGCCCCACCCTGTGCTCCCCAGGGACTGTGTCTCGTCGATCTCGCTGCTGACTGGGGCTCAGCTCGCTGGTCTGCCTGCATGCGGGGGCGCGGGCTGGGCTTTGAGGCCAGCACAGGAAGGGCTCCTGGCAGCCCTTCTGCTGACAAGGGCTATGGAACCATTCCTGACTGGGGCCGGGTGTGTAGGCAGGGCTGGGCCCTGCTCGCCCAGCAATCCAAACCCTGCCGAAGGGAGTGGGGCCTAGTGGTTAGAGCAGGGGACTGGGGGTCAGGACACCTGGGTTCTTGCCTGGTTCTGGGAGGGACTAGGCCTAGTGGTTAGAGCAAGGGACTTGGGGTCAGGAGTCATTCCTGGCTTTGACTCACTGTGCGGCCACTTTCCGGCTGTGCCCTAGTCCGCCCCACTGTGGCGTGGGACAGGGCCCATTGCAGGGGCAGCTGGGTTTGTCGGTCACTGGTGGGAGCAAAGGGCTCCATGAAGCCCTAGGGCAGTTGCAGCATTGCCATTCCTTCAGCTGCTTCGTGGGGGGCCCTGCAGACGGTGAGCTGGGCCCGAGGGCAGTGACTTCGCCTCCCCACCCCACCATGGGCAGGCCACAGCCTGATTCACTCCAGGCCTGGCTGGGCCGGGTTTCCTTCGTCGCAAGGAGCTGAGGGGAGCAGCCCTTTGAAAGGGGCACTGGGGGAAGGGTGACCTTTCCCCTGTGAGATACCCCTCCCCAAGGGGTGTCAGCTTTCACGACCCCCAGCTCCGGTGACCCTGTCGACCAGCGCGTGGCCAAGGGGTGCCCTCTCCAAGGTGGCACTGCAGCAGCTGCCGGGCAGCGGGAACCCGCACAGCAGAACTGCTGTCAGGGAGGCTAGAAGGACGCTCAGAGGCATGAGCATCACATGGCCACCGAGTGCCCCTTAGGGCTCCCCGGGGACCCAGGCTGGTCCCTGAAAGCTCAGCAAGCTGGACCTTCCTCCTCTAGGCTGGAACCTGTCACCTGTGTGTCACCTCCCAGCTCCTGTGTGTCTCTGCCCTGTGTCACCCGCTCTCTCGCTCCTTTCCTGTTAAAACGTCCTCTCTTCTTTTGCTCTCTGGCTCGTTTCTCTGTGGGGATGGAGGGGGGGGGGAAGCAAGGTGGGTGTCAGACTGTCTCTCTGACCTCCCCTGCCCCCACCCTGAGCCCCACGGTTTGGTCCCAGGGGGTTAAGAGTGAACATTGGACTCATGCACGTCAGAATCAGGGCCCGGGGTGGGGATCCTGCGGCAGAAGGGAGCAGGGGTCAGATCTTGACTCAGACTTGCTGGGAGGCTGAAAGGCACCTTGTAGGCAGTCGGAGCGGAAGGGAAGCAAGTGGCCCCGGCTCCCACTCTGCCCTGGGGAGCCATCGGGGGGGGGGGGGCTAGGGCTTGTCTCTTAGGTCCCCTTTGAAAATTCCAGCAGCAAACTGCAGGTCAGGGAGGGAAGGACTCCACCCCTCCTGCCCAGAGCCATTCCTGGCCAGTGCAGCCATCGGGGCCAGGTCACAAGGGCCTGCACGGGCCAAAGGGAGAGCAGCTGCTGCTTTGTAACCAGAGAGTCAGTCATGGCTTAGCTCTGGCTGGGGTTAGGCCAATGCACCCTCTGGGAGCTCCTCCCCAGAGTCACACAGCTGCAGTGGGAGTAGGAAGGGGAGCAGCCCTCATGAAGCCGGAACCGCGTGCAGTGGAGGGAAGTCAAGCACTTCCACTCTCCAAGCCCAGCGAGAGGAGGGGTGCTGCACACGTACCCCCGCAAATCATTTGGACTGATGCTCCAAGGGTGTTCGTTAACATCAGCCTGCGTGAGTCACAAACATCTCCATGGCTATCCAGAAGGGGTTGGGGCCTGGGGACCCTGCCAGGCAGAGAGCTGCCAACTCGCTGCTTCCTTGGTACAAATATAGGGGAGTCCATTTTTTCACATGCCGGCTGGTCCGTCTGCCGGGTGGAGCCCCAGGCCCCTTGGTTGCTCAAGTGCGTCACGGCAGGGGGATCTGGTGAAATTAATTCAGGGAAACCCACAGGGCACTATTCGTACACATCCCCCCCGCCATTCTATACCCTAGTATTGTCCCTCCCCTGCACTGCCCTGCAATCCCCTGCCAGGCGGTCTCTCCTCCCAGCACTAGTGACTGGGGGTGGGCCCTGCACGGTCAGCTAGCATGGGGAAGAATCGCTTTCAAGCCTCTTCGCCTTTTGTTCTCTTTCTTGTGCACTGCAGGGCACCCAGATGATCTTCAATGCGGCCAAGGAGCTGGGGCAGCTGTCCAAACTGAAGGTAAAAGGAATGGGACAGTACCGGTATATTTAATCTCTGGGTGAGGCTGCTCCTCCCCAGAGGTCAATTAGCCAGTTATTGTAATGCTGGAATATAAGCAGTAGCACCTGGAAGTCTCTTTAGCTTGTCAGAGACATCGTTAATATAAAGCAAGAAACCAGGCTAATTAAGGGGAGGGATAGCTCAGTGTTTTGAGCTATTAGCCTGCTAAACCCAGGGTTGAGCTCAATCTTTGAGGGGGGTCATTTAGGGATCTGGGGCAAAAATTGGGGATTGGACTAGATGACCTCCTGAGGTCCCTTCCAACCCTGATATTCTATGATCCTATGAAAAGGACCTGGTATAGTAATTGAGAGACATCAGGCACCTGTCACCCCAGCTTGGCAGGGGGGGAGGCAGGCGCACTATCCTGGGAACTGGCATGGTACAGCCCTGGCTCTAACTGAGTAACTTGCTGGTTTCAGGACCACATGGTGCGCGAGGAGGCCAAGAGCCTGACCCCCAAGCAGTGTGCCGTGGTGGAGCTGGCCCTGGACACCATCAAGGTAAATCCGTGCCGTCTCCCCTGCACCTGGTCGGCTGCCTGCCCACCTTTCCCTCCTGCTAAAGGGTGGGATAAATGCAGTCTGTCGAAGCCCCCCTTCTCTGGGAGTGGAGACAGAAGAGGTGTCCGCACCATCCAGCCAGGGAACTGCAGCAGGATTTCCCATCCGCCCACGACAGCACCCTGGCACGAGCGAGAAGCGGAGACCTCCCTGCTGGGATATCCTGGGACTGTGCCCACAGCAGATTGTCCACCATGCTGGCTCCTTGGGTAGCTGTCCAGCCATGCCCACCATTCCCTGAACCCCCACATGGCTCCCTTCTCACCCGGTCTCCTCTGTCTCCCTCTCAGCAATATTTCCATGCTGGAGGAGTGGGGCTGAAGAAGACCTTCCTGGAGAAGAGCCCCGACCTGCAATCGCTGCGCTATGCCCTGTCTCTGTACACGCAGGCCACCGACCTGCTCATCAAAACCTTCGTGCAGACTCAGTCATCTCAGGGTAAGAGACCCCACGGCCCCCTTTGCGCAGCCCCCGCCAAGGGCTGCCACAGCCGCTGCGCCCACTTGTTTGACTGGTGTCCTGGGTATGTCCACCTAATGTCCTGGGTGCATCCAGGATGGGGGCACTGGGCCAGCCCAGCGAACCCCACTCGGCGTGCTGGGCATGTCTGTGGGGAGGGCACCTGCTGGGGGTGTATCCTGCTGTTCCTTGGGTAGCAGTGAAACAGGACTCTAACCCCAGTGGGGCATCAGCCCTTCCGCTGCCCTGCCTGGGTGCTGGAGAGTTGGTGGGCAGGGGGCATTGGTGGTGGGGCCCTGGCACTGCTAGGGAAAGGGGCCGAGAGCCCCCAGGCCAGCAGCCTGGCCCCTGTTATAACTGCTACATGCACCTATGGAGCACACGCAGCAGGGGAATCTGGGGTGCATGCAAAGGGATCCTACAGGACGCCCAGGAATAGCAGCTGTGCTGGCTGCGTCCTGCACTCCCGGGCTCCAGGCCCAGGGGAGCCAACAGCCGGGGCATCGCTGGGGCAGGAGGGGGCCTTCCCAAGGTGGCCACTGGTTTTGGTGCCGCAGCTTTTGGAAGCTCAGCCTGGTGCCTGATTGTCAGAGGCACGGAGCCCCCCAGCTCCCTTTGACGTTACGGGCCACCAGCACCCCCAAAAATCAGGCTCCAGGTGCCTCCCTCCGGGTACCCCAACTCACTGGCCACTTCCAAAAATGTTTAAATAAAATTCTCAGCGTGCCCCAGGAGCACTGGGGGATGGACCCCGTGTGCAGGGCCCAGCTTGGAAGGGGTTAACCCTCCACATGCCGCTCCCCCCAGGCCACAGCTGCCAGCACTGGTTCCTGCCTCGCATCCAGGCCTGTTCCTCTTCAGGTTAGCACAGGGAGCTCCCCCTGGTCCGGACCACTGCAGGAGGGGAAACCGAGTCAGGGACTCTCCAGACAGCAGAAGGAATTAACCGGTTCAGTGCTGGACGGCGCAGGCAGGCCCTCCAGTGTGTGCGCGTGGGCACCGGCTAGGCACTGCAGGGGTCGGGTGGAGCCCTGGCAGGCATAGTGGGGAGTTTGTCCTGTCTGTGCCTCCCGTCTGGTGGCCGAGCGGGGGGTGCAAAAGAGGCTGTGCTGGGAGATGGTAATGCTGCCCGCTCCCCCTTGGCAAGGGCCATGTACATCCACAGGGCTCTAGTGACTCGGTACTGGTGGTGGACTGTGGGATTCCACTGCTAGTGGGACAGGAGGCCACAGACCCACCCTCCCAATTGGTGCTAATTAGCCCCCAGCCGGCAGTAACAACCTGTATGAAAGCACCAGGGATCCTGGAGTAACAATGCAGCGAAAAAAGCCCCCTCCCAGGCAGTGCGATGCCCACGCCTGCTGGCAAATTCCACAGACTCTAAATCGCTGTTGTCCACGGGGGACCCCAGCTGACGCTGGCCCCAGATTACTCAAACCATCCTCCTGGAAGCATCCGGCTCCCAGCACACCCCCCTTTTCCCCCCCACTGTCTAACACAATGTCGCTGTAACGTCTTGTTTTGGATTCTCTAGCTGAAGCCGGCACCTGTCTGCGAGATCTGATCTCTTTCTCTGTTGTTTTTCCTCCCTATTTTTCAATGTTTCCCTTTGCCTTCCCTTACACGTGCTCTGTCTCTGTGTGTGTGTGTGTCTCTCTCTCTTTCTCTCTCTGTGTCTCTCTCTCTTTCTCGTTTACCTTTTTACTAGTCCATGGTGGAAAAGGTATTAGGTTTACCCTTAGTGAAGAAATTTATCCTGAGAAGGGTACGTCTAACACTTCCGAACCCTGATGCACCCGTCCTGAGCACCCCACCTCCAACCGGCCAGAGCTAGTAACAGTCCCTCCAACCCCGATCGGGGCGCAAAGGCCTGGAGAGCTGGGAGGATGGGGAGGGGGTGTCGTGTGGCTTACGGGGGGCCTGTTCATTCAGGGCTGGGGAATGCCTGCTCTAAAAGCGGCTGGGGATGGGGAGAGAGGAGGTGGTTGTGTCTTTCTTTCCAGCCAGACCCCTAACCTGCCTCGGCCCCACAAATGGGCACTTCTTCCCAATTCCTCTCCCCCCAAGTCATCCCTTCTTGGCCACTGGCTAGACTCCTAGGCCCAGAGGCTCCGAGGCACCTTACTCGATGAGAGTTGGCCTTCAGTCGGCACTTGCCCTATTGAAGTGGGCGGATTTGCCCACTAACTGAGGGCTACACCCAGCCCTGGTGTTTCTCACTGGCTCACTGCTGAGGTGGCCCCAGGGAGGGTCATTAACCACGGGAACGGCCTACCAAGGGATTCACTTGGAGTCTGTACCCCTAGACTGGGGGTCTTTGGCTAAGATCTCTAGCTCAACCACAAGCTATGGGCTGGATGCAGGAATCCGTGGGTAACATTCTAAGGCCTGTGCTCTGATCACAGGGGTCTCTTTGGGCCTGTGAATCTAGGTCACTGGGCGTTGATCCCAGGGACCCAAGGGCTCGGTCTTATTCTGCCTCTGCCAGACCCCCTCTCCCACGGTGCAGGCATTCACAGCACTCACAAGTGGGTGGGAAATGACGGGGAGCCGGCCGAGGTTCCCCCCGCCCCCACGATGAGACGGCTGCAGCAAAGAGCCGAGAGCTCCCTCCCGCCGCTGAGCTGCTGGGCCTCAGCAAAGCAGCTGCCTGCCTCCAAACCTTTGGGGAGCCCAGGGCAGGGTGTGGGAGGTGGAAATCCGAGCCAGCCCAGCCTCGGCCTTTGAACACTGGGCTCCAAAGAGAGCCGAGGGGGCCCAGATGCGGCCAGCGGCTCACCAGCCTCACGGAGACTCTTACTAGCCTTGCTCCGGGTGCAAATAAGTCCTGCCCGCCTTAAGAGTGCATCCGAATGCGGGGGTGGGGCTGCCCCATCCCCTCGCCCCCCTTTCCCCCTCATGCAGCTTGACCCTACCACTTGCATTCCAGCCCTCGTGTGTTGGTGCCATTCAGCCTGGTGCAGGGGTCACTGCGTTTTGTGTTTTCCATGCTTGCACTGAGCACAGAGATGATCACTCCTCCCTCCCTCGGTTTATGGACTGAGCGAGTCTCAGCATGTGACTCCGGGGGGATATTGTTTTAGTTTGGTGCAGCTCTGGAGGGAAAAGAAAAAGAGACATGAGTTTAGCCACGCAGGGGCCAAAGGCTATGGATCCAGAGAGTTTCCCCCTCACCCCAGCCCCGCACCCCCTTTGGAGCAGCAGTGGGGCCCGGTCCCATCACCTCCACCTTTGAGATGGAGCTGTATGCACCAGCCACCTCCTGTCCACTACAGTCATTTGAATCCAGCTGCTTCAGTGCGGCAGAACAAACCTCTGCACTACAGGAGCTCTGGTAGCCATTAGCAGTAGTAGGCTGTTATCCTCTACCACACACCCATTTGGCCATTAGGTTACAGGTCCCAGTGCACACACTGGGTATATGGGCAACATGGCTGCATGGGATAGAGGCTGAGACTTTGACCCCTTCCCCAACAATGTGGGGGGCCTTCAGTGCGGACCCCCGCACATGCCCCCTCAAAGGCTGTCTCACTGCTCCCCTCTTTCTGGTGCCCCCTGTCACAGACTCCCTGGGCGATGCTCTGGAACTGCTCCCTATGAAGCCGGGCAAGACTCTGGGGAAGTCTCCTCTCTGGGAGCAGCCTGTCTGCAGGACACACAGCTCACACGGCTTCTACCTTCCTGGGTCTGACCTCGGAGCATTCAGCATCCTCTGCCCCTCCGTGCGCTTCCCACAGCGAGTCCGCTCAGGCACCCCAACTTCACAGTCAGATGTGACTCTCAGCCAGCCAGTAAAACAGAGGTTTATTAAACCACAGGAACATGGTCTAAAACAGAGCTTGTAGGTGCAGAGAACAGGACCCCTCAGCTGGGTCCATTTTGGGAGGCAGTGAGCGAGACAACCCCGTCTGCCCTTCACTCCATGTCCCAGCCAGCCCCAAACTGAAACTCTCTCCAGCCCCTCCTCCTCTGGGCTTTGTCCCTTTCCCGGGCCAGGAAGTCACCTGATTCCTTTGTTCTCCAACCCTTTAGTTCTCACCTTGCAGTGGGGAAGAGCCCAGGCCATCAGTTGCCAGGAAACAGGGTGTCGGCCACTCTCTGTGTCCAGACCCCTGCACACACCTGCCCTCTAGGGCTCTGCAGTGATCATATACCTTACCCCACCCCCTAGATACTTAAGAACTGCACAGGGGAAACTGAGGCCCCCCCCACACTATTCAGAAGAAACACTGAGAACAGTCCCACTTCGTCACACCCTCCCCACCGAAAGTCACCAACCTGGGCAAGTCAGTAGAAGCCCAGGCCTAATGCCCCCCTATCCAGCAGTAGCTCACCCTAATCCCTGGTGGGAGGGACCTTTGGGTGTCCTTCCCCATCCCCCGACTCAGAGCCCAGCCATGATTGGCTAAAAGCCGGCTGCTGGGGCTGGCGAGGGACTCCTGCTCTGCGATCCATGGTCTTTGCTCGTCTGACTCAAGCCCTGCACAAGAGGACGTTAGCCTTTCCTTCTCCGGCCGGGGCTGTTTTCCATGATGGTTTGGAAGATTCCGCCCACCCACCGTTTAAATGTCTTACCCCCACCCCCGCCCCCACCCTCAGTTGGACTGAATTGTTCATCATGCACCTGCTCCCATCCTCTCTCCCCTCCCCGTCACCCCCACCTGCATGCAGAGCCCCAGGGAACCCTGTCTGGACTGTGAACCGTCTTGCGGGTCAGGATTTGCCTGTGGGGTAAGGCGGGGTGGGGGGTCAGCCTTCAGGGGGTAGGATAGGGTGGGGGAGCTGGGGGCTGGGCTGGGGAGGTGCTGGTGGGCTCAGGTCACGTGGGCTTGTGCGCTGCTAGTCTGTGACTGTGGCATTCTGGCTATCAAGGAGACGCTGCTGCCAGAAATCAGGTGGGCTCTGGGCTGATGGCTCCAAGCAGGTCCCAGTGAAATATGATGGGGGGGGGGGCTCTGTGGAGCCTATAAGACTCTCCCCCCTGCTCCCCACAGCTCAGCAGAGCTGTCAGCGTCTGCCCCAGGCAGGGCACTCTGACTCCGGGGCTGCCTGGGTGTCCTTAGTGGGGCTCGCCCCTGGTAGCTCTCTGGGACAGGAGCCCCTCCCCCCCCCGTGCCCGTGGGCAGCCTCCTCCACTCCTGGGCACCACACAGCAGGTGGGGATGTAGCAGCCTCCCTCGCTGAGCCCAACCTGCCTGCTGCCAAAGTCGAGTCGCTTCCCAGGGACTCATTAGAAAAGAACAAAACGGGTGGTAATTGGCCGTCACTCAGCCTCATGCACGGTCCTGCCCAGAGGCCCAGCCTCTGCCCCCGGATGGACTACAGGGTCTAAAGCCTGGCCGGGCCCGCCCCCAAAGCCATGAGCTGCCACCTGTGAATTATGGCTCAATAACTGAGCAATTTTGTTATTGCAATTAGCTTGGGCCCTGCCGTTCTCTACGGTTCATGGCGAAAAGAGCCATGAATCCCCCCTCCTGGCTCCTGCACGTCATTCCGAATGCATTGGCAGGGTGACGCTTCCTACGCGGGCTGGGCTGTCACAGGCGCAGGGCTGCCTGGGTGTCTGGAGCTGCACAGCAGAGCGGGGACGTGGGGGGGGGGGGGGGTCAGGGCTCCTGGGTTCTAGGCCTGGTTCTGCCACGGCCTTGCTGGGTAGAACTTGGCCATGGCGCGGGCATTAGAGCTGCACCTAAACGTGCAACCCAAAAGCAGCCTCACGTTGTGCTAGGCACGATCCAGGCCCCGGGTTAGCCGGTGACACTCCACAAAGACACGCCGACCATGCGAGGGGAGAGCCCAGCTCCTCAAAGGGGCTGGGAGCTTGGCCCCTCAACCCCTTTGGGGCTGTAGGCCAAAGGGACTCTCGAGGGAGGGTGATGGAGCCAGGCCTAGGACGCTGAGCGCCTGCCTCCCAGCCTAGTCTTAGCCCACTAGGCTGCACTGTTTCTGGGCAGCTGTTTCCTCCTTTACTCAATAGAATCAGAGAATCTCAGGGTTGGAAGGGACCTCAGGAGGTCATCTAGTCCCACCCCCTGCTCAAAGCAGGACCAATCCCCAACTAAATCACCCCACCCAGGGCTTTGTCAAGCCTGATCTTAAAAACTTTCAAGGAAGGAGATATCCCCCCCCCCCCCCCCCCCCCCCCCCGGTAACCCATTTCAGGGCTTCACCACCACAAGAAGGATGTGGATAAATTGGAGAGAGTCCAGCGAAGGGCAACAAAAATGATTAGGGGACTGGAACACATGACTTATGAGGAGAGGCTGAGGGAGCTGGGATTGTTTAGCCTGCAGAAGAGAAGAATGAGGGGGGATTTGATAGCTGCTTTCAACTACCTGAGAGGTAGTTCCAGAGAGGATGGTTCTAGACTATTCTCAGTGGTGGAAGAGGACAGGACAAGGAGTAATGGTCTCAAGTTGCAGTGGGGGAGGTTTAGGTTGGATATTAGGAAAAACTTTTTCACTAGGAGGGTGGTGAAACACTGGAATGCGTTGCCTAGGGAGGTGGTGGAATCTCCTTCCTTAGAGGTTTTTAAGGTCAGGCTTGACAAAGCCCTGGCTGGGATGATTTAATTGGGGATCGGTCCTGCTTTGAGCAGGGGGTTGGACTAGATGACCTCCTGAGGTCCCTTCCAACCCTGATATTCTATGATTCTATGATTCCTAATGAAACAGTGTTTCCTAATGTCCAACCTAGACCTTCCCCACTGCAGCTTGAGACCATTGCTCCTTGTTCTGTCATCAATGGGTAGTTGAAGGGTCTAAGGTGTCCGGGTCAGAGTCGAGCTCACTTAAACCAGTACAGAGCCAGTGCTGGCTCTGGAATTGCTCGATTGCCCCGGTGTGGGTGGAACACCAGGCCCATAGTGGGTGTAGTGCGTCTCAGGGGACCGCCCTAGGGAAGGGAAAGGAAACACTTTCCATGGGCCAGGGGGCAATGGGACAACCATCATGCTTCTTTCACCGGGGCCCTGCTCAGAGCAAGGGGAAAGCTGCAGCTGGCTCTCCACAGCCCCCGGGCCGTCTCATGCTGGCTCTGGGTGGGAAAGGGAACAGGAAAACGCTGCTGAACATGTCGGGGGGTGGGGGGGACATCCATGAGCAGTTGTCTCCTCTCTGCCTTTGAGGTGCTCAGCCCAAGCTGGTGACCTGATTCCTCCAGCAGGGTGGGCCCAACTTGGCCTGCCGTGTGTGCTTGGCTGGAGGGGGGGCTCACAGCTTGCCTTGCCGTTGCGGCGCAGGATCTGGCGTGGATGACCCAGTCGGGGAGGTGTCGATCCACATAGAGCTCTTCACTCACCCTGGCACCGGGGAACACAAAGTCACCGTCAAAGGTTGGTGCCCGGCATGGGGCGTGCCCAGTGCTCTGAGCACAGGGAGGGAGGCAGGAGGCCAGGGATACCCTCCCGGCTCTTTGGGGACATGCACATGCCCGAACCCCTTCAATAGCCCTACCTGGCTGGCCCAGGATGTTGCCCTGCCGCCAGGGTTGTTGGGAGATGGGCAGGAGGGAGTCTCCTGTGGTCACAATGTTTCAGCAATTGAACTTTCGGTTGCCAAAGGCTAGGAGCAGCCAGCACTGCCTGGTCTGGGCTGCACCCTTCCCACCAGCCCTCCCAGTGCCCCCCATCCTCCCCACGGCCCCAAGCTACCAGCTGATGCACCCTTTCCTTTCTCACAGTCGTGGCTGCTAATGACCTCAAGTGGCAAACATCGGGCATCTTCCGGCCCTTCATCGAGGTCAACATCATTGGGCCCCATCTCAGTGACAAGAAGAGGAAATTTGCCACCAAGTCCAAGAACAACAGCTGGGCCCCCAAATACAACGAAAGCTTCCAGTTGTGAGTGGCTTTGACACGGGTTTCAGTTGCCCCCCCCCCCCCCCCCCCCGTCCATCATCTCTTATGAGCGAAGCAGGGCAGGGATTTGCAGTGGAAAATGAACTGCACGTGAGCGGTGGTGATTCAGTGATGTCTGTGCATCTCTCTGAGTCAGCTGATGCACTGGGGGTGGGTGGGGGGGGAAGCTGTTCAAAGTGCCACCTAGGGCTGGTCAAAAATGTTCCCTGTAGGATGATTTTTGATGGAGAATTGGGGTTTTGACTAAATGAAATTTTTCACAAAAAACGGTTGGGGGAGGGATAGCTCAGTGGCTTGAGCATTGGCCTGCTAGACCCAGTGTTGTGAGTTCAATCCTTGAGGGGGCCGTTTAGGAATCTGGGGCAAAAGTTGGGGCAGGGGGTTGGACTAGGTGACCTCCTGAGGTCCCTTCCAACCCTGAGATTCTCCATCTCCCATGATGCACTGTGGCCCGGGGTTCGCATGACGCACCGCCGCCCGTGGTACGCCATGGGAGACGGAGTCCAGGCGGGGAGCCACACCTATAGAAGAGAATGGGTGCATGAACTACAGCTCCCATGAGGCACCACGGCTGGGGCTCCCATGAGGCTCTGCTTCCTTGCTCCAAGGAGGGGACCATGGGAGTTGTAGTCCAGCCGGGGAGCCCTGCCTGTAGAGGAAAATAGGAGCGCGAGGCACCTGAACTACAGCTCCCATGAGGCACCTCAGCACCATTTCCAAAGTCAAAAAAAATCGACCTTGCTCCACCATCGCTGGAGTCAGGCTGATCGTGAAACGCCCCCTTCGCTATGAATTGCCAATATTTTCCCCCGGCGATTACTAGTTGCAATGAATGATTCAGCTGACGCTCTCCCGGCTGGTTCCTGGTAAGAGGCGTTTAGCCCTGGGGTGGCAGGACGGTCACTGCATGGCTGGCCGCCTGGGCCCGCGATGGCAGCCGAAGCTCAGCTTCGGCGCCTCCAGCCTCTGGGAACCTCGCCCTGCGGCCAGCAGCGTTTTCCCTTCCCTCGGAGCCAGAGACGGCCACGCTGGGCTGGGGCACCACCCCCACTGCCCAGGCAGCTGCTGTTGTAGCCCAGGGACCCAACAGCTGCCAGGGAGAGACAACCACCGGGGTCCCAGGGCCCTGCCCCTCCTGGGGGCCTGGGGTCCACGTTCCCGCCTGGGTAGGTGACCAGCGCCGCTCTGCAATCCCCCCCGCCCAAGGCTGATTCCTGGGCAGCGACACGCCAGTGCCCAGGTGCACGCAGTGGCTGGCAAGCAGGACCCTGCGGGCGGGGCCGGTGACCGTGTCCGTCCCCTTCCCTCCCGCGCAGCACCCTGAGCAGCGAGACGGGCCCCGAGTGCTACGAGGTGCAGGTGTGCGTCAAGGACTACTGCTTCGCTCGGGAGGACCGCACGGTGGGCATCGCTGTGCTTCAGCTCAAGGACATCGTGCAGCGGAGCAGCTGTGCCTGCTGGCTGCCCCTGGGCCGGCGCATCCACATGGACGACACGGGCCTCACCGTCCTGCGCATCCTCTCTCAGCGCAACAACGACGAGGTGGCCAAGGAGTTCGTCAAGCTCAAGTCGGACACGCGCTCGGCCGAGGAAGGCAGCAGTTAAGGGCCTGAGCAGGTGTAGAACATCCCCAGCACCACCCCCGTCCTGTCCCTTTTCTACAGCATCCTCCAGCCACGTAAAAGCCATACAGGTCGTCCACAGCCCCACACCGGTTAGGGAAGGGAGCCCCCACTCCGGGCAGCCCTTGCCACAAGCAGGCGCCCACTTCCCAGTGCCAGGGATCAAAACAGACACTCTGTGCCCCTCCCTGCATCCCTGGGCTGCAGTTCAAGGGCACTGCCCTGGCTGCTGTGGGGCAGAGAAGATGCAGCTGCCCCAGGGAGCACAAGCTGCCCTCGCTGCTGGCAGGGGTGGACTTATCGCCTCTTCCCAAACCTGTTTCTGTTGCGAAAGATGCTGGGAGAGGCAGAAGCCGAGGCCTGGAGCTGACCGTGCGGCAGGAGCGTTTGAACAAATGTGAGCCACTCAGTATGGCCGCAAGGTTGGCACATCGCTGCCCTCCACTTCCAAGGGAAGCAAGGCTCGATCCCAGCCCTTCCAGCCCCCACACTCGTCCCTGAGCTCCAGGAGAATTACCCTAGCTGGTAGCAGTATAGAGGATATGACACATGATTGAGTAGGTTGATTCCCTCCAGCAGGAGGCAGCATCACATGTCCAAATCGCCCTGTGGTCATGGCAACGTCATTCAGCAATAGCGATGAGCCAGGCAGCAATGGGCACAGGGAGACTGAGCCGGGGCCTTAGTTCCTCCTCCAGGGCTACCTTCACGGAGCATGGTTGCTAAGGATGCACTCGGGCCAGCATCAGCCTGCTCCGGCTGGCGGCTCTGGGAGTCCGCTGCCCCCCATGCCAGAGCTTGCCACAAGCTGAGTCAGCAATAGCCAAGCCCTGTGCCGTATCCCCCAGGGCCTGTACAGTCCTGGGCAGGTGGCTCAGAGCAGCTTAGTCTGAGGCCAGGCAGCATGGCTGGGGCCGATCTTGTCCACCCAGGCCAGTGGCAGGAGAGTGCTAGCAGGAGAGCGGGGCAGGGGAGAGGGAGATGTGAACCAGGACCACTGACAGGTCCCTTCTACGGGGCCGCACACACGTGGGGTGGCATCATGCTAAGGAACCAGGATCCCAGCTCTACCCTCCCTCCCCGGCAGGCTCGGAGATGGCAGGAGGCCAGTGCCACCGGGAAGAGGCAGGGCCTTGTGCTGTTAGGAAGGGGTCCCGCCCCCAGGTATAAATAGGATCCGGCCATGCAGCCGCAGCACCAGCGTCCCTCCCAGGCAGCGCCTGCGTTGGGACAGGGACGTGCCATCTGCAGCAGCTTTGCAAACACCATCTCCCCCCTCCCCGCAGGCAGCCCTTCCTGGGGGGCTGAAGCAGGGTAGGCTCCCTAGGAGAGGAGGAGCCGCAAAGGGGGGGGATGCCTCAGGGTCAAGGGCCGCTCCTTGCCAGCCTGCGTGGGGGAGCCGGTGAGTAAAGGAAGGCTGGGTGGCGGGCGGTGGAGGTGGGAGGGAGTGAAAACATCGGAGTCGCAGCATGGGTGCAAGTGAGTTGATGCAGCAGGTGGGACAAGGGGAGGCACCCGAGGAGGCTGGGTCACTTTACAGGCTAAAAGGCAAAATATTTCTGCCACAGGGGAGAGTGGCACAGGCCCATGATTCCTGCCTTGGCGGCGTGCTGAGGGCCCGGTGGTAATGGGGTGGGTGCTCCCAGCCGGTAGGCAGCGGGACTCCCACACGGGCCCAGGGTGCTTGAAAAGCAGTGGGGCAAAGAGCGCTGCCCCTGTGCGCATGCGCTGCACGATGGTCCTGGGGGCCCTAAACCTTCCTTTGCCCCCCACCTGGGAGAGCTCCCACCACCCCCGGTCTGGCTGCAGGGGCGAGTGGAGTTCAGCAGCAGGGTCCGGGCTCAGCGGGGCTCCTGCCTGGTCCCCAGCGACGTGCTGCGAGCACAGGGGGAGGTCCGTGGGCTTTATCCATTCCCTGGCACAGCCTGAGCCCAGGTGTGCCAAGAACCCTCCTACCCGCTCTGCCTGGCTGGCCGCGCCTTGGCCCTGTGAGCGTGACTCCCCTCTCCCCAGGAGAGTGCCAACTCCGTCATTTTTCTGCAGGGACCATGCCTCCCTCTTCCATGCCTCGCTGGCCATTGGGCGCCAGCTGGAAACGTAGAGCCCATCTCTTCCCGGCAGCCAGGAACCCGGGTACCTTGCGGGTAGGAGAGAGACCCCATCCCCACCTTCACTGCAGCTTCCAGCCCTTCCCGCCACAGCCGTGGGGCTGTGCCCATGGGCAGCACTGCCTGATTTAGCAGACCCGAGTGCATGGGGCCTATAGGCCAGGGTGGGCTCAGCTGGTCCCTAAAGCCAGAGTCTTTGTCACAGCCCCACCCTGTGGGGCAGCTGGATGGAGTGATGGCCAGCCCCAGTGGAGAGCCCAGGGCGCGCAGTTGAGCCTGGGGGAAGGGGGTGCTCTGCGCACAGATGATTTGAGGCCCCAGACAGAGCCTGCAGCCACCCCGCCCTTGCCACGGAAAGCCGAGAGCCTGGCCCAGCTCCGTGGGCAGCAGCTGCCCAGGAAGGCCGGATCCTGTAGCCAGAACAGCCTCACATCAGGCCAGAGGCAGAGCTCAGTCTCGTACGCTCACTCCCGGCTGCCCCAGTGACTCAGCAGCGCCCAGGCCCTGCTTATGCAGCGAGGGCTCTGGCCAGGTGCAGGAGCCATGCCCCGGCACCCGCTGACGAGGGGCCCGAGAGTCAGGAGGCTTGATTCAGACCAGGCACTGCGGGGCCCATGCAGCGGGGCTAGGCCCAGGGTGGCAGGGGGAGGCCCAACCCTCTGCTCCTTGCGCCCGCACCGGCCTCTCATCCCCATACGGGGCAGGCAACCTCCTACCTCCCCGCAGGCAAAACGGGGGCACAGCAGCCTCCAGGCCCAGGCACCAGCTCCCCCCTCCCTGCCCTGCCCGGTACCAGCCTTGGCAGCCGGGCGGCTGTGGATTGAGTTGCACCAGGGAGCTGTGCCCAGGGAGAGGGGATGGGACAGCCTGGCCCCCACCAACAGCTCTGTAAATATGTAAATAGCTGTAAATACAGATGGTTTTTCCGTGTTCTCTACCCGACTGCAACAGCTCCAAAGGGCTATCACGTCAGACCACGGCAACATGGCACAGGGGATGGAGGTGCAGCCCTTGTAACCCTGTGCCCTGCTCTGCCATGCTCACTTGTCCATGGCAAAGGCACCGCCTGGTCCCAGCCCCCTCCCCTTAGAGAGGAATCCCAAACCCAGGCAGCTGCCCCCAACTGTGTAAACACCCACCAGCCCTACCCCAAAGGAAACCCAGCAGCACCTTGGGAGCCTCCAAGAACAGCGTGGAGCTGCCCCAAGGTCCAGTGCAGGATCCTGGCTCTTCCCCTGGCCAGAAGCGGGTACCTGAGAGGAAGGGGCAAGAACCACTACTAGATGCTGTGGGGTAATCTGCCCCCCACCCCTTCCTGGCCTCTTAATAGCTAGGGAGTTTTAATACCCCCCCAACCTCCATTAATAACTTGCTGCTCTTACTCTCCCTAGCACTGGCTGGTCACTTCTGAGCCAAGAGTGGCTGCCTCTGCTACCCCTAACTCATTTCAAGCCCAGCCCCATGCTGAGCAGAGGGGCTGGCAGCTGGGCCTCCCTGGCTGGACGCACCGGGGGGCTAGCAGAGGTAGGGCTGGTTTCAAGGCTAAAGGCCAAGCTAATTTTGGCACCTAACATCCCTCCTCCCCTCCACAGCTGGACTTAGACATTACGCCTCCAGCTCCCTGGCACTGGTCCGGGACAGCTGGGCCCTCTGCAGTGTTGTATCACGGCCAGGAAGGAGCTCAGGTTTTCCAAGCTGCCAGCCAGTCTCCCGGGGTAGGCGCTGCCAGCAGGGCTCCCGGTGCAGCCTGGGGCTGGCATCGACGTGGGGAGCTTGAGAGAAACTGGGGGAGCTTGACCAAGGTCACAAGCCACGAGAGGCTGATTGGAAATGGCCCCTCTGCCCTGGCACAGACCCCTGAGTGCTTGAATCCCACAGCCAAAGAGATTTAACCTGGCCCAATCCTGCCCCAGCCCGATTGAATCCAGGCCCCAGACGCACCCCTCAGCCCCTTTTAAGATATGTGGGGCACAGGAGGGCAGAGTGCCCACCCCCACCAGCAGAATGCACAGGGCAGACACTGCTTCCCTCTATGCACAGCTGGTTTCTAAAGGTTGGGGTTACCACCACCCAGGGCCCCCAAGCAGTGCCAGGCAGGGCTGTAGTTTGCACAGGCCCATGGCTCAGGCAGGGGGAGCAAGCCCTGGAGCCCCCTTTCACACCTGGGCTTACGTTTTCCCACAGCAAAGCCAGCAAACCAGCTTCAGCTGAGGGGTGCAATGTCCTAGAACTAGCTCCTCTGCAACAGCCCCCCAGAGCGGCCTCAAAGCAGGAGATGCGTTGGGTGTCAGGGGAAACGCAAGCAGCGGGACAGGGACAGGGAGCCTGGGTGGGAGCGGAAAGGGGGCAGCGGGCACAGCCCTGCAGTGGCCGATCCCTTCTAATGCCTAGCACGGCACCCCACGGCGTGATGCAGCCTTGGTCCTGGCAAAGCAATATGAATGCCAGCAGGGCCCTGCTTAGGTGCAAGCCTTCCAGGGTAGCCTCAGCTCCAGGCCTTGCTTGGGCCTTTAAACAGCCAAGCTCCATGGAGCAGCAGGGCTGCAAAGAGCTTCAGGCCCTGGCCCGAAGAGAGCTGGACAAAGCAGCCATTTGCTTCATGGGGTTAGAGGGCAGGGACCCTGGGGGAGCTTGGAAACAAGGAGCTGGCAGGGCTAGGAGTGCACCCGCCCTGTGCTCAGAGGACTGGGGGCTCACTCCTGAGCCCTGTTCCTTAACAGCACAGCCCTGCTGTACCTGTCAGACCATGCAGGCCCCTGCTAGGCACAGGGTACGGCCAGGGCATTAGCAGCCTCTAGCCAGTGTTGAGGTGGGGAGGAGCAGCTTCAGGGATTTGGCTCTACTCCCCCCTTTAAGAAGGGAGGCCCCGGCCCCATAAGGAGTTGAAGGCTCCTTTCCCCACACAATGCAGGGGTAGGGGGCAGTGACCTAGCCCAGTACAGCAGCCTGAGCTCATGCCAAGTAGACAACATGCAAGCAAGGAGAGCCCCCAGGCATGCACGTAGGAACAGAGATTGACAATGGGGTTGCCGTGGCCTGGGGGACCATCTTAAGTGCTGCAGGGAGCTATGCAAAGAAACCCAGCGTGCTGGAGCAGGCAGAGTAGGGGCAGACCCAAGGGGGTGTAGAGCCCCAAGCACTGGGGGTAAATGTCAACCCTGGCTGACGTCAAAGTGGATGTTCTTTCTCCCTGGGAACGTAAACTCTGGTTAGGGATGCTGACCCTGAGCAGCTCCTGTCTCCACCCTCCCGCCTGTAGTCCTACAATGCCCTTTCCCAGACAGGGCGACCAGACCTCAGCCTCTCCCCTTTGCCCTCAACATCCAGTCCTTTTTGTAGTACGTGCCTGGGACCAAAGTGTTAGCTGCTCACACCTGTTTCAGTTCAATGTTTACACCCCTTTTCCAGCTCCTGCAGCGAGCAGCAATGCAGCCTCCTGTCCTGCCACCCAAAGGGCTGCAAAGACAGCAGCCCTGGCCGTTCCCCACCTCTCGCCCCTGCACTGACTGACCTCATCCCTGCCTGCAGCGCGGCGAGCTAGGCCCCCGCTGAGCCCCACGGCTCCCGGAACACAAGACCCGTTGCCTGGGCTCCCTCTCCAAAGCGCCCCTTCGAGAACTTCCGGTCGGCATGTGATTGAAACTCAAACAAAAGTAACTTCTGCTCCTGTAGCACATCTGTCAGCAAGGGCCCGTGTGTCTGTCCATACCTGAACGGGAGCAAACAATGGTAAACATGGATGCATGACAGTGAGATGTTTTGCACTATTTTGACTTTTTTGGGCTCTGTAAAATAATTTTATTATAACTGACATTAAAACGAAAAGCACACCCGGCCGCTGTGTCTGCCTCCCAAACTGTAACCCGCTGAGTACCATGGTATGTTGTGATGAAGTGGGACTGTTCTTAATGTTTCCTCTGAATAGTGTGGGGGTGCCTCAGTTTCCCCTAGGCAGTTCTTAAGTATCTAGTTGGTGGGATAAGGGTGTGTGATCATTGCAGAGCCCTAGAGGGCAGGTGGGTGCAGGGGTCTGGACACAGAGAATGGCCAACACCCTGTTTCCTGGCAACTGATGGCCTGGACCCTTCCCCCCTGCAAGGTGAGAGCTAAAGTGTTGGAGAACAAAGGAACCAGGTGACCTCCTGGCCCGGGGAAAGGGACAAAGCCCAGAGGAGGAGGGGCTGGAGAGAGTTTCAGTTTGGGGCCGGCTGGGGACATGGAGTGAAGGGCAGACGGGATTGTCTGGCTCACTGCCCCCCCAAAATGGACCCAGCTGAGGGGTCCTGTTCTCTGCACCTGCAAGCTCTGTTTTAGACCGTGTGCCTGTCATCTAATAAACCTTCTGTTTTACTGGCTGGCTGAGAGTCCCGTCTGACTGCGAAGTTGGGGTGCAGGACCCTCTGGCTTCCCCAGGAGCCCCGCATGAGTGGACTCGCTCTGGGAAGTGCACGGAGGGGCAGAGGATTCTGAATGCTCCGAGGTCAGACCCAGGAAGGTGGAAGCTGTGTGAGCTGAAGACAGGCTGCTCACAGAGGGGCAACTGCCCCAGAGTCCTGACTGGCTTCATAGGGAGCAGTTCCAGAGCATCGCCCAGGGACTCCGTGACATATGTGCGCCCATTGTGTGCCCAAGCCCCAGAGGAGTGGAGTTACCCAGCCCAGCAACAGAGTTTGCCTCTTAGCTCTCAAGCCGTAGCGACTTTACCCCTTCAGACAAGGGATTGAATGAGGAACCCAGTCTGACCATTTATACATATGAAATGAGGGGGTCTAAATTAGCTGTTCCCACTCGAGAACAAGACCTTTCAGTGATTGAGTGGATGCGTTCAGAGAACAATCCACAATGTGCAGCTGCCGTCCAAAAAGCAAACAGAATGTTGGTAATTATTAGGAAAGGGACAGAAGACAAAATATCATGTTGCCTCTATATAAATCCATGGTACGTCCACATCTTGAATACTGCGTGCAGATGTGGTCACCCCGTCTGAAAAAAGATGTATTGGAATTGGAAAAGGTTCAGAAAATGGCAACAAAAATGATTAGGGGTATGGAACAGCAGCCATATGAAGAGAGATTAATAAGACTAGGACTTACCTGCTTGGAAAAGGGAGGACTAAGGGGGGATACAATAGGAGTCTATGAAAATCATGATTTATGTGGAGAAAGTGTTAATTTTCTCCTCATAACACAGGAACTAGGGGCCACCAAATGAAAGTTAGGCAGCAGGTTTAAAAGAAACGAAAGGAAGTGTTTCTTCACACAACGCACAACCTGTGGAACTCCTTGCCAGAGGATGTTGTAAAGGCCAAAATTATGACAGGGTTAAAAAACCTAGATGAGTTCATGGAGGACAGGTCCATCAATGGCTATTAGCCAGGATGGGCAGTGATGGTGTCCCTAGCCTCTGTGTGCCAGAAACTGGAAGGGGCAGCAGGGAATGGATCACTTGACAATTCCATGTTCTGTTCATTCCCTCTGGGGCACTGGGCTGGATAGACCATTGGTCTGACCCAGTATGGCTGTTCTTATGAACGTTTAAAGTCTCTGCCCAGATGTTCCCATCAGGGAAAAGCACCAGCCCAAACTCCTTGGGTGGCCATCACATCAGCCCCAGGAGGGCACAGCACACACCCCAGACCCATAAGCCCTGGACTCTCCCAAATCAGGGGACTCTACCAAGCTGAAGTACAGGGGTAAGAGTATCCCTCTGTCACGAAGTCCCCGGGTGATGCTCTAGAACTGCTCCCCATGAAGCCAGTCAGGACTCTGGGGAAGTCTCCTTTCTGGGAGCAGCCTGTCTGCAGGACACAGCTCACATGGCTTCCACCTTCCTGGGTCCGACCTCTGAGCATTCAGCATCCTCTGCCCCTCCGTGCGCTTCCCACAGCGAGTCTGCCCAGGCAGGCTCTTGGGGAAGCCAGAGGGTCCTGCACCCCAACTCCGCAGTCAGACAGGACTCTCAGCCAGCCAGTAAAACAGAAGGTTTATTAGACGACAGGCACATGGTCTAACACAGAGCTTGTAGGTGCAGAGAACTGGACCCCTCAGCTGGGTCCATTTTGGGGGGCAGTGAGCCAGACAACCACGTCTGCACTTCACTCCATGTTCCCAGCCAGCCCCAAACTGAAACTCTCTCCAGCCCCTCCTCCCCTGGGCTTTGTCCCTTTCCAGGGCCAGGTGGTCACCTGATTCCTTTGTTCTCCAACCCTTTAGCTCTCACCTTGCAGGGGGGAAGGGCCAGGCCATCAGTTGCCAGGAAACAGGGTGTCGGCCATTCTCTGTGTCCAGACTCCTGCACACACCTGCCCTCTAGGGCTGTGCAGTGATCATACACCCTTACCCCACCCCCTAGATACTTAAGAACTGCATAGGGGAAACTGAGGCACCCCCACATTATTCAGAGGAAACATTAAGAACAGTCCCACTTTGTCACACTCTCCCCTAGCAAGTCTCCAGCCAGACTGCTCTAGAGGAGAGGCCAGGTGTCATTGTCTGGAGCTGGGCAGGGGCATGAACTGCTTTGAGGTAGAAGTTCTGACCCCCCCCCCCCCCGTCACTCCCAGACCCAACCAGTCTTACCACTGGGATTCACATCAGGCAAACCGAGGCTGTTGATAAATCCAGGCCAGGATCCAGGGCTGCTAAGTAATGCTCCTCTTGTTGGAACGCTGGGAGCCGTGCTGCCCCTGCTCAGCCCCTGCTGGGAGTTTACTCTGCACAAATGGCAATTACACACACACACACCCCGCACCTCTGAATAGCGGCATCCCCTGCAAGGGGGGAAGGGACTAGATAGATCTGCATGCCAGGTGCTAACACAGGGACTGGGGAGCCTGCGTTTCTGCCCCACCTCCCCAGGACTTTTCAGGCAGAAGCAGAGAAAGGAAGGCCCAGGTGCTCACTGGGGATGGAGCGTGTAGGCCCCTATGGCAGCCCAGGATACCTGGGTTCCCAGACCAGCTCTACCATGGACACATCCACTGCCCCAGTTTTCTCTCCTCAGAAGTGGGGAAAACATTCTCTGGCCTGTGGGTTGGATACATGGGCTAAACTCCAGCAGGATTTTTGTCCAAGGACCTGTGAACACCCAGGATCAAGGTGGCCAGTGTAAAGGGCACAGCCTGTGGCCTGCTGGAGGCAACCTGTGACTTGTATCTGCAGCACTTAAACCCTCCTCGCCCCTGCTGAGTCTCAAAATCACATCCCAGCCTAGGAGGCGGTCCCTCCCTGGGAAGCTGCCCAGCCTCACCCCTAACACCGGCCCCTCTCCCAACACCCTGGCATGGAGATCGGCGACTTGGGAGGGGCCAGGGGGAAGCAGAGGGAGACCAGCCTCCAGCTTATTATTAAAGAGATTTTTATTCACTTCACACAATTTTTTAAAAAGCATTTCACTGAACACCGGTTGTATGAAGAAAGCTCACCTACCACCCCCAGCTGCTGGGCAGGCAGCCCCCAGGCCTGGCTTCTCTCCCCCATGCCTAGCAGCTGAGGGGGAAGGAAGAGCATTCCCCAGAGACACCCATGGATGCCTGGTGGGTATTGGGCCAAGAGCAGCCCCCTTCAGCAAGGCAGGGGACAAGCCCCCTAACCTGGCTGTTGCTTCCCCACTCAGCAGCAATGGGGATTCCCTGCCCAGCCAGCCCCACTCAAGACACGCTTTTAAACTTGCTCCCAAATGCTCAGATGCTGCCCGAAGTGCTGTAAGCCATCCGCCCCCCCGTCTCGCCCCCCAACCCCGACCTGGGAGAACTGCAGTTCCAGGGGAGTTGGGTCCAAGTCAGTGATCACGCAGCCCACAGCACGGACGCCCGCATTGCCCCGCTCGGCTCTGGTGTGCAGACCTTGGCATGTGAGGGAGGCCCCTTTAGGCCCTCGGGAAATGCTGTGCACGAGGGTGTTGCTAGAAGCCCTCTGGCTCGGAGGGGGGAGGGATGCGCCGGGCATGCCGACGTTTCAGAGGAAATGCCTGCAGGAGTTTTGAATTTTTAAAAGGGGCTGTTTCTGGAGCCCTTTGGAGCAGCAGCCTCATGCCCGCACCCCAAGATTTCAGCCTGAGCCGCTGGCTCCATTCCAAGGAAAAGGGCATTTCTACCACCCTAGGACACGGCAGCCAGTACCCCACAGCCCGGGCTGCTGCATGCACGGTGGTGTGACCGCGTCTGACCCAGGAGCATCGCCGTGGCATCACTCAGACCCGGGTCAGGAACGTCAGGTTAATGCTGTCAGGGATGCGGATCTCATCCAGCTGCACGGGAGAGTAGGAGAAGGGCAGGTGCACGGGGAACAGGTGAGCTGTGTCTACCAGCAGCTGGCAGGGGCCGGCTGGAGTTCGGTCCGCCAGTCGGTTCTGTGCAGGGAGACAATCAATCCAGTCTCCAGCAAGTCTTGCGCGTGTGTGTGCACACACCCCCCCCCACCCACTCCCCTCCTCAGTCCAGCCCCCCACCCCTCCTGACAGCCAGGGCTGGCTCAAGCACCCAGCCATGCTTGGAGCAGGGGGCTGGACTAGGTGACCTCCTAAGGTCCCTTCCAACCCTGCTATCCTCTGTTCTCAGCCCCAGGCTAAAGCAGCTCCGCCCGGCTGTCTGCCAGCAGCTTGGGGATGCCACAAAGGATAAAGCTTCCCCTGCCCTGCAGCCGAAAGGAGGACAGAGGCCCACCCAAGCAACCGAGTCGGGGGCGGAGGGGGGGAGAGAAGGGCTCACTCACCTCTACGCTGCTTAGGAAGCTGGGGGGGACACGCTCCTCGAGCCCAGCTGCGGGGGTGTAGGCCCGCAGGATCCTCATGATCTGCAAGGAGGGAGCGCAGAGGTGACAGGACTGGACGCTGCGCC